AAGGGCGCCACGATCCTCCTCCGCGAGAGCACAAAACGCTACCCAAAGAAGGTCATCAGCAACGGTGCCAACACCACAGCCGCGGAAGAAACGACTACAGAAGAGGCTCCGGCAGCAGCACCGGCACCAGCACAGGAAGAAGAACAACAACCCCCCGCAGAAACCCCCTCCGACGCAGTCCGCGTCGAGACAGACACCCACGTAGACATCAAAACCTGCCTCTCCGCCACAGGCGCAATGTCAAGCGAATACATCGACTCCTACCTCTTCACCAACCCCGCAAACTCCTTTTTCCAAAACAACAACTCCATCCTCCCCAAATTCACCCAGTACATCCGCGACCACGTCATGCCCCCCGCCGGCCCCAACCGCGACCGCATAAAGTACCTCATCGACGCCTACTCCGGCTCCGGCCTCTTCACAATCACCCTCGCTTCTTTGTTTACCGGCAGCACAGGCATCGACATCGCAAAGGACTCCATTGAATGCGCCCGCAAAAACGCTCGGCTCAATAACCTCCCCGAGTCACAGTGTAACTTCCTCGCTGCCGATGCGCCGCAGCTGTTTAAGCAGGTCACGTACCCGGCCGACGAGACCGTCGTCGTCATCGACCCGCCGCGTAAGGGTTGCGATAATGATTTCCTGAGCCAGTTGTTGGCGTTTGGGCCGAGGAGGGTCGTGTACGTGAGTTGCAACGTTCACACGCAGGCGCGCGATATAGGCGTGCTGGTGCGTGGCGACGGCGGGGATGGGACAAAGTACGAGATTGAGAGTATTGTGGGCTTTGACTTCTTCCCGCAGACGGGACATGTTGAGGGTGTGGCCGTGTTGAACAAGGTTGAGAAGAGTGCTTGAATACCTACATTGCATTGGGACGGGTTTGGATATTACATCAGGGAGAGTACAGAAAAGTTTGTGATACCAGCATTGGTCTAATAATTCAAAAAGCAACAGCCGCCAGAGTATAGACGTGGCATGGGACCATTCTCTCAAGCATGTTTTCCGAGTCTTTAACCGTTTTGTTTCGTGATCCTCTTGTTCTGTCTACTCTTGTATGAGGTTCTGTCTGTACAAGAAAAAAAGGAGACCAGGTCTTTCAGCCCTCCAATGTCCGATTGTCCTCTAGCAGAATCTTCAAGGCCTGAACCAAGACCTCAACCACCTCCGCCCGCCGACTCTTCTTAGCGGCCTCCTTGAGCCCCTCGAGACCGCCCTCTTCAATAATCTTCTTCCGCGCATTGGCCCCCGGAGCACCCTCAGCAGCCACCATGTTGTAAATGATGAAGCCGGCGCGGTGCCGCAAGTCCTCGTTGTCATCGGCGCACATGTCGAGGATGACATTGACGCCTCGCTCACGTTCCACAATGGCTTGAACGACGTTCTCGTGGCCCGTGAGAGCTGCTAGAGCACCACCTGCTGCGCTGCGCGTGCCCTCGTCCTCTGCGTCCGCCAAGGCAAGTAAAATGTGCAAACGGCCCTTTGCTGCGGGGCTGCCGTCGGCGTACAGTGCCAGACCTTCCACGGCCTGTACGAGGTTGCAGATGAGCTCGACAGCGGCCTTTGACACGCGGGGATTCGAGGAAAGCAGTTGGTCTTCGATTTGCGGCCACGCTACCCTGATAATGGCTCGTCTGGTGTCGAGGTCATCGGTTGACGCGAGGTTGGTGAGCGCCATCAGCGCCTCGAACGTCGGAAGAAGGTCGCGATGCTCAGCAACTGGGTCTGTGGGAATGATAGAAATGAGGGGGCGGATCGCGGAGCTTTGCGGGTTGGAACGACTGCCGCCGAAAACAAGAGCCGGATTCGTGCTGATGAGAATGCGTGCTAGAGCTTGCGCAGCGGTGCGGCGACCCGCGGCTTCGGACTCCGGGAGCAAAGCCCATGCGGCCAAGAGAAGCTTGACGGCGCCTTGCTGAGCAAGCTTGCCACGCAAAGATGTCGTAACTGAAAGAGAGTAAATGATAGCGACAGTGAGTGATAGTGACGCGGCCGAACCACCCTTGCTGTGGGTTACTAGAACCGGAGTGACCCCGGCCTCGAAAACGCGCCGGCATCGTTCTGCAACATGGTCATTGTCGTTGAGTGGATCGGGCCCGGCAGACTTCCCAGCAGCGGCGGCGTATGCCTTGAGCTGGTTCATCTTCTTTTCCTCCTCCGACAGGTTTGGCTGGTACCTGGTGAGATTCACCAGGATACTAAGCGCTCCGTACGTCACGGGCGACTTCGCCGGGGCGTCGGCCAGCGTCTTGACAAGTTTCTTCAGGAAATCCGCATTCCCCGCCAGCTTTTCCTTGATGGCTGGCCGGATCGATGCGTAGGCCAGCCCTTCGATAGAATGTTGGTGTCCATGGTCGTCTTCGCTGAGGAGCATGGAGGTGAACCTCGTTGAAAGCTCCTCGATGGTTGTGATTGCAGGTGATATTTTCCCTTGCCCGTCCTCATTCAGCGCCGGCGCCGTGGGCACTGCCTTCGTTCTGAAGTCAGTCAGATCTGTGATTGGACGGCTTCATGTCCGTTTGTTGATGAATACCATACCCTCAATTTCGCCAGGATGACCGCTGCCAAGTTTTGAACCTGCTCCGAATGCTTGCGCATGGCGACGGAGCCCTCCTTGATAGAGTACTCCGGGTCCTGTGACATCTCCTTGGCAATCTCCTCGGGGTCCTGATCGACAACCTCCTCCAGCCACTCAGTGCAGTATTTGTTCACTGCATCACGGCACTGCGAGTTCATGCATGCGGCGTTAAGCATCTCCAAGCAGGCAGTCTCGACCTTGCGGCTCTTCCACTTCCGTCTCATCAACGGGCCGAGGGAGCTCAAGAAGCCCTCGCTGAGGAACAGCTCCGATGTAAGGTCAGGAACGACCGGGAACGTGGAAGCAGCAACACAAAAAGCGACGATATAGTCGTCATATGTGCCCCTCTTGATCTTGTCAAAGAAGAAGTTGGAGAGCTTCTTGGCACCATCGTCGCCGGCGGCCTTGAGATAGGCGGATGTAGCGATAACGGCGTGTGCACGAACAATCTCGGGTTGTCTCATGTCAAGATATGTCAAGATGGTGTCGACGCAATCACCATCGATGAGTTTGCATATCGTGGGGGCGCCGGTCTTGGCCTGGATGAGCTGAAGGTCCTCGTTCAACAGCTTGGTGAGCTGGTCGAGGTCGCGAATGGTTTCATCGTCCTCCTGGCCGCCCTCCATTAATCGCGCAAGAACGAGGAGGGTCTCATCCTCTCTCGGAGGCGCCGTGGTGGGAGCGGAAGCTTGGGTGACGGCGGCCATTGTCGATGTTGTTCGCTCAGGCTGGAAAGCAGTTGAGCGAAGCTGAGATAATGTATACTTTAGTACCACGTCAAGGTGTGTTGTTGAGTGAGTGAGGAACGGACAGACCTGGGACGGACAGAAAAAGCCTAGAACAAAACGGGGCGGAACGGTTGATATAAGTAGGTACCTTGCTACGGTGGTTAGGGCGGCGGCGGCGACAGCGGACTGTGCGATGCGTTGGTCACAAGGCAAGGTCCGGCGATGACAGAGGCGTGAGGTGGCCGTGGAGGAGGATCTGTTCAGGTAAGGTAGGGTTGATTGCTGAGATAAGAAATGGATGGCACCAGACAACCCCAAAGAGGTTTCACAAGTGAGACTTGTCACTGGTCAGTGGGCGAGCGCGCGTTGATGGGCAGTGGCAGTCCAGCAGAAAAAAGTATGAGGAGAGGCACGCAGTTGCTGCCACTGGTACCTACCTGCCTGCCCATCCGTACCCACGGAGGGGTGAATAAGGTAAGGTACGTACACAAGTCGGAGCGATTTCATACGGGACCTCTCTCGGGCTTACCTTGGACGCCTTATTCAGTATCGCCGTGCCACCCAGAAGCCCAGCCCGTCCCGGTAAGTCCAAGTACCAAGGAGTAAGGACTGACAATGGAATGGAACCACCGCTGGGCTGTTTCTGTTCAGCCGTCAGCTCCTGCTACAACGGACGGGCTGACTGTCGCAATCTACGGTGCTCCCGTCTTTTTTTAGGTGCCACGGGTTCCCCTCCTTGGCTACCATTTGTAGCAGACCACACCCCTCACACGGCGCATCCTGCCCGCCCAGTCTCGAAGACTGACGACTGACTTCCAGAAAGACTCGCTCTCTCAAGTCTCAACCATTGGAAACCCCAACAATTACACCGCCCGCTGCACATAAGGTCGACAGACTGAGTCTCCCCACGTCTCTTGGCTTCATGAATAGGTACGGCACAGATAGTAAATACCTACGTCATGCTCGAGACAGGTATATCCCAATAAGGTGGTAGATTTAGAGGGAACAATGAGTCTCCGTTACAGGGGAGGAGCGGGGCGGGATTGCTTGAATGTACTTCACAGATTGGCAAGCACGGCCAGGTGCTCACGCCCTCTTCCATTGCCTGCTGTCTTCAAGCTTACCTCATCAAAATAAAAGAAGGTGGCAGCTCCCTCGAGCGGGTGCGCGACGATCGTCTCTGTCACTCAACGCGCCCCCCACGTCAGGAGCGCGCCTGAAGTTGCTGCTGGTTGCCGTCCCCCTTCGGAGCCTCTTCCCCGTCGTCCCCGGTCCTGTGCCGTCCAATCAACTTTGGCAGGTTTCCCTGCCGTCCAGTGTGTCGGAGCACAGGCCAATTTGAAGCCCAGGGCACATGGGTTACGGATATTTCTGGATGAAAGCTAGCTTCGTTGCATCACCACACCTCACACAAACCCCTACCTGCAAGGCAGAAGGAAAAAAAAAAAGCAGTTCGCCCTGTCTTTTCGTGAATGATACTGCGCCAATAGATCAATTATACCCGCTTGGCTTAAAGGACGTAGGATCGGACGGGGTCCGAATCGAACGAGGTCCCTGAATAGTCAATACAACCTACAGACTTTCAACACCTCCTACAGCCAAACCGCAGATGCTCCGCCCGTGACACTCTCTCGCGACCAGGCGCCCGCCGCCCTTCGAGGCCATCGTCGATTACCGCATCCTCTTCCTCCTCCGCCATGAACGCCGTCGACGCCTCGGACCACTACGAGGTCTCCTCGCACGAGGCCACTCCTTCCCTCCTGTCCATCGTCATCGACACGAACCCTCGAGCCTGGGCCGCCCTCAACGATATCCTCCCACTCTCAAAGGCCATCGCCAACATCCTCGTCTTCGTCAACGCCCACCTCGCCTTCAGCAATGCGAATCAGGTCGCCATCATCGCCTCCCACAGCAACCGCGCCGTATGGCTATACCCCTCAAAGCCCGGCGCCGCAAACTCTGAAGATGTCGCAATGACGGGCGTCGACTCCTTTGCGCCCACGCCGAACCAGTCCTCGGCCAACAAGTTCCCCCAGTTCGCTCAGATCGAGGCCGCCGTCATGGCCGGGATGCGCCAGCTCGTCGACGCAACCACCGAGGCCGACCTGGCCTGCACGACGACCCAGCTCTCGGGCGCCCTCACCCTCGCCCTCACCCACATCAACAAGACCTCCCTCTCCCTCAACGAGACCAACAAGGCCCCCGACGCCGCCCGCCCGACCTCCTCCGCCCTCAGCCGCCTCCGTGCCCGAATCTTCATCCTCTCCGTCTCCGACTCGGAGCCCGTACAGTACATCTCCACCATGAACGCCGTCTTCGCCGCCGCCCACTCCCAGATCCCCATCGACACCCTCGCCCTCTCCGGCGACGCAACCTTCCTCCAGCAGGCGAGCTACATCACCGACGGCACCTTCATGCAGGCCGCCAGCCCCCGCGGCCTCCTCAGCTACCTCATGTTCGCCTACTCCGCCGACGCAGAGGCACGCTCCTCCCTCATCCCGCCCACCCATCACACCGTCGACTTCCGCGCCGCCTGCTTCTGTCACGGCCGCGTTGTCGACACGGGCTTCGTCTGCAGCATTTGCCTCAGCATCTTCTGCGACGTGCCCGAGAACTCAGAGTGCCTCACATGCGGCACCAAGCTCTCTCTCGGCAGCTACGGCGCCAAGCCTGCCGTCATACCGCGAAGGAAAAAGAAGAAGAAGAAGACGGTCCTAGCAAACGGCCATATTAGGGAGGAAACGGGCAGCGCAGCGGGCACCCCTCGCCCAGGATAAGGCACATAGCATAAAGTAAGGACATCATCCGATTGGTGGTAACTGTGAGCTGGCCTTTACCCAGGAACGTCACTAGCAGTGCGGCATACGTGGTTTATAGACGGCCAGCACGACACAAAAACGTCGCCAGCCTGCGGCTCATAACCTGCTCAACTTGGATGCTTGCCGGACTATTCAAGATGGCTTCATATAGCGAGTGGCATATGGTTCCTCGACCCTTCTAATAGCGACTTACATCGCCGGGGGAGTGGGGCATCACATAGGTCTACGTAGCTTCATTCCCCAAGATCGCTCAGAGTCGCACGGAATTGAGCAGAGCGGCTCGCATTGGATGAAACGGGCGTTTAGGACAGATATCATGGCACGATAGAGTTCCCTCTAAAGAGAGGATGGAATCGAAATTCTGAACAACGTTTTATGAACATCTTATTTCTTTGGGAAATTGTATGCCCGAAGAGTATTTCTTGTTTTCTACCTGAATGACCCTCCAGATGATGCTCCAGGAGGAAAGCATGCTGCACTAAGAAGGGGGGGTATCACTACCAAGTAAGAATATTAAAGCCGCTCCTGGCTCTCTCAGGTCTAGCCACCCGTATTGCTGTTCAACTCTGCGCCAGTTGAACACGGAAGAGTCCCGTCTCAACTCACCATCTTTGTTTGTGCCCATCCAACCCACGGCCAAGCACGCCATTGCCTCTGCGCTCATATCCCAAGATCGACTCGTATTCTTCGAGCACCCCGCGTGACTTGAGCCGATTCTCCAAGACGAGACATGACACACACAGGCTCCTTGTCGGAACCGCCCATCGAGGCGAGTGCGAAAGAGTCAGTGTTGTGGGCAAAGTATAAATAGTACCCTGTCCGCGTCTTCTTGACCGTCATCACACCAATTGCCCCGACCGAGTTGCAGTTTTTGACGCCGGGGTGACCCATGAAGTCATCGGTGATGAAAGATTCCATAATGGCGTCTTCGTCCCACTCTTCAATGTCTCTGCCGTTCGGTCCACGGCGGGTGCTGCCATAGATCCGTTCAGCGCACCGTTGAGATGCCATGGTGGTGGCCATGTGCTCTCCCGTACCGCTGGTCACTGCGGCAACACTGACCTTGTCTGGGTCTCCGGGGTCGCAGGGAACCACAGCAGTACCGATGCCTACCAGAGCAGCGGGGCCTATACGTCCACGATGTTTCATGCCGATGCCTCCAGAGGATGAGCCTGCCGCAATGTTGCCTCTTTCGTCGATAGCTATGGCTCCAACGGTGTCGGTGATGACATCCTCGTGCTCCAGTTCAGTCGCAGAAAACGGCCGCTTAAGCCCACGAGGACTGCAACCCTGCAACTGTGCAATCGTGCTTGCATGTCTAGCCCCATCTGTCCACTGAGATGACATGGTGCCGTCACGATTTCCCTCCTCCGCCAAGTGGCTGGAAGACGACGCCAGAGGGTCCCTCTCTTGCAGTATATGGGGCCGAGATCTATTGACGGAGGGTATGGAAGCTCCCACATGACTCAATGGGGACCTCTCAATTATTGCCCGAGGAGGTGTAACCCGAGGAAAGCCCTGCATCTGCTCGGGTACTGGTGAGCCTCGATGGGGTGAATCTGGCTGGCCCTCGTTCCATGTTCCATTGAGAATAGCATTGGCATGGTCTCTCTGCTGGCTTTGATAGATGCGGGAGTGAACTGTTGTCGGCATGTTGTCGTACTGCTGACAGTGCTCAGCTGGTTCCTCGATTGTTTTGCGGGCACCGGCTTGCTTGACCTTGTCCTCCGCTCGCTTAAGGTCCTCCTGCCATCGCAGGAATCGATCCCGCGCGTTCTTGGAAATCAGGTAGTCATTCGGCACGATTTGCATCCCGTTTTCCACGGAGAAGTTTTTGGCACCCTCCCCTACCAAAATGTTCGGTGGCACTCGGCGCAACGATAACGGCTGGTTGCTTTTATCCAGAATCAGCTTTGCGAGACAGATTGGATTTCTGATGTCTGAAGGATCAATATTAGCCATGGTCTTCGGCTCCTAGAATCAAGCATTGACTGACTGGGAACTGCTCCGCAGGCACCGCTTCTTCCTAAATGGTCAACAATAGTTGCATCGCATTCCACGGTCCCGTCCATTGACAGATTAGAGCCGTAACCGGCATTGGTGATCTCTTTGTCTTCGAGGACACGCAGAGCAGCTTCGACAGCTTCCGTAGCAGTGGCACCTGATTTGAGGAATTTCATTCCCATGGAAGCAGCACTGGTGTTGTCAGCAATGATGCAGTGAAGCATAGGGTGTAACGTACTCGCTGCAGGCCTCTAAATGGACTCGCTCGTTCTGATGACTGTGAAAGCCGGCGCCGGCGTGGATGAAAATAGCACCCGTAAACTTCCCTTTGTGCTTTCTCTTGAAGACTCGGTCAACTGTGCCATCAGCGCCTCCAATCTTTTTTGGGCGGATGTTTCCGTGACCTTGGACCTTGGTGTTCTCCGAAGGGGGTTTTCCACTTCCCGCAGCTGTGGTGGCTGGGTTGTGGTTGATCTCAGGAGCGAGCGGTTCCATTCCACGTTCAGCCCGCCCGAGCTTGGTATCCCGAGCCCGTGAGAGTTCGCTGACGGTCTCTGGAGCGGAAGACACTTGGCAGTTGGTATCTGTGGAGAGCATGGATGGTGGTTTTGGCTACGAGCTCGTGGTCCGCATTGGCTGCAGCACAGCGTGGCTTTGAGTTCAGAGAATGTGATGCTCCGGTGTAGCCTGGCATGCAATGATAGTCGATAATTTGGAGATAAAACTTGAGGTGCCGAGTTGGTAAGTCGACGGCGTTACTGAGAAACAGGCCCGAAGTCGTGCTATTGAGACTTGATGGCTGCAGCATCTAGCCAAGATGCCCCAAATGATATGATGCTAGGACGCAACGATTGTTGAAGGCTGATTCTCGGGGCCGTTCGACTACCATCTAAGAGATGGAGCGGAAAGGTGGTCTTAGGTAAAGAGGAGAAACAAGGTATGAGAAGGGTGGCTTGGTAGAATCGCCAAGGAGAAGCTGCAAGACTTGTAGGTCTAGAGGGGTTTCCGCATCAGTTGAGCAAAGCCGAAGTGCCGACTGTTGAAGAAGGAAGGGTCGATGGTGTAAGGCGGTTGCAGAGCACTCGGTGGGGCCCAATGTGTTCAGGCTCCTTCCCCAAGTCATGCGCTCGCCTAACAAGGCCAGAAGGAGTAAGAAACTGTGAGCTCCTTCGTTCGAGGATGGTTGAACTGTCAAATGAGGTATCAGAGTAGATGCCTGAATAATAGTGAAATTTCCAGTCCAGATGAAAAGGAGAAAACTAACTCCCAATGAGTCTGGAAATGCGGATGTCTTTCAGATTGTCCCACCGTGTCTGACTTCGAAACCTTTTACTTCTCTAATGTAGAAATTTCTCCTAATTACCAAGGAATAGAGAGACCCCGAATTCCAATTTACACCAGTAGCAGAACGGCTTTACAATCCCCAATGGACCTCACGGCATGGACATCAAGTGTAGTTGAATCTCCAAGGATAGAATAGTCTGCTTAGCTAAGGTAAATTTATCACAGTGTTGCGTAACAGTGCATGAAAATACACACGGCCTAGCCTTCCTCAATGTCTTGGTGGGGCTTGGTGGTGGGGCATCGACCTCTCCCATGGCTGGAGAATCCACCCACTCTGATGCACAGCCGCAGGTTGGGAGCTTCCATCGGTGACAAGGCACACACTTCCGGCTACCTTGGACGTACGTCGTAATCAACTCCCACGACACATCCAACACCTCGACGGCCTATTCACCCCTTCATTGATGCCGCAACTGAGCTAGAGTCTCCCCGAGCGCATTCGAAAACACATTCACGATGGCGAACCAAACGCCTGCCGTTGTCATGGACAAGTAAGCCATCAATGTCACCCTGCCCCGCATCCCCCGAGGCAGACGTCAGTGAGACCATCGCCAGCTAACAGGTCATCAACAGCGGCACGGGATTCTCGAAGCTCGGTATGCCAATTGAACAGCTCTATCACACGTATCCCGACCCTTATCTCTGACGTCTTAATCAGGTTTCGCCGGCAACGACTCCCCGTCCTTCGTATTCCCGACCGCTATTGCGACGAAAGGTGCTGCTGGAAGCGCAGGAGGAACGGGCTCCGGCCGTCCTGCTGTCGCGAATAAACCATCCTTCCTGACCGGTGGCGCAGGGCCCGGCGGTCATTTGAACTCGAAGCGTGGAACCGAAGACCTCGACTTCTTCATTGGTGATGAGGCCATTGCTGCTTCTGGAGGACCTGGTTAGTTGGATGCGACGGACCTGTTCTCGGTTGACAGCTACTGACCAATATTCCAGGCTACGGTCTTCACTACCCTATTCGTCACGGCCAAATAGAGAACTGGGTTTGTCACATCAAGGCCTAAACTGTACTGAGCTCAGGCTGACCGCTTGCAGGACCACATGGAACGATTCTGGTCAAACTCCATCTTCAAGTACCTCCGCGTAGAACCCGAAGATCACTTCTTCCTCCTCACCGAACCGGTACGATACGGGATATCTGTATGCGAGCATTTGAAGAGTCCAAGCTGACTTTGTCATAGCCCCTGAACCCTCCCGAGAATCGCGAGAACACGGCCGAGATCTTCTTCGAATCCTTCAACTGCGCCGGTCTGTACATCGCCGTCCAGGCTGTGCTCGCCCTTGCCGCCTCATGGACCTCTTCCAAGGTCCATGACCGATCTTTGACCGGTACGGTCATTGACTCTGGTGACGGTGTTACCCACGTCATCCCTGTCGCCGAGGGATACGTCATCGGATCCTCCATCAAGTCGATCCCCATCGCAGGTCGCGACCTGACCTACTTCGTGCAGTCGCTGCTGCGTGATAGAGGCGAGCCGGACTCGTCGCTTAAGACGGCCCAGGAGATCAAGGAGCAGCACTGCTACGTCTGCCCCGATATTGTCAAGGAGTTCTCTCGCTACGACCGGGACCCCACTCGCTTCATCAAGCACCCGGTGCTTCACCCTGGTGGCCGTCAGGTCTCCGTCGATGTCGGATACGAGCGTTTCCTCGCCCCCGAGATCTTCTTCAACCCCGAAATTTACAGCTCCGACTTCCTCACGCCCCTCCCTACTGTGGTCGACAACGTCATTCAGGCTTCCCCTATCGATGTGCGTCGTGGTCTCTACAAGAACATTGTCCTTTCCGGTGGAAGCACCCTGTACAAGGACTTCGGCCGCCGCTTGCAAAGAGATATCAAGCAACTGGTCGATGCCCGCATCCGAGCCAGTGAGGTTCGCAGCGGTGGTGCCAAGTCTGGTGGCTTGGAAGTCCAGGTTATCACGCACAAGAGGCAGAGGCATGGTCCCTGGTTCGGTGGAAGTTTGCTGGGACAGACGCCCGAGTTCCGTTCTTACTGCCATACCAAGGCTGAGGTAAGCCTCTCATCCAGTCCCATTATGAGCGCTTTTGCTGACTTGTGTAATAGTATGAGGAGTATGGCCCGAGCATTGTTAGACGGTTTGCGTTGTTGGGCGGCCCTGGTGGTTCATAAATCTGGGGATTTTTACTATAGAGACTGCGAGCCAATCCTTATCTCCAAAAGGCCACCACCACCACTATTTACGAGAATCAAAATCATGACCACTTCCCGTCATGCCTTTTCTGCACGTGCAAATAAAGAGCTGTTCACGCTCCGTAGCTGGGATGGGTCCTCAGGAAATTGTGTTGTGTTGTGTTATTTCGCCTCATCTCCCTACACTAACTCGATATGCCTTCGACGAGAGCAGACAACTGTATGAGTTATTTCTCAATGCATCCCAATACTCTACATATAAACCTGTGCCTACGGTTGTAGTGGGGGTTGTGTGTAGCGTCGGCCGCTGCAAATTGGCCTTTAACTGTTGGCATTCTGAGCAGTCGCTGAAAAAATGGGCTACGCCCCGTCTCTCCTGTCTTCCAATATCTCGACCATGCAGCTAAATATACGGTTTATTTATTCTTCCCATCAGCTGAAAGGCTCTAGCGCTCTGCTGACATGTATACCAAAATTGACATTCGTGAATGGTTGCAGCTTGAACTGTGGTAACTATTTACATGTGGTTATTTGTGTCGCAGCCAGGAATACCAGAGGACAACTTCTAGTCCAAATAGGCTAATTTACATGAAGGCGTACGATGATCACAAACGTCACAAGTTCGAAGAAGACTGCTAAGTGTTTTCAAATTTGTTCATTACTTGTTTCCAATAAAACGAGAAAGATATGTATCATACACGCTGAACTCCCTCCCAGGTTAGGTATCCTAAACAAAAGTCTCTTAGAAAAGACATCAAATTCATCCGCTCGCCCGCCGTGAAACAACAACAACAACACCACCGTCACCCAACAGCCGCCGTTAAGGCCCCAACCTTTTTGGTTTTTCAAGAGTTCACATTACGCCCCCCACAACTTTTTTCAGATCTTGTCTTGTTCGTCTATTTGCTGGTGTCGACGACGTAGCGGCCGGCAATCTGGCCCTTCTTCATCATGTCAAAGACCTCGTTGAGCTGGCTCAGGCCGACGGTCTTGTAGGGTGCGTTGATGAGGCCGCGGCGGAAGAACTCGAGGGCCTCGGCGGTATCCTTGCGGTTACCGACGTAGCTGCCCTTGATGTTGATCATGCGGATGACAGTGTCGAAGACGGGGGCGCGGAGGTAGGCGTTGGCGGGCAGGCCGATGCAGACGACGGTGCCGCGGGAGCGGACGTACTGGGTGGCCTGTTGGAAGGGCTTCTCGCTGACGGCGAGAAGGATGACGGCGTGGGGGCCGAGACCCTCGGGGGTGGCCTTCTTGACGTCCGCGACGAGGTCGGTTGAGACAGTGAAGTCGACGAACTCGGTGGCGCCGAGCTTCTTGCACATCTCGCCCTTCTCCGCGCCGCCGTCGATGGCGATGGTGTGGATGCCCATAGCCTTGGCGTACTGCAGAGCCAGGGAGCCGAGACCGCCACCGGCACCGACAATGGCGACCCACTGGCCGGCACGAACACCGGACTCCTTCAGGCCCTTGTAGACTGTGATACCGGCGCAGAGAACGGGAGCAACGGCCTCGAGGCTGACGTCCTTGGGGACGCGGGCAACGTGGGCGGCCTTTGCAATGGCGTATTGCTGGAAGCTGCCGTCGACAGTGTAGCCGGAGAGCAGGGCGTGGGGGCAGAGAGGCTCATCAGCGTCCTGGCAGAAGGTGCAGGCGAGGCAGGAGCCGTTGAGCCACTTGATGCCGGCGTAGTCGCCAATCTCGACGTCCTTGACGAGCTCGCCGCGGGCGACGACGATGCCAGCGCCCTCGTGGCCACCGACGAGGGGCATCTTGGTGTCGAGGGGCCAGTCACCCATCATGGCGTGGAGATCAGTGTGGCAGACACCAGAGTACTTGACATTGATCAAGACCTCGTCAGAGGCGGGCTTCTGGACGGGAATCTTCTTGTAGACGGCGGCTAGGATGTGATGTTAGAGATGTGAACCAACTGTAAGGGATGATGTGGTGACATACGGCCTCCAGTCTTCTCGATGACTTGAGCCCATTGCTCGGTTGGGATCTCGGGAGCGGCCATTATGATGGTTTGTGTTGGTGAGATGTGTGTGTAAGGATGTCTCTGAAGTACAGATGAAATCTGGGATCTTCCTGTGAAATAGAGGAAGAGATTGGAATGTGAGATGGAAGGCTGTTGAGCTTGGATCGCTTGATCTGATCAGACGGGAATCCAGAGCATGGCGACGCTGGTCTTATATAGAGATGAGAGCGACATCTTGGGCATGTCCAGGAACGGTCGTATAAGTGAGAGGTGGGGGCGTTGGTCTGCTCTCCAACAGCTGGGGGAAGCTCGGTACGGCACCGGACGGTTCGTGTCAGGGATGAGCGTTCTGGGCGAGATACTTTGGTACATCTGTCATGTCAAGTGAAGCATGGCATGGTGAAGCAGTCCCGGAGAGAAGGATGAAGTGGGTTGAGACTTTCCATGCTGAGAGGAGGCAAAGCAGGAAAGGACTGGGAAGAGACGACTCGGAGGAGTGAGGTGAGGTGTGGTATCAGGGCCGACTGGGCATCCACTGGACAAGGCTAGAGCAAAAAACGTATGATGTTGACGACAGGTCAGGAACCGCAGTCTACGGAGCTTTACCCCTCACAGTGGCAGAAGAGTTCGAGACACACCATACAAAACTGACAAAGTATTCGTACACACCCAGTCGACACCCCCAACTTTTGCAAAATGTGAGGAAAGCCAAGGCCATGGCCAGGTCCCAGGTGGGCCGGATCACCGCACATCAAGCTCAGCTCTGAGAATGGAAGTTGTTGGAGAAGGAGAAAGGGAAGCAGTGGCTGGTCTCTCTGCCCGGAGACTGCCATGTACTGTGCAGTGTACGTACTCGTACTTCGTACACGCGCGGATTGGGGCTGCCGCCGGGTTCCATTCCACGGCGGCGCTTCCTGCACGTCCCGAGTCGTTCTGCCTGCACTTGCAGACTCGAGGCTCGCAGGAACGGGCTGCCCGCGGTTTCGCTCCACCGGGTTGGGGGAGAAAGTCGCGGTGCTGCTACTGCTACCTTGAAAAAGAAGGCTAGGTACAAAGGGAAACAGTTATTACCCCGCGCGCAGATAGGACAAGCGGGAGCGTAAAAGGATGGCGGCCTTGGACCGTGATTGGCCTCAGGAGCAGCTTTCCCTGGTGCATAGGTACGTCTGTCTGCTCGAGGCACGTTCTGGGATGCATCGTCGATGCAACGGCTGCTGTCGACCGAAGGCGCGGATGGCGGACGACGGGCAGGCCAGGCCATGAGGCGCCCCTGGGACTTGGAGACCCTACACACGCACTACCTTACTCTACACAGTACCTTAGGGTAAAGTGTGGTGTGGGATGTGTGAACTAGGATCAAGGGCGTTGATGCGTCAGGATAGCAGGCGTGGAGAGATGGAAGTTTTGGTACGTTCTCGACTCTCAGTCTCGCTGCTTCCTTTGACTGTAATTCTGTCCACGGATGTCATGGATAGGGGGATGATTGACGAAGGAACCGACAACTCCACCTGACAGGCGCGGATTGACGTCGGAGCACAGCGCAACCCGCAGTGAACGATGTCGAGGCGAGTGGGGAGTGGGCTTCGTCTGCAGCTCTGACTGTGAGCAGTAGGAAGGGTGGAACCACAGCCATGTTGAGAGAGTTCCCTCTTCTTCCTGTTCTTGGAAGTTGAAGCATCTTTGTTTGGTGGACGGCCGTCGCCGACAGGTTGGGTTGGGTTTCAGTCAGTTCCGGTCCAGCATTACACACCGTCCCATTCCATGCCATGCCAATGCCAATGCCAATGCCAACTTGCTTTCCTGCATGTTCTTTGTGTCTCGGGGACTGGATCGGCGGACCTGATCTGATCTGATAGATACGAGACCGAAAGTGACGGCAAGCATGCAGGCGAGAGAGCCCAAGTGGAATTCTAGCAGTATCCATCTTGATTCCATGATCATTGATGACTTGTTCCGAATTAACGCAGTCGTGAGACAGGGCCGATGGATTGCATGTTGCGGTGTTGCTGAAGAGATTTTGAGCTGTAGGGCCGAAGAACTACCAGAAAAGCACCAGATTCCGAGCTGAAGATGGAGAATCACGAGATGGGACGAATGAGATGCGGCCAAAGCCACGGCAGGCCCGCGCCACAGCAGTGCCAAAACAGCACCACGCAGAGCCCATTCCCCATTTTGGGAGCTGCCGGATCCATGTTCAGATCCTCGTCTTTGGTGAGCCTCCCTTTTTTTTTAATCTGGGATATTCTTTTTTAATCCCTCCCTGCCCGTTTCCACTTGCAAGAAACTCCCGCAATGAACAAATGTTGCTCGGAGGCATTGAGAAAGAACAACAGAAGGCCCGTCATATCATGACACCACTCGCTAGTCCGGGAGGCAGGAAGGGCGGATAGTCGGGATGCGCACCTTCCATTCTCCCCCCACTCTACAAAGTACCTTCCTTGCCTTAGTCATACTACAATCTACATTGCCATTTGTACCATTTGGTGGTGATCGGGCAAGCTCTGGTGGAGATCGACTACAGGGTCCCAAGACCCTTTCCGCTGGCGCCCGTCGCCGCAATCTCTCGGCATCTGGACGGCCTCACTGGGGAGTGGAACACCGGGCATCAATCGCACCTTCTCCCACGCACCACTTCCCACGATGCACACCACCGAACCCGCCGAAAACAGCCCAGCCGCTTTTACCGTTCCAGGGGTCTAAATCCCGCCCGTCGACGGTTCCGTCACTGTTCATCATCAACAACCCCAACGTAACTGGACATCATCGATCCATTGGTTTCTCAGCCGTGCAACTTACACGCTCCGTGTCAACATTCTGCCCCTCGATGCCGAATCGAAAGTCATCTCTTCTCCGTACAAAGCTCCAAATGATACACAATGTGCCCCCATGAGTTCCAGCAAAACTTGACCACACTTGGCCGGACAAGCGCCATTCAAATAACCACAAGCCAGCTCAACCGAGACGAAGTTACCTGGGTCCTCGTGGACATTGCCTACTGCGTACCATATTTGGCAAGGCACAGCAGCCGCACGAGTCTTAGTCCGAAGTCGCAGGGAGGTGGCTGCGAATAGCTTCAGAGTTCTCATCTCCGTTCGCCCAGAGCGGGACCTGCGGATCATGCAGCTCGCAACCCATACCCAACAACACAATACCCCGTACGACACACGATACGGATACACGACACACAATCAATCCCTGAACCAGAGCAGAGGTAAGGAAACAACAAAGCCCAAGCTGCCTCAACACTTGGACTTCCTACCAACACCCTAGCTGATAGGAAGATGTCCCCCACAATCCCCCGCCCTTGGTACCACTTATTCACGCCTCACGCTGCAACTTCGGCTGCAAGGTCGTCGCTGTCTTCCCCCAAACTTCCGCAGCACGCAGCCACCTGCCTACGAAACCTCCGCCAGCGTACTCCAATAATGAGGGCCAGCCTCCACACCTTCGCTCGAAGGGAGCTTTGCAAACCCAACCCCCTGACGCAGACAATGCCCACTGCGTCTGACAGAGTTGCCCACAAGCGTGGCGGCTACGGATGGGGCCCCGCGATTCTCAAACGCTCCCCCATCTATTCCCCGCATGCCGCCTATCGATAGCTGAACCTCTCACACAAACAGTTGATCCCATCTCGCCTCAACACGCCCAGAACCCCAACCAACCACCCTCTCTGCGTCTCTAGCTTTGCGGGGAAGCTCCTGCAGCTCGAAACCCTCGGTCAACTCCCTTACACTGCCTGCCGACAACTTACACTGTGTGTGGCGCACTTTGTCTCGAGACCCCAGGTAATGCTGACGCCCGGGTTCATCCCCGGATCCGGTAGTGCGGCGGCTTCAAGGACGAGCGGAGGGTTGTTCTCTGCGATTACCGATACTCTATGAGTTTCGGTCACCTCAGTCAGTCGGGGTCGGGAACAGACGCCTACTCTATCCCGGAAGAGCGGAAGATTCTATCAGAGATAACTGGCCAGCGTGGAGAGCAGCAAATCTGGGGCTGAGGAGACCCCGCGTACTCCCCGTGGGCTTCTACGAACCACGCGGAGAAAAGTCATTTTTCTTGCCATCGAACCACGCGCAAGCTCAGGGCTTCTGGCAATGGCCGAAATCCCGAGCTGGGCAGTCATCTGTCACCAAAGTTTCTCAGTCTTGTAGAGAAGCTTTTATCAACGAGATTTCCGCTCCTGAATTCACCTAAAGTTCGACAGTCAACAATCAGCATTCAAGGAACGAGGAGGCGACGATGCAGCTTGAAGCACGAGTGCTGTCAACACCACCTCCGGTAATTGATGCCCATCAGCCTGTCTCTCCTCTACGAATGCGGGACACTTTGTTCTCTTCCTCTCATGTTGCGACTGGCAGCGGTGCACTAAATCACTGCTATAGAGCAGCCTTCCTCGAATTTCAGCGCACACCTGCGTTTGACATCACGGAAGCCTTGGCTCATCACCAGTTCCGAGAACTGATTACTGATATCAAGACTGGCACTGGGGTCCGGGCTGGAGTTTTACCTGCAAACCTACAGTAACTATTCCAAGTCGTCGCCATCAATTCTTGCTACTTCTTTTGACATCTTGACAAATTGCTTCATCTCAAGTGCAAAGGAATGTTGTTTACAAGATGAACGCTCCAAAGACAGTGTACTGTCCGGTCTAAGACTGACACAGGGTTTCAAGATGGAGTGCAGACGATCATAATCCCATTGGTCATGGCAGCGCGACATCGTTTCCTTTTCAAGCTGATCATGATACGACGGTTGCACAATACCTTGACCTGAAGTTTTGACAGCTGCAGCATGCTGAAGAGTCCAACCAGAGGGCCAAAGCGGTCTGGCGTATTAGTCTACGCTGTGATCTGTCCAAGTTTGACGCAAGGCAGCCCGAGCTGAAGTGTCTTCGATAACCGCTCTCGTCTGGTACTGATCAAGGCTGTCACGTACGCCACTTCCGCGTTGTCAAAATACACAACTTCAAGGGTGCTATCCAGCGCACCACGCAACTTGGCATTGCAAGAATTTCGCCGACTGGCTCATGAGGGTGATGAACCTGGATACGATCTCCCGCGTTTGTGGAGTCGGTAGATGCTTGTGTGTGGAGCGTGGCAGTCAGGCTTGCAGGTCATAGACCCCCGCTTGGCCCCGAAGTTCTATCCAATAACTGAGTAGGATCGATAGCTCAGTGGTAGAGCGAGAGATTGCAGTTACACGCAGTTTATCTCTAGGCCCCGCGTTCGAATCGCGGTCGGTCCTATATCTTTTGCTTTTCCCCATGCCCAACTCCCGATTCTTAAGGTTGACATTAGAAGGATCTCCAGAGCCCTGAAATTAGTTATTTTTGCCAATTTCAGCTGTTCTTGGGGTTGCAAGTCAAACATGCAGCCGGACGGGGTGGGACACCGTCCTGTCCTCGCATCGGAAGCCGTTTAGACACCACGGAGACATTCGCCAGTGTCATGCGGGGGCTTGGCGGAGTCCCCCGCCTTTACAGCTCACCTTCTGCGAGCCCAGACGATTGACGCTGGTTTAGTGACATTGAGACAAGTGCAGTTGCATGGCACATCCTGGGATGGTCCGTGTAAGACGCTCGATCACAATGCAGGAGCCAGGTCTTGTAGCCAATCGTCTTCCCTCCTGAAGATGATGACCACCAAGTCCAAACGAAACAAGTGAAGGCATACCCCAAGTGGAGGGTCGAACCTAACCGCGGCCTGAGCAAGCACACTTACATGTGCCGCTCGGTGAGGATTGAAACAGCTCAGTTAAGACGATGCTGCTCCTACCTCCTGCCCAGCCCCTCGGTGCTAAACACTGGTTTTCACTGACTGCAGAAATTCTACAGTCTTGAATTTGCAATTCGATTTCTAAATTCTCCTCTCCCCTCAAAACCTTCCATCTGTCCTAGAGACACCTGTCATTACAGGAATCCTCACTTAGTGTAATTGCTAGGGAATCCAACTCGCACTTCCATCAAGATGGGTCTACTCGAGAGCTTGACGGCGGCTAACCCGCTCTATATTGCGGGCTCCATCTTTGGAGCCTACCTCCTACTTCTGGTGTTCTTCAGGGTCAGAATGGAGTATCTCCTCAGCAAGTCTGGTGGTGTAAGAGCTCCAGTCATTGCTTCCAACCCCTTTACAGGTAACAATGATAAAGTTCCTCTCCCCGCACCAAAGAGCAGGAAGCTAACTAGTGCGAAGCCATTCCGGTCTTCTTACGGATTGGACGTTATCAACTCAAGCACCAGCTCCTCGAGGGCTTTAACGTTCTTTTCAGCGTCGCTACCCCCGAGTCTCCGAACACAGTCGAGATTGGTTTCACGGGCAAGCTCCGCTTTCTCATTACCAGAGAGCCGGAGCACATCAAGACGGTCCTCACTTCCAAGTTTGCCGACTTTGGCAAGGGGGCCATGTTCCATCAAGTCTGGTCTCCATTCCTAGGCGACAGCATCTTCACCACGGATGGAAAGACGTGGCAGGATAACCGGAGCTTGATCCGACCCATGTTCATCAAGGACCGTGTCAGTGACTTGCACATCTTTGACAAGTGGACCGACATCATGATGGACAAGTTCCCGGCGTCGGGAGTCACCTTTGACATTTCAGATCTGTTCTACCGTATGACGCTTGATGTGACGACCGATTTCTTGCTTGGGCATGGTGTCAACAGTCTTGGCAAGTGAGTAGACCACTAAGACCAGCAGGCGGCGTTGATTTGCAGTGCTAATCCATCTGACAGCCCGAAGCATCACTTTGCACATGCATTCAACGAAGTACAGAGCTATCAAATGTTTTACACCATCATGGGGTACGTTATCCTTGACGAGGGTAGACAGAATCGATCGAGCTGACCCAGTCCTAGACCCTTTGAGTACATTTTGCCCCACGGAACGTACAAGCGCGGCATCAAAGTCATTGAGGAGTTTATCCATCCCTTTATCCAGGAGGCCCTGGCCTTGCCGCCATCAGAGCTCGAGAAGCTCTCCAAGTCGGATAAGGACTTCACCTTCCTTCACAACATTGCTCGTTTCACGCGCGATCCCAAGGTCATCCGCGACCAGCTCGTTGCTATTCTCCTCGCCGGTCGTGATACCACTGCTGCAACGCTCTCATGGACTCTCTACGAGCTTTCCCGCTACCCTGCCACATACGCTAAGCTGCGCGCTGAGATTCTGACAACCTTGGGCCCGAAGAGGGCACCGACCTACGGGGACCTGAAGAGCATGAAGTACTTGACCAACTGTCTTCAGGAGACGCTGCGCTTGTACCCCGCGGTGCCGTTCAATGTACGCTCCGCGTTGACGACGACGACGTTGCCCGGCAGAAATGGCAACCCCGATATTGCCGTGATCGAGGGCGATTCGGTTGTGTACAGCACGCTCGCTATGCAGAGGAGGCGGGACCTATATCCCGAGGTGTCAGAGACGTTTGCGGACCCGGCCATCTACAGTCCCGAGCGATGGGACAACTGGCAGCCGAAGCCGTGGCAGTATGTGCCGTTCAACGGTGGCCCGAGAATCTGTGTTGGACAAAACTTTGCGAACACGGAGATGGCTTATACAAGTGAGTTCCCGTCCATATCCTCCCCTGTGCCTCTCCACTCTTTACCTAGGCCGCGTACTGTGAACATGGCGATGTTGCTGAGCAGATGCTAACACGAACCCAGTGGCGAGAATTCTGCAAAAGTTTGAAAAGCTCGAGTACCGCGGAGACTGGAATGCGCAAGTCATCAGGGCCGAGATCGTCGGCGCGCCGGGTCACGGCGTGCCTATCGCGCTTTTCGAGGCTGTCGATGGCGAGATGGCATGATTGTCAAAGAAACCGCAAGGACGGTATTAGCGAGTCTCTTGGTTTCCTTGCAACGATGTAACGAAAAAAGATAAAGGGCCGAAGTGGCATGAACGAAAATAAATCACAAAAAAGGACTGCAGCGAGCCTGAACGACACTTGGCTGGCTACGTGTTGGGGAACTGGGGAGGGGAATGAAGTAATTTTTTTAAGGTTATGGTGAGATGAGGATGGTCGACTAGGAGAGAAATAATTCTGTCGACAGTTTGATCGATTAGCGAGTCGCCGAGTCCCCTCCGCGGCATAGGACGTCAAATGAGATTTTGGGGGGTTTGATACACTTTATGAGCATCGTCGTTGCTTTGCGGTATAAGACGCGGTATTGTTTCTTATCGTTGCGTGATACAGCAACATTGAATACGGAGTACACCGTATATAGTGACAGCGATTGATTGATACTCGGTTGTCACATATCTGAACGCGGAGTGAGCACGTCTTGCGTCGCACCCGTTCGGATCTAATCACCGCCAGCCCGAGGGCCCCAGGGGAGAGAGAGAGAGAGATTCTGGTTACGACATCGGCGGTCAACCGCTGCGGTGGGAGCATTAAAGAGGGACAGGGGCCCCTGGTAGCAGCTCATTTCCATGGACCATGACCGACTCAGAACTCGTCACGCCCCAGCCGTATAATGTCACGTATCTTATGACCTAAGGTAGCGGACGGCGGTGCGGGCGCGGGCGCACGGTTGATGAGGGAGCTGAGATGGCACCTGAAGATTGAGACACAAAAGTCATTTTGCAGATGGCGGGAGACGCGTCTGCTAGCTACTGTGTGTTGTCGAAGTTGGAGTGTCAAGGGATTGAGTGTGAGGGATCTGATGTCCCTGGAGGACGTGTGCCGTACGATGTTGGGGCCTCGCTCAAGCTGTGTTTTAACACGAATATGGAGGATTGAGCTGTGCTCAATTAAAGAACGGCCGGACCCCTTTTTCTTGAGCGGACGCGGGGGTAAATGATGTTTGGGCTGATGGCTGACGGCCAGACGTTTTGATGTTGCTGTTTCTGGGCAGGGGGCGTTTTCAGTACGGAGTACCTACTTCGACTGACGGGATAACGGATAGACGGAGAGACAGACGGGATTTTTTTTGGGGGTCACTGGCGCTGGGCTTGGACTGTCGAACCACCTCTTGAGCTCTGTCTCTTGAGCTCAAGCTTAATGGCTGTCTCTCTTAAAGAATTTTGGGCTAGCAGCAGAATGAATGATCAGTGAGACGGTCTTGTGGAAATCACAGGCTATGACATCAAGAGAACAAAGGAATGGTGGACTTCTTCATTGCGGTTCTTGTGAAACACGCCCCGTTCGAAGATTTCCTTTGTTCTCTCTTACTTATGGATCGTAGTTGGTACGTCAACGGCAGCGACCGAGTAACACGAATGATTGAGTTATGACCGCTATACAGGAAGGTCTGGCTGTCGTAGAGCCGATTGTAGAAATGGTTTTGCAGAATAGAGGGTGCAAGGTGAAGCTTCGGTGTGACGAGATTTGTGATTGGATCCTTCCCGCCAGACCGCCCTTCAATAACCCCTCCAGCTGGTGGGTTGGAGTGACCCGTTTGGGGAACATAATGACAGGGTTAATTCAGAAAAAGAGCAAATCGACCCAGTTGGTTGGACTGACCCCCGCCCGCCGATGCTCTCCTCTCATGCTCTCCCACACTCCATTGGTGCTTCCACTGGCTGCAACCCCATCCCACCTCACGCTTTCCAGGTTCTGCTCTCCCACCTCAGCTCTCCCGCTCCCACCTGCAGCAAGCTGCGACCAACAGGCGACCGTCCTTCCCACAGAACCACGCAGCACAGGGCAAGGCCAATCCAGGCACTGCACATCACTTCCTTCCCACCACCAGGGCCCTTCCCGGCAGACTGCTCCTTCACCCAACCGGCTCCAACCCTGAGGCTTTGAGCCGACCGACTGCTGCTTGCTTGCTAGACGTTGGAAAACCGTCCATCCGCAAAACCTCTTCACTTTTTTCGGCACATCGCGTCCGTCCTTCTTCTTCTTCTTCTTCTTCTTCTTCTTCTTCACGCTCGGATATCTGCACCCTTTCTTTCTTCTTTAAACCCCCCATTAATTCCTGCAGGGCTTGGGGACCGTTTGCCCGCCTGATGTCACTGTACGTTCCCTCCTTCTTCATGCACAATTGATTGTCCCGACCAATCGAGTGAGACACGGAAATTGACCTCCTTCGCAGCTTTCCATCATCCACTTAGACATTCACTGCCAGCCCGGCTTTTTCACCTTTTCGACTTACACCGCTCGGCGCGCCTACCGCACTAATTTTGCCGACTCCTACCTACCTACCTACCTTAACATACTCTCTTTTGGACTTACCGAATTATCGCGACAAACGCTCTTTCTTCATATTCTCAGTCACGTCACCAACCTACCTGGGATGACCTCTGCGACGTAATTGTTCTCCAGCCACTCGTAATCCCAACCACCTAATCTTGCGACAACGCTCGCGAGCCAATGGCGATATAATGAGCGCGACTCCCACGAACCGGCTCAGACTGACGCCGGGAAACTCTCCTTACCTTCAACAACGATCTAATCGAACCCCCATCCGAGGGCGCCTACCCCACGAGTCCCGGCTTTCCCTCAAACGAGTCATTGGCACCACCTGCGCCTCGCCCACAGGCTTCGATACCGTAAACTCCTCCTTTGCCTACATAGCAGGCGGCGCCGTCGTCGTTGTCGATGTCGACGGGGAACACTATGCCCAGCGCTTCTACCGAGCCCGCCCCACTGCGACACCCGTGTACGGCTCGACGACTTTGCTGAACAACTACTCGGCGCCTTCGACACCAAAGGCCAACGATAGCAGGAACCGCGCCGCGATTGGGATCCGAGAATCCCAAAGTTGGAACGACTCGCCCGGATCAACGTGGACCAGCCGCGAGCGCATCAAGGCGGCAACATGCCTTGCGCTGAGCAGAGATGGGAGATATCTGGCAGTTGGAGAGACGGGTTACGCTCCTCGCGTGCTCATCTTCAACCTAGAGGACGCATCCTCTGACGTTCCGTTGGTCTCTATCAGCGAGCATGGTTTCGGTGTGAATGCGGTCGCATGGTCGGCGGATACCAGGTGGCTTGCTTCTCTGGGTACCGCCAACGACGGATTTCTCTACATCTGGAGAATCGACCCTCGTACTGGTGCTGCCAAGCTGTACCAACAAAACAAGTGTACCTCCACCATAAAGGGCATGGTTTGGATGGGCAGCAGCCTTATCACGCTCGGTGTGCGACACATCAAGATTTGGAAAGTCGAGGAAACTCAGACTTCTTCTCCTTTGAAGACGAGGTTCAATGAGGCCGTTTCTACGCCCCAGAGAGTCCTCAACGGTCGCAACGTACTCCTCGGATCGTTGCTGGATGGCACCTTCAATTGCGCGACCGTTGTTGACGAAACGAGCATCATAATCTGCTCCGAGGCTGGCGACGTTTGTGTGGTGGAGGATGACGGCAAACAGACAAAACTCATCAAGTCGCTCACGGTCGACTTCCCGATCACTTCCATCACCATCAGACATGCCACTGCATATCTGTCAGGAAAGGCCGGCCAATTCGCGACTCTCAGCGTCAAGGCCGTCCTCGACAGCCTCCCGGACGGTGTGCTATCCAAGAGCATCGCGCCCGCTGGTCTGGTAGCCATGGGTTTCTTGACAGAAAACCTAGTAACCATCGACGAGAAGCACACCGTAGATATTTGGAGCTCGAGCTATCAGCCGGGCCAAACCGTGAACGACCCGTCGCACGTTTCTATACCAGGACACGGAGACCAGATCTTGGGCATTCAATCAATGCCAAAGCCCAACGACCAAGGTGCAGATTTCTTCACGTGGTCTGGCTCTGGTAAGGTCATCTTCTGGGATATGAAGGGCAAGATCAAGTGCTCCTTAGATGTGCCCATTGAACAGGTCATCCCTGAGAGCGAGATGGACCCCGTCAACCAGCTGAATGTGGTCCGAGCGACTAGGGCCGGGAAGATGCTTGTAGCGGCCGACAAGTTTGGCGTTCTCAGGATAATTGACCTGTCCACAAAGGAATGCCTCCTTGAGACGAAAGCTCATTCGTCCGACTGCCAGGGCGTCAGCATCTACGAAGATGACAACAAGTTCTTTCTGGCCACTTGCGGAAGAGACCGGACTGCGCAGCTATTTCACCGCACGTCAGGTGGAGAGTTCCGGCACTTCCAAACGCTGGAATTCGCTGCCAGGGTCGTTCAAGCGCTAATTCCATCAGAGGACAAGATAATGACTTGTTCCATGGATAGGACACTACAAATCTACGACATCGTCTGCAAAGAAGATGAGGAAGATGAGCTTGCTGCTCTTCCCTCAAGGGCAAACACCCTGAAGGCAGCGCCAACGTCGTTCGTCCTTGGCCAGGATGAAAGAACTGCTTTCGTCTCCATGCTGGACCGGTCAGTCTGCCAATACGATCTTTCCAACGGCAGACTCCTCAACTGCTTCAAGTGTGTTGACGAGAGCGGAGCCGAGACTGCGATCCTGGAGTCTCTCATCTTCACTCAGCCTCCCGGTAAAGAGTCAGGCTTTTTGCTGGGCATATCGAACACGGACAAATCCGTCCGTCTCTATGACGCTCACTCCGGTCACTTTGTAGACAGAGAATGGGGTCACACAGAGGCCATCAATGGAGTCACGTTGACTGACGACGAAGATGGCTGCCAGAGAGTCATCAGCGTAGGATCTGACGGGACTGTAATGCTTTGGTCCATGGAAGCGGATGACACGGCTCCTTTATCTACAAGCAGAGATCCATCTCCGATGAAGGACGGGTCCGCTTCCACCAGACCACCATTGCGACGTGTCCTCTCCAAAGCAGAGCTGGCTGAGTTTCAGCGCCCATCCTCCGCTCAAGGTGGCCGACGCTCTCCGCCGAGGACCATTCGGAGTCGGAATTCTCGGTACGGCCTGAGCAACAACAGCGTCAGCACGCCCAAAACAGGAATGCAAAGTAGTCCGCTCGCCGAAGACACACCATCACGACGCTCGTCCGGGTCTGGCAGCCCGCCCATCAGTCCGAAGTCGAGGGCATCTCGGCGACCTTCGCTTCCTTCTTTGGGCCTACCGCCGAAAAAGAGCTCCCCCAACTTGCGTGGATTTGGCAGTCTGAATATGGCTACAGAACAGGCGTGCCGTACGTTGAGGGCTTATAGAAAGAAGCTGTCCTCAACTGAACCGTTGAGCGAGGACGTCATCTTCGAAATCGACCAAGAGCTACGCCTGACAGCGGCCGCGCTCGGCGACAGGGCCTCGAGAACCAAAGCTATGCATGACTCCGCCCTCCTAAGCGGTCTCCTAGACCAGTATGAGGAACGCCTGGCCTCCATGCTTGACGAAAAGCTACGGAATACCTTCCAAGGGAGAGAGGTACAGACTCCGAGCGAGGAGCGCGAAGAAGAGCTCCTGACCGTACGGCCTGACACCGCCGCCGGCGAAACCACCTCTACGTCATTCCCTTGACCCACACTCTCATTGTATTTTTACATCAACCCTTCCTACCCGCATTGTACAACACTTGCTGGATATAACGGCGTTATCTGGAGAAGAGCACTGGCGTTTGGGAGGACATTAATCATCCACCTACTTGACAGCACAAAGTCCACATGTGGTCGACCTTGGACTTTGGGGATATTGCAGGCGGAAAAGGGGCATCGAACCCCCCCCCCCCCCCCCCCCACTTTTGAATTGTCGGCAAATCTTGTCTATTTGTTTAACCCGTCACTCTTTCGTCACAGCAGCAGCGACTTTTTTCCTTTGGTTTTATTTTCTTCAATTTGCGAGAGAGACATCCGTCACACATTAAAAGATAACGGAGTCCCGAGGAGGCAGGGGCGGCGAACTGGAGCCAGGAGTTTTCAATGTGCCCAAGGACATAATGGGACTGAACAGCGGGAGGGGCCTGGGGAGGTCAAGGAATTGGGGATGACAGACAGACTATTTACACTACACCTGGGTGTACCTTACTTTGGACACCGTGGATATGAACAAAAAGGGGACGAGGAAATTTGGATGCCGACTTTTCTGCGGCCTTTTGCAATCTTGATCACTTGGTCCTTTGGATCTGCTCTCTTGGTTTTACATCTTTACATATCTTGGCCCCCTTTCTTTATTCTGATTAGGGGCGCGGGGAATACAACTTGACGAGGCGTACCTCGTCGTTGACCAACTACTACTCAAGCCTTGATCGATCTAGCCTACAAGTGAAGTCGCTCTGTATTGATGTGGTGACCGATCGGGTTAAGTCAAGCTACTACGTGAGGTCAAACATGGTTTTCCCTAAATGTCTGATACGACTTCGAATCAAGGTAAGGCGGCGTGAGACTTGCATCGAATTATGTATATACAAAGTGAGAAAAGCAAAAGGTCCCTCCTCCCTTCCATAACTTCTTACACAGACTGCCTCATCTCTTGGAGCCAGGTAGTGACAGCGTGCCTGCCTACCTGTCTGAGGTAGTCCCGGCTGGGAAGGAGACAAAGCGGTCCTCCCCTTCCTCACCACCCAAACCTTCATCCGATAACCTTCCCAGCCACCACCCGAATACACAAAACCCGAATAACCACACAGCACAAGCCTTCATATACCCCCTCAACCCCATCCCAATCACCAGCCAGCAGGCGCCCGTCTAGGTCGACGGGTCAGGTCAAACTGGCTGGGTGGTGGAGTGGTTAATGGTCCGACACTTTCATCGCCAACCAGCCTTACTCGACGACAGGCTTAGCGCATACCCCGAGTTCGAATCCCAGCATGAGCACCATAATTTCCCGACATGAGCACCAAGAGATGTAGCCCCCAGTCCAGCACCGGGGGGGTGAACTCTTTTGTAGTTTTGGATGATAAATTTTTTTTGGTGATGATAGTAGAGGAAAAACGTCTCTGTGAAATTGTTTGGAGATAAAAAACAGACGGTAGTACCGTGTTCCAGAAAATAAATGTTTTTCTATCCAACGCCCGCGAATGAATCTCCTTGTTCTTTCTGCCTTCATCTGCCTTGCCTTGTAAAACCACCGTCCCCGTGTGTGGTATGTATGATCCCACTACTTCTTCGTAATCAAACAGCGAGTCCCTCTTCCAACGCCTCGTCCCGCTCCAACTTCTCGAGCCCCGTTGCCACGGCACCGTATACACGCAGAGGGACCGCGACTTCGAAGCTTTCGCACGCCAAGTTTTCCACGGCCACGAGCACTAGGCCTCCGCGCTCGTCCCGAGATATTTCTTCTAGTAATGGATGAGTGCTGGGCGCCTCACGTTCCAGCTCAGTCTCCTGACTCGGCACCACGAATTCCACGCGAATCTTCCATTCGAACGAGATGCCTGTCGTGACAAACTCTGGTGTCGCAGTAATGGGGATAGTCGGGGTGAAGACCATCCTCCGCGAGTAGAGGGTCGCTTCTGAGGCGGAGACGTGGACTTTCCGCGTGACGCGGTGAATCGAGGCTTCTGAGCGAATGGCCAGATGCGGCTCGACTCGCTCGGCCGACTCGAGACAAGAATGGACCGCGTAGCAGGGGATCTCAGCGTCTGTGAAGTCGATGGCCATAGTAACGACTTCGCCCAGACGGTATGAAGGGCGCGTAAGCATAACGACACCTACACGCTGTCCGTTGCGGGCAATTTCGAAGCGGTTCGGGCTTTGCTGACCCTCGGAGGTCAGGTTACTGCGCATAATAGCCATGTTGATGGCCTCTGTGGCCGTCGTCGCCTCCTCAAATACTGATGGACGCCGGGAGCTGGGGTATGCTGTGGGCGATAGCAGCCCTGCGTTGGAGCCCTGCCGCGGCCTCGTAAGGAGTTCATCAACGTATACGAGGAATTCATTAATCGTTGCGTCGGTCTTGGTCGTTTTTAGCTTCTTGATCTCGCTGAGGGTCGACAGCTTGTCGACAGTCTTGATTTTCGCTTGGTCGCGGAGAATAATGTACGGGTTCATGAGATCATGGCCAAGAATCTCTCCATGGCTGTTCACACTGCCGAGGACTCGGAAAGGGATCTCGACGGAGCGCACCTGTTGCTCTTTAGAGCCACCTGCTCGCTGTGTGCCGATAACTAGATTGTAAGAGATCTTGACCGCTTTTCCCTTATGTGTCGGCGGTAAGCCCTTTGGGAGCTGAAATGAATACTCGAAAGCTTTGTGCTCTCCGGGGGCCAGGTTCAGGTCCACAAACAAGATGGACTGCGGAGTCGAGAGCAGAGGGACGGACTTGGCGCTGGCGATACCGCGCATATCTTTGATGCTGCTAACCTCGCCGGCTCCAAGCAGCTCTCCAATTGAATTGCTGATACTCCCCCATCCGAAACTTCGAAGCAGTCCACTATCCCGTTTCGAAGGCTCCACACCAATGACACCACCTCCTTGACCGCCGACAACGGCCTTACGCTTGACCTGCTCAAATGGCCCGAGGTTGATGAGTGAGCCATCTAAGGTGAATGAGCCTTGAATCTGAGCGTAGCCCATCATCAACGATTCCGGCTGCCTGGGGTTGTGTGAGGCAAAGTTGGAGGACTTTAGAAAATGCGGCGGCCGCATAGGGCCCCGCGTGGGTTGAGTTGGATATTCAGATGCCAAAGTTTCCGTAGAGTTATTGCTCATTGAGTAGAATTCCCCACTGCTGCGTGGTGTTCCTCCGCCCATGCTTGTTGTCGAGAGTATTCGCATGGCTGGTGTAGGATGGTCGATGGGGTTGGTGAGTACGCCATCCTTGTTCCGTATAGCTAGGGTTGGAGGTACTTCAGTGTTTGGACTCAATAGCCCATCGTGATGTGACGCAACTGGAGTGCTTTGCGTGTCCGACAGTGGCGACTGGACCATTGGAAACCGGAAGTCGGCCAGCGCGTTGGAAGGCGATCTCATGGGACGTTGTGAGCCTGCTACGCCAGGGGTATTCGGTGCGGTCGAAGATCGCGAGTTGGAGGGAGGTGTGTCGGAAGCGGACGTCGAGTTGAATAAAGGCGAGCTTATATGCCTCGGCGATGCTGCAAGGGAGTTAGAAAATGCACTCTGCATCAAGATTGAGAACTAGAATACTGACCAGAGTGAGGCGCTGTGAGGCCGAGCCCCAGAGCAGCTCCCCTAGGCACAATCTGTAGACTGGATGCCCGGGCATGACCGCGACCAGGCCGATGCGCCTTTACGGAGCTAGCGTTACTCTGATTGTCATCTGGTACGGTGCTTGTGGAACCAATTGAGACAATAGAAACGGACTTCTTGTGGCCATTGCCACGGTTTTCGAGAGCGCTTGGAGGGTGTGATGGCGTCCACGGTACTGAGCCCGCGCGGCTTCGCGATTGAGCGACTGGTACGTTGAGGGATAGAGCAGATCGGTGACCGCGGGTTTGAGCTGAGTTCGGCGGGGTCAAGCCAGCGCTAGACTTGCCTCTCAGCAAGGGCGAGACATGCCTTGGTCGGTCTACAGGTGCGAGTCGTTGGGACTGTCGTTGCTGATTCGGATCGCGAGCAATATTCTTGAAGGTGATGGTGCATTTGATCTCCTCGCCAGCGAAGACGGTCTGGTCGTGCCAGCGGATAAAGACTCGAATGTTGCTGGAGGCCTCTGGAGACATGATGGCGCTCGTCCGGGCGGAGGGGAGGGAAAAGGATCGATTGAGGTTGCAACGAATCAAGTAGTCATCACATGTCTGGTATCAACCATCATCGCGTCTAAATTCGTGAATTGGAGATGGACAAGGAGTCCTGACAAGTGCATTGAACGTCATGGGCTCTCCGAGTTGGCGGGAGATGGAAGTTGAGCGAGCTGGGCTAGCTCCAGCGTTGCTGCGAGTCGGGCGGGCCCCATTCGGCGCGCGCTGCAGGGGTGGGATCCACGTCCCCGTTTCCTTTCACGGTTCTAGCGTCACTGTCACCTCGGCGCCTTACCTCAGCAGTCCGGTCCACTTATTCGGGGCACGGCAAGGACGGGAAGCGGAGCGGTACGTACCCACTCTCATCAATGCCACTTACACGATCTCAACACCACACCGTCACGGGGTCTTAAGGTACCTTAATCCGACTGATCGCCACAAATTTGAGTATCGATGCAGTGTGAATAATGAGATCATTCTCTTCAAATATATTACACGCTGCAGACCTTAAACACTCTTCAAAAGAGTAATATTCGTTCATTCCAAACCTTAGCTATGGCTGGCTGCTGGATATCTCTTGGAGCAGGAAGGAGGCAGGTGCCTTTTGAGGGCACCTTCCGCTCTCCTTAAAACCTCACCAATATGAGGCAGCATTCAAATCTACAACTATGGAAGGTAGGAAATGGAAGGCGATAGGTCTCTCTCATCTGCACTTGCCCCAAAGTCACCCACCTCTTCTTCTACATCCTCTCTCTCTCAGACAGCCCACACTTCTTCCTCTTCCACCCGGGCAAAGTACTTCCACTTCTCTTCTCCATCCCACCTCAGCCCTTTCTCTTGGGGTTCGCGGCATCACATTCTTCTACCAGTATTTTGTTCAAAGGACAAAGGTTCTAAGGCTGTGGCTTTCTCTGTTCTTGTTTCTTTTTCCCATCACCAGAATATTCACTTTTATTCAACCTCTGCTCACAGCTTTCGGCAGCGCACCTGCCATATCACGAATCGAATTCACTTTCCTTTCCAAGATGGCAATCATCGATACCCTCCCCGCTGTCAGCGTTTCTGTTCGCCTCAAGAACGCCTACCGAGACGCTGATGAATACCCCGATCCGTATCCGTACCATGAGTCTGAGAGATACATGAACGATTACGAGCAGTGTGCCCGCAACTACATTGAGAGCAAGGAAGGAACCGAGTTCGCGGTTCACATCAACGTGTTGGACGATGCCACGATTGACCCTTGGGTCCATCAAGACGATGGTTTAGTTTTCCTTCTCTTCCTCGACGGCCAGTTCATGGGAAAGCGATTCTGCTACGATGATGACTTCAAGCATGGAGGCTGGCACTTTGCCTTCAGAGGCAAGAGACATCCCAACCAGGACAGAAGTGCCATGATTCAGAGCAACTTCAAGTTCGAGACGATCACTGCAGGTAAATCCACCCCATCACTTAGTCTTTTTTTTGTATACAAATATTAGATGCTAACCGATCCACCAGTTGACCAAGACGCTACCGATGGCGAATTGAGACTTGCCAAGAATATTGGTACAATCGAGGTTCGCGTCAGACTAGCCAGATTCGCTGGCGGTCCACGCCGTAATAGACGTGTCGACTTGGAGAGACCATTCACGGAGCCGCAGTACAATAAGTGCGAGATCTCGGAGGAAGCCATCAAGGGCCGCCCCATCTACCATGGCACTTCGTATGCAACGACCATCTGCCGATGATGCATCCATTAAGCTAACCACGTCTTCGCAGCTTCACCGCGCCGGTCAACAAGCGTCTGAGACCTCCCAGCAATGCCCATCGAGGAGCCATTGAGCAGATTCGCAAAGGCCCCCTCTTTGCGACCTACACATTCAAATATCGCTCGCGAGGTATGCTGCAATATATTACAAGGGCGTCTTTCGGTCAAGATCTGACTGACTCTTCTATAGATGCACTGAAGATTGAAGAGATTCTTCATCAGTCCCCCAGCCCCGAGCCGGCCCCCGCGCCACTCCCTCGTCAGAGACCGGCCTACTTTGGCATGTCGGTCCTTCCTAGATTCGAAGACCTTCATGACGACGAGGTCGAACGCCTTGCTCGAGAGAGACACCAACAGCTCCAGGTAGGGCTGTAATTAACATTAGAGAATTCACGAACTAACATCTCTACCAGGTCGAGCAAGCGCAGCCTTCGACTCAGAAGAACAAACGGAGCTATGACGAGTTCTGTGATCTTCCAAAGGGCGCGAATGAGCAGTCAGCTCGTCCTTACAAGTTTATTAAGCTGGGAAACGGCCATGACGCTATTGATCTCACGGGCGGCTACTAGAGATGTAGGCCAGGAGATCGTGCGTTTGTTGTAAAGACGGAAACAGCACAGGATGGAGGTCACTGGAAGAGTCTCATTCTTCAAACTGAGCCTATTGTGGGGTGGTGAATCCACAAGCTGAAGTTCACTGCAGTGAAGGGAGGACTCTGAATGAAGGCATCTCGGACGAGGGAGATTGTTTGGTTGAAAGGAAGTTGACAATGCTTTGATAGAAACTTGGTTCGAGGAGGCAGGTGGAAGAGTAGTAGTAGTAGTAGTAGTAGGACTCACATCCATCAGAAAGCTTGCTCCCAGACCAGCATTAGTTGTGTTACATTCAAAAGTTCCTCAGTATCCAAGTATTTTGTCGTAATTATCTGTGACTTTGGGCTTGAAGTCATGTTCTTACCAGATGACTTTTTATTCACAGTGAGATGCTAGTGCTTATACTCAAACACAGAGCAAGCAGATTATTCCACGATAATGATTCAAGTAGTGAAGAGCCTCCTCATAAGTTTTTAAAATAGGTGCCATTGCAACAATTAAGAAAATTATACATACCATCACTATAGATATCTGCGCTGTCAGCTCCTTTACCATGCGATGGCTTAGTTGGTGGCCATCGCCCGACTCGAGGCAATTGGACATGACCAAAGCCCCGTTTGCGCACTTTCCACTCTGGAGATAACCTACGATTTGAACTGTGGAGGACAGAAGGAGATTTGCAACTATTTTCCACAGGAAGGTACAGTTGGCGCTTTCTGGCTACCTTCCGTCCACCTGCTGCAAATCAAACGTTTCCAGCCACAACCCTGCCTCGTTCTTCGCTCTTGAGCTTGGCTCAAATTGCAGAAGTACGATCACGCCTGGGGGCCACGAGAGTGCTTCTCATCCAGCATGCTAGAGCGATGGCAGGTTTCAACTTCAACATCAGTATGCGAGTGGTCGTTCGGGTCGCTGGTGCTGCAGCCCCGGAACGAGATGACGTGACGGCCGAGAGCTTCGAAAACAACGCCCCATTCAGCTGCAGCAAAGTCATCGATGTCAAGGAGGGAGCAAAATTCTCGATCCATGCATTTCCTGGCTTAGGAACTTGTCAACTTCTCGGCAGGGGTGAGGGGCTGATGGTGCTGATACACCTTGACGACACTGAGGTTCTCCGGCGGCTGTATACGAAGACCGTGATTGATTCGCGGGCATCGCGCCGATTCCGCATGGACTTCGATGGAGTCTTGGGAGTAGACAGTGGAGGCCGACAGATCTTGCAGCCATTCAAGTTTGGCACGGCCAAGAAAGGCGGCAGGGCGATTCGAGGCACCATCCGCGTTGACTCATACATCGTCAAGCTGCTCGGTTCACCAGAGAGGACGCCCCTCAACGACACTGCTACATCCGGATCATCAGTTCAAGCCAAAAAGTAAGTCACTATTCCGGCCTTTATTCATATGACAAGAACGTCTCGTAACAGCGGAAGCCAGCGTGGGACCTGGGAAGGAGGTCAAGAAGGTCCTGGCTGCGGACACATACGACGTGAAGCGGCTCAACTACGAGCGTCCTATCGCCAGGTTCAATTTCAGATATGGACCTAGAGGTCTGTCAACTCCTCAATCGAGTTGATTTTCCCTAAGACTGACTTCACTCAGGGAACTTGCCCATGCACAAACCTAAGGACAACAACGAGAACAGCTACGCTGAGGACTTGATCGAAGTTTCTGCCAACACAGCGCTTCCAAAGAATCCCTCAAGCGGATTCAGAGGCACTGGTGCCACTAACGCCTCCTCCAAATCGCTTCCAAAGCTGGACGGTCTGTCGGTAGCCCCTACACAGACACGAACAACGACGGGTGCGAGAACTGCCTCGACAACTACCGCATCGCGCGACACGGGAGACAAGTTCGGCTCTCAACTAAACAGACGAGTCATTCCCATCCGATCCAAGCCTCCACAGCCCGCCATGAAGAACAAGAAGCTTCAGAAAGAGATACCCGATGACGAGGCCGTCTCGATTCAATCCTTTGATTCGAAAGACGCTCGACTCACCATAAAGAGGTCTGCCGTGGTGGCTTTCGGCAACGACTCACCTTCTAGACCTAGGAAATTTCTCGCTACTTCTACATACTGAAAAATTGAGGTCACAGCTCGAATAAGACACGGTGCTAGAGGCAGAGTGGAAGGTATTCAGAATCGAAGCGGGAAAGGAGTGGTCAGAATGAGAGATCAAGATTGATGAGCGGACTCTTACGAGCCTTCCACTCAGTGAGGAAGAGAGGCTCAGGTAGGTACAGTTGGTGTGTCTGTGACTTGTGGGATCTTGGTGAAAGAAGCGAGATGGACTTTGAAGGGTCAAGTAGGTAGATTTCGTAGGCATTGTTGGCGTCAGCGGCAATAAGGTACAATCTGTCATCACCCATTTCTACGCTCCCTATGATGGGAACGTATTTCATGGGTGGAAACCCAGGCTGTATTTATGCGTGATGAAATCGAGCAGCGACGCATATGCTTTGCTTCGGTGACGCCTACGTCCAGTCTTTTCAATCCGGTGGCGGTAATACCGGACTGGCAAGAAGCCTCCCCATGGAATTGAAGCTGATTAGAGAAAATTCCTTAGTAGCCTACGCGTTACTACTCTTGGGCCCAGAGTCATCATATCAAACATGAGGAACTAGGCATAGGACTTCTCGTTTACGTGGACGACAAACATATCTTCTTCGAGACGGGTCTTCTGCTTATGCCGTCACCGTGGCGAAAAAGAGCGGCAGCAAAGCATCCATATGCTTGTGAACGACTGAGTGAACTGTGAGCTATGATTTGAGAAACCCACTTCCTCTTGTTATCCTGAGTCTACCACCGCAAAAACGAATGCAGACTTGATGTTCCTCTCGCCCCTCGAATCAACCATGTAGAGTCGAAAGTCCTCCGCATCATTGGCAAATATGGACTTCTCTTCTCAAGTCTGAAAGAGATGCATGTCACAATCCATTCAATCATCGCAAAGATCGATCGTTCCATCTGCGTCCACCTTGTAGACCTTGCGTGGACGGGAGTCGGTCTCCCCGTCCGCTTCGCGCTTCACACCAGTTCCAGGCTCTCGCTTGACTTTGGGCTGATAGAACTGTCAGCATGGCATAGCCTGCAATAGGGCATGACTTACCTCAAGCTCATCCAAACGCTCTTGGGCAAGTCTCAAGATATCCGCCAGCGGCAAGTTTGCCACGGTCTGAGGCGGAGGTGGAGGAGAGGGTTCGGGAGAATGGTCTCGAGAGAAGTCCTAGGCTTGTATCGGAAGAAGAATCGAGCGATGAGCTTGTTTCCGTCCCTTAGCCTGTAATTTCCGTCGGTGGTTTCTTCGTCTTCTTCGATTCCTCCAATGAAGCTGGCCATCACGCAGTCAGCAAGAGTACTAAACAAGAGTATTGTGCTTCTTACGATGTGCTGTGCGAGAGGCTTTTGCCTTTGAGTGCCCTTTCAGAGACCTCAGCCGACTCTAGTCTTTTATATTCTTCCACCACTCGGGGTTCGTCACCCTCAAACTTAACGCGGCACACAACCACTTCAATAATTCCGAGATGCTTCGCAATTCTTTGATGTTCTGACAGCTGCCTATTGCTCTTTTCGACTGCGTCATCAAAGTCAGCGGGAGTGGATCGATTCAATTAGAGATGTCCGAAGAAGTACCTGTCTTGACAGGCGCGAACTTGAAGTATGTTTGAACTACCTTGCCAGGTGTGCTGCACCTGGCCCAGAAATTGTCGATCTCTGAGACGATGGTCTGGTTTACCAGGTCATCAGGTTCAAATTATGACCAAGTGACGTTATTCCCGTCTATGTGAAGGCCTAACGCGGGACAGTTATTGCCCCTGATCCAATTTTGGCGATTCTGAATCTCGTAGTGAATGGAAAATCCGACATCGGCCTGGCTTTCGATGACTTTGGAGGTGGTATGAGTTGCCGAGCCCAGAGATGCTGAGACTCCCGGGGATCTGGGTTGTCATACTCGATGCAGTCATCTTCAGATCCGTTGACTCGGATGGAGATATTGATCTCTGGGAGGCCATCAATCACCGCCATGGTGTGTCTGAGTTGTGATGATGAGATTTGGAGAGTGAGTAAGACCTCTGGAGTGAAGCGAGCCACATACAGAGACTGACGACTTCCGATAAGTCTGAGCCCCTGCGTGAGTAATGAAGAGTGTGGATTAAGGGAGGTGAGTGAAAGAAATGAGAGGAGCAGAAAGAAGGAGGAGGGCGGAAATATGGGCCGGAGAGTCGAGTTGATGAAAAGGAACCTGGAAGGAGCCTTGGAGGGCAAGAAACAAATCCGCCAAAGTATTAGGCATCTCCGTCGAGAAGATTCCAGGAACACTTTTCAGGAAGACCAAATTCGACCGTTGTAAGACATCAAAGTACGGAACCACACAAACTTTATTAAGACGTTAAAATCAAGAGCCTTCGGAAATGAAGCATAACATGGGCGTAGTCACTTTTGCAAGACCATGCGTCCTGACGCCAACGAAGTGAACCACGGACACGTTCCGTGCCCCAGCTTCTTAACATGAGCCGAATCACTTCGACATGGCGATGAACAAGTCAAGGTCTAATAAGAATAGCACAGGGCCAAATGGTCGAGGGAACTAAGAGTTTGCAAACTTACATAATACACTTGATGCCGAAGACATCAAGAAAGGGTTCGCCACCAGTGTGACTACATCTCTTGCCCTCATGGTGGGATCCAACTCGTAATCTGTCGTCGAGTGGGCTGTGGGCGTTTTATTATTGGACCCCTAACCTCTCTACCACCTAGCCAGTTTGACCTGACCCGTCGATCTAGACGGGCGCCTCCTGGATGGTAACAGAAATGGAGTTGAGGGGACCTATATGGCCTTCTCGTATGTTCTGAAGGACCTTAATTCCATGATCAGACCCAGAGGCCTCTGGTCTAAGGTACCCCGACTCATTATAGTAGGGGTGAGTTTCCTCTGTTGATTCTAGTGATCTATTTACCTAGGAATTTATCAGCTTCTAGTAGTAAGATAAAATAATAATTAATATATCTTGCTCATTAGACTAGTTATTTATTATTATTATTATTGTTACTACCACTATATTACACTTTCGAAAGCATATTCTATAAGAAATATATAAAAAGGAAAAGTAACGATATCAGTAAGAATAGCAGTAGCAAGAGCAGGGATAGAAATAAAAGTAGGGGAAAGAGAGCCAAGTTATTGAGCGGCAAGCTAAGTTATTTTGTTATACCGTTGGAGCTTCCTTGGATGATGGGCCGGTAGCTTACCCGAGTCCACTCTCGGCCGTTGGTGCAGCAGGATCTGCAGGCACACCCGCCCCGTGCCCCGACATTATTTAGCGAGGCTTGCTACCTAGAGCAGACTAGTGAACGGCCCATATGCTAGTCCATCAACCGTAGAGATAAGAGGTCACCGCACACAACCGATCACCCAATTTGGCCACTTTTCGAGACTTCGCATTTTGGACTTCATGGCGGCGAATTGGTCTTCTGGTGGCACAGCGCTGCTAAAGCAGAAATTCTGAACACATGCTGGCAAAAGAAGCTTCTGGTATACCCGATACCACCGTCAGTTCCGTGATCTACCGCGCAGAGCGTGCTGCGACCTCCTTCTTCGTCCTCATAATAGCCTCAATTTGTATAAATCGTTCATTTAGATCTTGCCTGACTTTTGCCCGTGGTACTGGCTTATATAATCCAGCTTGAGCTTCCAGTGCCTTTATGTCCCCTTGAGTATCAGCCAGGGCGAAGTTCTGGGCATCTAATCGCTTGCCAACTTTATCAAATATAAGTTGCCGTACCACGGGGTCGTAGTCGTCCCTCCCCTTACGGCCATTCCAGAGCTGCCGGTATCTCCTGAGGTCTCCCGACTTCTTAGGCGTAATAATATGGTGTTCTTGGGGTGTCTCGGGAATCTCTGGAAGTAGTGGCTCCCATGGGGGGGCCCGTAGGACGTCTGTGGCTGCTGGAATAACTAGCAATAGGTTCTCAAGTGGCTTACTTATATCCACGGGCCATAATCCTGCTACCCTCCATCCGGAGCATATATTCCGACTTATCAAAGCTTCTTCCCGTGCCTGAAAGTAACAGCGGAGGAAGTTCTGCTTCCCTATGGGCGCTGAGTTGAGTTAGAGGCCGCACTCGCGGATAAGCTTGCGGTAGGTATTCTTGAGCGGCGAGAAGACGGATACATCTAGGGGCTGCGTAATGTGGCTGGAATGGGCTGGTAGACAACACAGCCAAATGCCCTGAGAGTAACATTGCCACATAAAGTCGTCAGAAACATGACTTCCGTGGCCGTCGATAATCAAGAGCCGCTTGGAGCGCAGTCTCTTAGCCTCCTCTGCCGTACCAGGTATAAAGACCTTCTGCAGCCATTCCACGCCAATTGAATTCGAGGTCCACCCATTGGTCGACGATATGAAGCTCCAGGAGGCGTAATCCGTATATTCCTCAGGGAACCACTGGTGCTAGACCGTCTCCCCCTTAAAAATCACCAATGGTGGAAGGTGACGGCCACTGGCAGAGATACACTCGAGTATCGTAGTCCAAGTACGATCCCCTGGGTTCTGGACATAGATCGTTTGCTTCTTGGACTTGCCCAGTACTAAATAATCCTTGCTGGTCCCTTCCGTCAAACCCGTTTCGTCCATATTCCAGCGGAGGGACATTGGGATCTTCTGGATTTCTGGGATTATTAGGGTCTTCCAAAAGGCTTACAAAGACTCAACAGTAACCGACTTAACGCACTTAGAGTCCATTAACCATACCCTGAACGTCTTTAGCAAGGGATTCCTACGTAGGAAGCCCTCAAGCCACTTCCTGCCCAGTAGGCGGTTGTCGCCACCTCTACGGAGGATACGCGTCGCGAAGTCTCGCACTTGAGCATGGGTTGGGGCGAGTCCTAATTCTCCTTAGATAACTACCCATCGTACTAGGGAAGTCTTCTAGTACTTGCTTAACCTAGTTGGCCATTGTACCCCACTTCTGCCTGAACAATGAAGAACAACCAATCAGGCAGCGAGCGCACATCAGTGTAAGGCAACCCCCACCCAATAATTGCCTTTTCAGTCGCGTTCGCACCTTCTTCCCCCCCATCTTCACGTGGGTCCTAACGTCTCTTTCCAAACTGACTTCATTCGACTTCTCTCTCATCACCGTACTATTTAACTTAAACCAACAACGGAACCACTCGGACCACAAACACCCTCTCCATCGGCAGGTTATTCGAGTGCACTTTGAGACCAGGACGCAAGATGGCCGTCATCGACGAGCTCAAAGGTGTCAAAGTCACCGTCCAAGTCAACGGCCAAGACGCCGTTGAGTACGAAGACTTGGATGGCTTGGAGCACGACGTGAACCGCAAGAACGCTGACAGCCGTACCTCCAACTATGTCGAGTCCAAGGACGATGCCTACTTTTCCCTGAAGTACGAAGTAAATACCACACACCAATGGGAGAACCAGGATCGCGCCCTCTCATTCGTACTGTATGTCGATGGTAAGCACATTGACGGCGTCGTTTGCGAGGCGAATCGCTTCATCCATAGAGATCGATACTACATATGGCATGACGTCGTGGAGGGTTCACGAGAACGTTCAAGTGCCTTCCGATCTGAACGCCTGAACAAGTTCAAGTTTTCCAAGGTCACCACAAGTAAGTTTGTCACCCTTGGGAAGGTGCTACAAGTGTTGGCGAGTACTGACTACTATGCCAGTTGACGATGCTACCAAGGAACGTGTTCAAGGTGATTCGAAAAAGGCAATGTCCCTCGGGGTCATAGAAGTCTTTGTCCACTCCATGGTCATTACAGGGGCTCCATTCTACGCGGACTCTAGCCGCCGCGACACTAGAAATTCCAACTTCGACATCGCGGAAAAGGCACTCAAAGGTCGTGCCGTCTCTCATGGCACCTCGTGAGCTTTCTCCTCGTCATATCAAGGAAATTTGGCCCGTAAAGTACTAACGTGAATACTAGCTTCGCTGACGGTGGAGTCGTTTCCCAGAGAACCTCGATCAGTGGACGACGCCTCAACGACGGTGTTCCGATCGCGTGCTTCACGTTTAAGTATCGATCTAGGGGTATGATGTGCAGGCCTGCTTATACGTTTTGACCCAGCTCACAATTTCTAGATGCATTGCAAAAGGAGCTGATCATACCTCGGTCTCCAAGCCCTGAAGCCATTGACGAGCTCTCCGAAGCCGAGATCAGACGGCTAGCTGCAGAGCGCCTGGACGAGATTAACGTGAGTTTCAACCCTGCCACTTCATAGAGAACTAAATGCTGACTCGTCACAGGATGGACGTCGATCTGGCACCGTCAAGCAAGAGAGAAAGGGTCCTATCATCAAGCGCGAGTACACCGAGATCTACGATCTCACCGAGGAGCCTGCCAAACGCGAATGGAAGAAGATCAAGATCGACACCAACAGAGAGGCTATTGACCTCACCGACGACTAGAGTCATGCGTATCCCGGTGTTGTCACGGTAATCCTCGTTTTACGGCGTAGCTTTATTTTGGGCGGCAAGGCGTACTTTGACTTTGTTTGGTCAGGTTCAAGGGACTTGTCCAAACTGTTATAAATTCTTCGATCAGGAGTTCAGGGGCAAAGTGCCGGTTTATACCCTCTTGTTGCACTTTATCCCACCTCTAGATAGGTAGTCGGTTCGGAAAAGGGAGAATAATTGCAAATTTGCTTGCATGAAATGTCAGAACAAAAATTGATTGCTTTTCCAGTCTGCCAAGTCCCTCTTCTGCTTCTGTGCCTGTGATGTACCAAGACGTCTAACCATTTTTCCTTATCCCATGACTATGTCTTCGTCTTCCTGAATATCTGAGCTCTTTTGCTTCGCCGCAGTCCTCTCCGCCTTGAGTATTCTGACCGCCGCATCCGCGGCTTTAACCTTGACCTCATCTCTAGAAATCCCACCGTCAACCTGGACAACACACCGATCACCAACCATAACCTTGCACGAGAACCGCTTCTCGCCATCCTCGACATCTTGCACGTCCAAAACGTACGTCACAGTCTTGTTGTCCGCCAAATGGCCCAGCTCCTCCTTGGGATGCAACACATGTACGCCATCTCTCAGGATGCGATCGAGGTACGCCAAAATACCGAACCGCTCTACGACACCGGCGCAGACATCCAGGTCCCCGGAGTCAACGTACACGGCGCCGAGAAGGGACTCGAAAATATCAGAGTAGAATTTACGCAGCTGCATGCGCGCCATGAGGGCCCAGGGATACGTAGTGCCGCGCTCCATTGCCTCGACCATCTCGTCCCTGAACGCGGCGTGCCGCTTCGTGACGTTGAGCTGCTCGAGGCCGATTGCGGGGGACTGGTGACGCATGAATTTCCACAGGGGCAGCGCGAAGCGTGAACGTTGCAGCTCGGGCTTTTGTTTGCTGTCGCCGCCGCTGGCTGTGATGATTACCTCGTCCTGGCTTACTGATTGTTCTAGAGCTAGGAAGCCGAGGAAGTCGCCGTTGACCATTGCCGTCTTGAGGAGGTGCATCGTCTGATGTGGGAGAGGGGGATCGATGGAGAAGAGGCGGTTGACGATGATATAGTCCAGGACAGAGTCGCCAATGAACTCGAGACGTTCCAGGCAGCCCAGGGTGTTGCCAAGGTTGAAAGAGGCATGGGTCATGGACTGGATCAGCAGAGACTTCTTTGTAAACTCATAGCCTATGAGCTGCTCCAAGGGCTCGAGGGTGGACGGGAGTTCCACGTCAGAGGGAGCGACGTCGTATAAAGCCTGTCTGCAATCGTCGAGAGTCTTCCACTTGATCTGCTGGAGGAAGATGGACATGCACTTTATCGCTTTCGGTAAACCGCCGTCAATCATCGAAGCCCCGATTAGTGCCTCGACGATATCTGCGAGCGTCTTGGTGGAGATCTTCCTCGTGGAGGGCTCCTCGCCGTGCTGGAGCACATCTTCCACGTAGATTGGGCGCCACTTCTGTCCTGTGAAAGGCTTGGTGAGGATGAACCTGTCGAGGCCGTGCTTAATGGCCGCCTTGCATAGGGTCGAGTTTGCGACGATGGCGTCCTTTTTGAAAGATAACAGTCGTTCTGGCCAGTCCGGGTCTAATCTTGTGTTAGCTTCACAATTCATGCACAACCCGCCGGGTCACTGGAGATGGACTTACTCAGAGCGGCCACATTAATGGTGGCGGAGAACTTGAGGATAGAGTCGCCCAAAAACTCGATGCGTTCGTAGTTTGTGGGCTCACACGCGCTTCCCGCGCTGATGGCTATGACCACCAGAGACGGGTCAGAGATGGCGAGGGGTCTCAGAACACCCATAGATAGCTCTCGAGCCACCAGGTAGGTCTCGATACGGTGCAAGATTGATGGTATGAGCACGCCAAACTGGGCGTACTTTGCAGGGATATTGTCCACCTTTGCCCACGGCATCGGGTAGACTCTATTGTACGGCTTGACAGTGGCTGGGCCTTGACCGGGATCGCTCTGTGGCCGATGAAGAAAGTCCGACCTACGGGACCACTTCTTGAGAGCCAGGTAAGGTACATCCTCCGGGGCCTTTTCGAACTCGTAAAACATCTTCTGCACAGTTTCGGGTGCCGGCTTGCTGGGGATGACATTATCGTACAGATATGGGGAACCAGTCTGGTCGCGTATGAAACAGGTCAGATCGTAGTCTGACATGGCCCCTGGGACAAAGCCTTTGACGCCGATTTGATCGACGGACATGTCTCCAGCACCGACTGCAGTGAACCTTACGATCTGCTGGAGGTCCGCCGAAACCCAACGGTGACCGTACGGCAAAGCAAGAAGTACAGCTGTGTCATCGTTTCCGGTCAGCTCCTCAATCGGAAGCTGGTGTCCGAACTCAATTGACCAGGTGACGTTATAGTCCAGATGGATGGGTATCGTCTGCAACCCAGGGACCCATACGGGGATAACCATGTCGTACTCTCCTTGGACAACACCATCCGAATCCTTGAGTAGAATTCGAGTTGCCCTTAAGTTGTCACCAACTTTCCAAGCCTTGGCGACTCCGACCCAGGCATTGAGCAGACCGTTGACCTGCAGGATAGCAGCTCTTTTGTCTATTCCGGGTACGAAGTCCTCCGGCTTGAAAGGCAGCAAGTTGTCATTGATAAGTCCAGCCTTGTACAGCTGAACATAGGCTTGAAATGCAGCGTCTTTTGTAGCATTTTGCTCTGATTTCCAAGCCAATTGACTCTGAGCGGTGCGGACCGAGGCTGGAAGATAGCTCGGTAAGTTTACGGTGGCCCGCAAGTCTAGCGCGCCTTTTGTGGTGGTCTTGTCGATGATGTAGTCAGGCCGCCAGTCGATGAACTCTCCCGGCGATAATATTCGACAAAGATGGTCGAGATGCTGCTTTGCGTTATCGAGATCTAGAACAGCTCCTGTTTGTTCGACATTGAAAATCATCTCCTTTGGCTTTTCAGCCTGTTCGATATCTTGAAGGTGTTCAAGTTCTCTCTCTTGTTCTTCGTACTGGGCCTTCATCTCGGCCTCCAGGACCTCCCACTCTTTCCTCAAGGGATTCAAGCTATCAATCAGCATAAGAAGCTTAGATTGCTTCTTCCGGGCCCGTCCGCGGCGTTGGATAAACGACTTGAGGTTCGGTGGGGTATCGAAACAGACGACCAAGTTACAGACTGGTACGTCGATGCCTTCTTCGAGTACACTGGTGGCAACCAACAGGTTGGTCCTACCGGATCGGAATTGGTGCAAAGACCGCTGATCCTCGACTCGTGAAAGATCCCATATATCTTTCTTCTTGGCTTGGAATTGCGATGTGCCCATCATGGCACCGATTCGATATCGCTCTCGCAGCAAGTTATGCGACGTGAGCAAATGACATAGAACCGCAACAGTCGCTCTTTCTCTAGCGAAAACGATACCGATGGTATCGGATTTGTCCTGTAACAGTTGTTCAATGACAACGAACACCTTGTCTGACATGACCTCACGGCTGATGGTCTCTTTCGACGGGCACTGGCAGTCAACTTGACTGAGAATGTTGATGAGGTATTGCTTTTCTTCATCCTTCCATGTGTCAAGCCAGACACTTTGGGCATTAAATGCAGTTCTGAATCTCGAGATAACCTCCCAGATGTAATACTCTGCAGCCCAAGGGCCGAGTTCGCTGAATATCTGATTCGCTTGGCGGCCAAACGAAGTCATTTGGTTCTGGATGTATGTGTCGTGACTTTTGAGAACTGCAATCAGTTCACGCTGACTACGATCTGTTCCCTCTGCTTGTAGGTGTCGAATGTAGGGATCTTCAGAGATATCGAGAGACTGTATAGCTATCCTCAAGCTTCTCAAGCTGTTTGGAATATTGAATTCGTTTCGAGGTTGAAAGGTTGCGGATGCCAGCTCTGGTTTGTTAACAGCGGCAAGAAGGTCGTCCCGGTGCATCGTTGGACTCTTGCAAACAGCGTCCAGCGTGGCTTCGAGGTTATTGATGCTTTCGACTTTGGAACCGAAAGTCGGGCTTGCTGTCAGACCCAGGATATGGGGAGTAGGGCGGCCTTTTCGTTGTTCTTCATGGTAGAAGAGTGACATGATCTTGCTTCCCGGAGACTTGCCGACGCAGTTGTGAGCTTGTTTCGTATTAATTAGCCTCTGCCACTTTGGGGATCTCGAAGCCACAAACCTTCGTCAAAGACAATCAGAGATAGTCTTGACATAGGCACGAATGCGTGCGACATGGCGTCCAACAGAATCTGGTACGTCGACACTACTATGCGCACATTGAGAAGAACTGCATCCCACACTTGCTGGTCCGACCATGAGTCCACATTGTCGTCGCCACTGAGGAACTTAATCTGGACCTCCGGTATCTGAGTTTTAAGGACTTCAAACTGTTGGCTACAAAGCGATACCGTGGGAGCTAGAAACCAGACAATCTGCACAGTTAGTCCAGCATCAGAGACCCTGTGATGGTCTTAACGCACCTTTTCGGACGACGTTCTCTCTATTTCAGCCCTAATTCGTAAAACAGCCCTATAGAAGCCTCTGTCAATGTCACAAAGCTACGCGTGCTCGTAGACAGTCCACTTACACTTGTGTTTTGCCACTACCAGTGTCCATCTACCAAGTGTTAATCAACCCATAGTCTCTTAGAATTTGGTCCACAGGCTCGACGAGACTTACAGCAACAATGATGTTTTGCCGCATACTCTCGGCAAGCATCTCGGACTGGTAGGCTCTCGCATTCATGATGACTGAGTTGCCTGAGGCTGGCTCAGCTGGAGGCGAAGAGGCCTCATTGTTCAGGAACAACTCCTCGGCGGCTGCTGAGAGTGTCTCCTGGTTATGAGGCCCCAGGACTGGCACATTGGGAAGTACCTCATCTACCACAGAATCTGCACCCTCGCCGGAAGATGATGGTGAATGGTCAGCCATTGTTTGAATGTTTCTAGCGTGAATCTGAGGACCCAGTCCTAGGGTCCTGACCACGGTCCTGGGAAGCGCGGTACTTCGGGAGAATCCAAGTAAGCCAAGCTCCGGTGCACTAGCACGCTCAAAGTACTGGGGTACAATGACAAGACTCGCCCGGCAGTGGGGTGGTCGGTATGAGTCAAAAAAGGTGTGTAAGGTTAAATGACGCGGCTCAAAACGGAAAATTGAACAAAAATTCGTGTGACGCGGGGACCAGGATTCGTGGGGCTCGATGCACAGCACTGAAGGGCGTCTACGGATGAAACCTCCGTGTATTCGTAGTCTCTGCCAAGTGCGATGGGCGCGACGCATACGTGACTCGACGATAAGTGCCTGACGAAGATTGCTGACTTGGGCGGAGATATGGCGATGATGCCGTAACGTAGGCAGAAAAGGTCTGAGGAGGTTGGGATCCCTGTGAAGAATCCCGTCGCAGTGGGTGCCTGGATGGCGTTCGGGAACGTGTGCCGCTTGTTTGCTTCTTTTCCCGCTGCGCATGAAAAGGGAGCGGAAAAAAGACCTCGAAGCAATACGTAGCTGTGGCATGCTGTTCATATTTGCACTCGCAAGCCAACACGCACTGCAACAGGTCGGTTCGTTTGAGTTCAGGGACTCTGCAGGAGGCCGGCGGCCCACAAATGCAGAGGACGTATACCACTTCGCAACGCAGTTGCGCACCGTATCAAAAGAGTCATCTTCGCGCGCGGAGAGTGAACTTTTGAACTGAAAAACAGGGATCGATAAACGGCGATGGAGCAAACGATAGCCTTGGGCTCGAGGTACCCCGTCCTAGTCCGAAAAGCCGAAGTTTTGCTCCATATGATAGCTCTGATTTGCTTGATGTGTCCAGCATGGAAAGTGTTAGTGGTAAGTCGAGAGGAAGAGTAAGGTACGAGGACTCGGAGGAAAGAGAGAGCGAGTCTGACATCGGTTCCTGACCAATCAATCTAGGATTGCCAGCCAGGGCTTCGAAGATCAGGTACCTACCCAAGGTATCTTGAATCTTCCGGTATTCCGTGGTGACGGATACTGACTGGCCTGGACCAACAAATGTCATTTAGGCTCGCTCACGCCCCGAGAGTTCCCACAGTCACCCGCACTCACCCCGGCCAGAGGTCACTTCGTATAAGACTAACCTAACCGGGTCCGATACCGATTTTGTCGGTCTTGGTTCTCCGGAACCCGAAACTTGGCCACCCGCCCGGACTCTGAACAAATCCAGCATTCTACATGCAACTAGCTGACGTCTCCAGAAAACATGCGTCAGTACCTCGCCAAGCCGGGAACAGGGACGTCTTTGCTTATGAAAGTAACACGGCATCGGCATCGGCTTCGGACCATAGCCAGGCCTTGCACCTGTGAGTTTATTGTGCATGGTTCTGAGTCAACCCATTCAAGGTACATAGTCATCTACCTGGTAGGTAGGATGCCAGTCTATAGCGCTATTGGAGCCGATCTGGCTTGCAACCTCAAATCCAGTCTCTAGATGCTACCCTGATCTTCAATTGAGAACACTGGCGAAGTGCAGCAATAATTGGTTCATCTGGGCCTACATCCCTCATGCAGCAGAGTCATGTTTGAACTTTTATTCGATTCTATTCACATGACGGCGAAAAAAATGAATGGTCGCAGGCTGCAGATCACGTCTAGATTTGTAGAAGCCCTACAAAGTTGAAGGTTGTCCGTTGGAAGTTTACTTTGACTTGCTTGGTTGAGGTCGCAATGCTGTGCCTCCCAGGTGCGATTAGCTTAATGCAAGGCCCTGCTACTCGCATGCGGCTTACTTCTCCTCAATTAGTCTAGACGACAGTAGACCGCCGCACAAAAATGTCATCTGCCTGGTGATTAGGCACTCCAGGCACACCCGGTGACCGATTGCAAAATACCCTCAAGCGGGACCATCAGGTGACTATGTAGGCTGTTGCGGCACAGCAATCGGCGAGCAGTTTCAGATCGCGGCAAGCCAATGAAATGGCTGCGAGAGGCGGCCGACTGTCGCCGGCGGTTCTTCCTCACTTCGGCAATGAGCCTCTTGCAGCTGTTGCCTGATATATGGCTCCATTCAACTCTCTGATCCGGATTTCTGCCATCGATAATTACCAAGCGACGCCGCAATGTCAGTCAATTCACTTACCGATATCTGCGGTCCTGGCAGTGGCAGTGGCAACTTGCATGTTTCCTTGCAAAAAGGACTCGACTGTTGTGGCCAGTCGAGAGTCATATCCAATCACAACTGCAATGTATCTCGTCATGTCGTCATTGCAGGTCATCCATTGAGTCCAGAGCTCGGAGTTTCCGTGTCCCCATGTCTCTATGCTGTTCTATGATACAAGGTAAGACCGTCCTAGCCGTTGCGGAAATTACAAGTTCGTAAGATAGTCCTCAATCTCCTGAGGACTGAGCTTTCTGAAGCGAGGGCCCTTGGCACCCTCAACACCCTCGATGCCGAGCAGGTGGTCCGCCGGAGGTCCAATGATACCTATGTTCCCAGTTAGACATATTTTTGACGATACACTTCGAAAACTTACCAATCTCAATGGTATCTCCATTCATCTCGCCCTCAATGGTCTCCTTGAGTGTGAGCAATGCAATGTGCACGGCGTCCTCAAGCTCCAGGCCCTCCGTGTATCTCTTCTCCAGGAACGTCTTCGCAGACGTAGCGCTCTTGCCAATCGCCGTCGCCTTCCACGGGAAGTAACTGCCAGAGGGGTCGACTTGGTACAGCATGGGACCACCCTTCAGAGTACCGCCGGTCTTGCCTGTGGGCTTCTTCTCCTCGCCTTCCTTGGTCTCAGTCTCGTCCTCGGGCAAGATACCCTCATCCCAGCCAGCAATCAGCAAGCTGACGCCGTAAGGTCGGACACCACCAGACTGAGTAGCCTCCTGCATGACACGGGCAACATCCTGGACCAATATCCGTGTAGGCGGGTATTCGTTGTAGATACGCTTGTAGCCGGTGTGCGAGACCTTGCGAGCCTTGTCCACCAATATTCTATAGTCGGGTCCCATACCTGAGTACACCATACCAATGTCGGGGGTGACGAGACTGATTTTGGACAGCGAGCTAGGGTCGGCAAGGGGCGATGATGACTTCTTCTCGGTCGCAAGGACGATGCCGTTGGTGGCTTTCGAGGGGTTAGCATGGGTTGCGGAAGGAGGGGCAAGTCGACTTGCCTTTGATACCGAGGGCGGTGACACCCTGGTTGACTGCGTTCAGAGCATATTCTATATGGATGTCAGTCCTGTCGTTTGAGGGTTCATTCCGTTTCTGATGCTGGGAATCGTCGGCCGGTGGGGGTTGTGTTGGAGCATACCGATCTGAACCAGCTTGCCGCTATAATCAATTAGCATGCGGACGTCATAGGTTTGAAGCATGTAAATTACCTGGGCGAGAACGTCGTCAGGGAGAAAGAGTAACGGTCGGCCATTGCTTGATTATTCGATCGTGCAGTCGAGATGTGATGTCAAGTACAGTGGACGGGGAGGATGGTGGGTGGGTTGGCTGCGGTCAAACGAGGTGAGGCTGCTGGAGCTAAGGTACGAAGCTCTCCCTCCCAGGCAACTCGCGCCGCGTCAAGCTGCCAGACGCCGGACGCCGCTTGGGGAATTAGCAGCACGTGATATCACCGGCGCTGGTGTTGATCCGGGTTAAATGCTGATGTAATCGAGCCACTCTGGAAGCTATGACCACCCGCAGAAAGCTCACAATAAAGTGCCTGGTGCTGGAATATTCTTTTTCGCTCTTCGATTGTCCTGTGTTCTCCAAAAAGATTCTATTCGCTTGGCACAGCTTCCCCGAAAGGACAGATCAGGCTCTCATATTGCCTACGCTAATTTCTGTCATGTAGGCGCTGCTGCACTTGGTCAACTTAGGCCAAGTTTCCAACCCCGAGCCAGCCGGTCCTTCACTTCAAACCTTCTATTGCATCTTCTCTTCTCACAGCACAGAGTCACTCCAATTGCGCGATACAGAAAGCTCAATGCTCGGAAGGCGCAGCGGATTCCGACGTCTCCAGCAATCAATTTCCACTCTTCATCATGGACGCGGCGAAACCTCAGTGGAATTGGCCGTCTGACCTCCCAATGGGAGGCTCAGCGGGCAACAGCCACTCTGAAGCCGATCCACCCGAGAAGTCAGAGTCTGTCAAGTCTGAGGACCAGGGCCAACAGGACAGAGATCATCCCCAGGAGCAACCTCAGTCTCCGCCCAAGCAGAGATACTACGGGCCTCGAACATGCCGCATCTGCTTCGAGTCGGTTCACCCCACTTTCGAAGAGCCAAGTGTCATGAGCGGCTTCATAAACTCACGTCCACGACCTGTCTACAAATCCGACGATCCCGACTCCGGACGACTCATCTCACCATGCCAGTGCAAGGGGTCTCAGCGCTACGTTCACGAAGGGTGCTTGCAAGCTTGGAGGTATGCCGACTCGACAGCTACGCGGAACTTCTTCGCATGTCCCACCTGCAGCTACCAATACAAGCTGGAGCGATTATCATGGGCGAATCGTTTGCAGGGGACGTTTGCCCAAATTGTACTAACTATCCTCATCTTCATCGTTTCGGTCTTCATCCTTGGTTTCATTGCGGATCCGATTTTGAATCTATGGACTGACCCCATGGGCGCAATCGCCGATATGGCGGCGAATGTTCTCGACGACATCGAAGCAATTCACGAGCCTGTACCTGAGATGGGTGCGGAGCCTGGAACATGGCTGGAACACTTCCTCAAAGGCTTCTTTTCTCTTGGACTGCTTGGGTTCGTCAAGTCTCTCTTCGCCCTTTCGCCTGTTCAATGGTGGAACTTGAGGTCCAGCGGTATTCTCAGTACTTCTGGACGTCGAGCTGGGACTGGTCGCGCGCGTGTTGAGAATATCAACTTGGCGTTGGTCGTCATTGGTGCCGCGACCTTTATGTGGGGAGTATGGAAGGGCGTGAGAAAGTTCAGTGCTTCCGCTCTGCAACGTGCGAGCGACAGAGTCTTCGATGTGGGCGGTGACGATGATGAGGACGAAGACATCAAGGAAGACTAACAGAGGTCGGAATGTGGAGAAACGCAAACATTATTTATTACTCAAGAGACAGAACGCCTGTAGCGCCATGTGTCACCGAGTCCGCGATGTCACCCGCACACTCTTAAGTTGCCTCGAAGATTCTCTTCCATATCGTGTCAACTAGTCTGTGTGCGGAGAAGAAGTCTCTGCTCTGTCTTTGAATTGAGCCGTTTTGGTTAGATTTACTTTGGACGGGCGGACGACATCAACCTGCTATCAATCAATCAACATTCTGTTGGCTGACTATGCCGACGACAACTCTCAACATCCTTTGAGTTGCCAGACGCGCAGGCTGATACATATATGTCTCATGGATTTACCAATGGCGTAGCTTAAGAATTTGATAGTGACCAAAGACTTAAATAGACTTCTGTGTGTCACGTTTCGACTGCCAGGCACTGGTGATGAACTGGGTGAAGGTTTGCAAGGAAGTATCAATTTGAATGTCGGGTATTTTTTTAAACAATCCGACCTTATTTATCCAGTAACCTACCTGATGCTCAGCGTCACAGCACCCCGCATAGAGCATTAGGTTTGACGTCGTGTTGGTGGTGGGGAACCAGCGCAACCCTTGACAGAAGGGGCTCAGGGGACCCAGGGATCGCTCGACCGGACAATAATACCACCGACCGGGCCAATGATTGCTGGTTTTCGGCGCGGTCCAGATCTAATGTTCCCAAAGTGGACCTCGAATTAAACGAAGCCGTGGTATCGAGTTCGTGTTCACCAGTCTGTACATTGACAGGCCGTCCTCGCCCTTGCACCACTGCTTCCCTTACAAAACTTTCGCTTTCCAAGGTGTCGCCTAGACTTTTCGAGGACTGGACGTGATGCGACTCTTTGGATGACGCCCTGCGAATACCCCGACGATCCTCGACTTCGACATTCCATCACCTTTTCCTCCCTCCTTTCTGTGCCAAGCCTCTAGTCGCAACGGCCACAGTCGGCGTCTCCTCTCGTGTTCGACCGCCGACGAAATTTGTCCTTAAACGACCGCCATTTCCGGGACATCGAGGCGTCGCATTTTGACGCTGGTCCAGCTGCGACAATTCCTGCGATTGTAGGCCGACGAGTTCTCCCTTTGAACTAATCTCCTAATTCGACACGATGCATTTCGCATACCCTCCACGAAAGAGCTCGAATCCGCCTCCCTTCAAGGCGAGATCCTCTAGAATACCACCGGTTCTTCGACGCAGCAGGCTCAAGGTCATTGCGGCAGGTGCCCTTGTATTCTTTGGCTTCATATATATTCTCTCCGGGGCCTTCAAGTCGCCCAGTGGCCCTCGAGTACCCTCTGGCGACCCACCTGCGGTAATAGTGACGGTGCTGGACGAGGACAATTACAGCAATACATATCTTGCAAGCGTTCGCGACAACAGGAAACAATATGCGCAGCTACACGGTAGGCATTCACTGGTTCCCTGTGGCACTGCACATGCTGATAGCTCTTTCTCTAGGGTACGAGGTGATGTTTGTGAAGGCGGGCGATTATGATCTGGACGGATCTCCAACATCATGGAACAAAGTGGTGGCGCTGAGGCACGCAATGACAAAGTTCCCGGAAGCTAGGTGGTTCTGGTACCTCGACCAAGACGCCTACATCATGGACCCAGCGACGACACTAGAGAACTTGGTGTTGAAGTCGGACAAACTGGATACTTTGATGGCCAGGGATCACCCAGTTGTGCCCCCAGACAGCATCATCAAAACATTCCCTCATCTCAAGGGCGACGACATCGATTTCGTGGTAACGCAAGACAGGGAGGGTCTATCTTCGAGCAGCTTCTTCATCCGGAATGGCGAGTGGGCGAAGTTCTTCATTGACACCTGGTTCGATCCGCTGTACCGTAGCTACAACTTCCAGAAGGCTGAGGGCCATGCTTTGGTGAGTCTCTTTCTTTTTGTTTCTTGTTTGTGCCTGAGCCATGTCTGACCGTCGCCTTAGGAACACATTGTTCAATGGCATCCCACCATTCTTTCGAGACTTGCCATTGTGCCGCAGAAGACATTCAACTCCTACAATCGATACGATAAGGGGGAGATCTACAAGGATGGTCACTTTGTTGTCCGCGCAGCTGGTTGCACAAAGACTGGAGAGCGATCTTGCGACGAGGAGCTGAGCAGCTTCAAGACCAAGTGGAAGGCGGCATTCAAGGCGCAATAGACGGGGGCCTAGAAGAGAGCAAGGCTTGTCCTCACTAGAGGACCTACGCACAGAGAAGCTCCAGGCGTTTTATTTCCCAGGAAGCATGAACTCGGCATTTCAAGTGTACAAGAGCTGGACGAGGGCGTTTATTTGGGTTTGGGGAGACCATCTCATGAAGGAATTTTGTACGGGGGTTACTGACAGATGGTCAAGGGCTTCGGGGGCTACCCGGTTGCATGAGCCTCTCGCGCGGCGCTCATGAGGGTTGTTATGTTTTTTCTCTCTTGATACTTTCGAGATGATGACTCGTTTTGACGACTGAAGGCTTGCGTCTTCTTGTGTTTTGTATACCATACCGATAGACATTGGCCATCCTGCCAAGAGCGCGGATGCTAATACGGACTTTGTTCGCAAATCTCCACCCCGTTGACAAGCAATTGATCTAGGCGGCGATCGAGGGGCCAGGACCGTCTCCACTTGGACCAACCTGTCCCATGAGGATGTCTGACTGCTTTTACAAGGCGAGTTGGACAGGGAAGACGACCTCGCATGAACCAATGAGGATGAGTCTAGGCGCAAGTTGTTGGTCGTTGATGCACGTCTGCGATTCGGCTGCAAGGTTGTCGTCCGCTAAGATCGAATACCCAGGCGTGTCAGGCGGCGCCTGGATCCGCTTGGATCTCTCGGACGTCGACGCTGTCGATGTGACGTGGGCGAGGCAAAGCGCATGGCCACTTTGTCGGAGCTTACTCACCAGGACACTGGTCGACCACTAGCATGGGGGTCGTCGTGCGACTCGATTGAAAGCTCGAAAGGCTTGCCATTCTGCATCCTTAGTTTTCTTTATCGATCGTTATGCAAAGAGGCAAAAGGGCTCTCAATGGTTGAAAATGCCATTCCAAGTGGATTCGGGGCCATCAAGCCGGATGACGGGCGTCCGCGGACCCGATCCCGCCCCGCTATTGTGGATCTCTTTGCTCCGGGGCAGTCCGCGGACGGACAGACTTGGATGACTTTCAAGGTTGCTTTGACAGATAACGCTCACCAGTTATGCTCCAAACATGGAAGTTCTCATTGAACGGAAGTAACGTCTACTACGAAAAGAGGATTTAAGGTAGCAAGAGAAGACCGGCGATCTGGACGCAAAGTCATGCGTACATTGGACAGATTGCCCAATCGGCCGAGTCTGAAAGTCCTCGGTTCGCGTGGAAAATGTCGTCACGTATCAGTCGCGGCGTTAAGATGACGGGCACGTCGCGCGGTGCGGGCTGCCCTCTTTGGGTTGGGACTTTGGAGATGGCGGTTCATCACTGGCCGCTCCACCTCGACACTGGCACCTCACATTGGGGAAGAGCCTAAGAGGAAGCCATCGGCTCAATGTGAACCCTACCTTGTTAGTCAAGGTCGCTTCCCCAATTAGACGGCGATGGCATGATCTGTCAAGCTTGAAGCAGGACCCCCTGTATTAATGACTTGCCTGAAAGGTGCGTGAATGATACTGCCTGCAGCCAGCTGGACGCGGACGCCGTAGGAAACAGGGCTCTTCTTGCTTGGAGTGGCGCATGTGACAGACCGGATGGCGGCAATGCTCCCCCCCAGAGAGAAGCGGCGCTCCAGAAAGTCCAGAAGGTACTCCGCTATCTTCACTGCACCGACAGGGGTAAACGGCGCTAAGAAATAATCAAGAAGACGCCATACCCCACGGTTTTCTGCTCCTCGGGATCCAGCCGTTGGCTCTGCTTACCACAGCAGTTGCACAGCAAAGACCCTCTAGCCTCTACTTTCCTGACCCCGGCCGCCCGTGATGCTCTTGCTGTGGCGTTGTTAACGTCGGAACCTTCCAAAGTTCCCAACTATTAGCCTTGATCTTCGTCCGGTCCCCCAGTCTCCAATTCCTTTTTTCTTCTTGAGCCCCCTCGTTCGCATTCCCTTCTACTCCGCGCATTTATAAATTGGAAATCGCACCCACTCGGATTTGGTCTCCGTTTTCCACGATTTCCACCTTCATTGCTTGCCTGTCGCGAATCGTATCACACTACCGTGCCGAGTTCCAACAACGGCAGCAGACAAGATGCCCGGCAGCTCCCGCATTCCCGCAAGCTTGCGCGAAGGACTGAACCAAGTCAAGCGTAGCCGGCAAGCGAGTCCCTTGTTGGTCCTGAACCTCGACCTGTGAGTTGCTAATGCTTCCATCTTTCCACTTCGGCAAGTGTCCCGAAGTTACCTCGGCATCGGCTAACCTCGAGGACTCCCGGGCCGTAGATTGCGCAACATCATCTTCTTCCTCTTCGTCTGGCGATGGACGCGCAAGACGTTCCTGAAGCTCAAGGGCCGCGGCCTGATTGGCAGTATCGTCGAGATCTACATTGATATCCGCAGAGTCCTGTATGGCTACTTCCTGCGCGCCCCCGGCGTCCGCGGCCAGGTCCAGAAGCAGGTCAACGAGAGCATGGCGAAACTGCAGACCAAGATGATCCCCGCGAACCTCACCCGATACCTGACCCTGCCGAAGGAGGGCTGGTCCGAAGACGACGTCCGAAAGGAGCTTGATACCCTGGCGAACATGGATCACACGAGATGGGAGGATGGCTTTGTCTCTGGCGCCGTCTACCACGGCGAGGACGAACTGATAAAGCTGCAGACTGACGCGTTTGGCAAGTTCACCGTCGCGAACCCAATCCACCCGGATATCTTCCCGGGTGTGAGGAAGATGGAGGCTGAGGTTGTTTCCATGGTTCTGGCCATGTTCAACGCTCCTCCCGGCGCTGCCGGTGCCACCACGAGCGGTGGTACTGACAGTATCCTGTCGGCCTGCCTTGGCGCGCGCCAAAGAGGGTACTTTGAGAAGGGAATTACTGAGCCTGAGATGTACGTTTTCTCTGTGAAACTTTGTTCTCGTAGTCTTTCTTACTGACGCGCATCAGGATCTTGCCCGAAACCGCCCACACTGCGTTCCGCAAGGCCGGTGACTACTTCAAGATCAAGATCCACTACGTTGCCTGCCCTGCGCCCAACTACCAAGTTGATGTCCGCGCTGTCTCCCGCCTGATCAACAGCAACACAGTTCTGTTGGTCGGATCCGCACCGAACTTCCCTCACGGCATCATCGATGACATCAGCGCTCTGTCCAAGTTGGCCGTCAAGAAGAAGTTGTGCCTTCACGTCGACTGCTGCCTCGGTTCCTTCATGGTTCCCTTTTTGGATAAGGCCGGTTTCGAGACCGAAGTCTTTGATTTCCGTCTCAAGGGCGTCACGAGCATCAGCTGCGACACCCACAAGTATGGATTCGCGCCCAAGGGCAACTCAACAGTTTTGTACAGGTCCGCGGAACTCCGCAAATACCAGTACTACGTGTCGCCAGATTGGTCTGGCGGTGTGTACGGTTCTCCTGGCATAGCCGGCTCCCGTCCAGGTGCCCTGATTGCCGGCTGCTGGGCTAGTTTGATGAAGGTCGGTGAGGCCGGTTACATTGACGCTTGTGTCAAGATTGTCGGCACTACCAAGAAAATTATTGAGAAGATTCGCGAGACCCCGGCGCTGGACAACGAGTTGGAGATATTGGGAAAGCCTCTTGTGTCCGTTGTCGCCTTTACCGCCAAGAACCTCAACGTTTACGACATTGCCGACGGCATGTCAGAGAAGGGATGGCACTTGAATTCTCTTCAGAACCCTCCCGCGATCCATGTCGCTGTTACTCTGCCAATTACCAAGGTCTACGAGAAGTTGTTGACTGATCTTGAGGCCGTTGTCGAAGCTGAGAAGGAAAAGGAGAGAGTTCGCGCCGTTGAGGGTAAGGGTGTCAAGGGCAAGGCCGTCGGTGACTCGGCTGCTTTGTATGGCGTTGCCGGATCCCTGCCGAACAAGAGCGTGGTTGTTGACTTGGCCAACGGTTTCTTGGACTTGTTGTACAAAGCATGAAGGAGGAAGCAAGAAAATTGGTTGGGAGTTTTGTAAGTGGATTAGCTGGCGAGCACTCGATCTCGATTCGGGTTGGACAAAGCCCCAGTAACATATAACGGTGTAACATATTTATCTATCCAGCGTCTTTTTGATTCTCACCGATATCGCTCCCACTTTGCACTGCTGACCATGCGAAGCTTACCGAACTAATGGGGATTGGCTCGCTGTTACTCAGTAGTGTCCAGCTCGAGGATCGGGACGGGGCGAACGGGACCCCCACATGTTCAAGACATGACCGAGTGTGTTCGTTCGGAGCTTTCCTGTCCTCTCCCACGGGCCGAGTTATCTCATTTTCTGTCGGGTCTTTTTTATCTTCATGGGAGGTTAGGGTTGCCTCAGGCCTACCGCTCTGACCACAATTCGCCAGCAAACGCGAGTGCAGAAGGACTGATTCGTATTCATTGGCTGCCAAAAATCGGGATATGATCTCGATTGAAGCGGCCTGCCGCGCGGACATGCGAACCAGTTTTCTCTCAAGAATTTCGGTAGACGCCTTACCGCGGACGGCCAGCGGGACATCCGGAGCGTCACGGCCCAATACCGGGGGCCACCCATGGCATCGTTCTTTGTCTCCTGCACTTACATGCAGCATCCCACACCGCACTATCGAAAGCTTCCGCATCACATCCAAAGAGCCCTCTCCCCTCCAAGCTACGTCTCAAGTCGAGGCCTGTGGTCTTATCGGGGACCGCTTGGTGGCACCGGCAACAAACTCCAAGAAAAACTTAGCGATGGGACGCCCGCGCTGACTGTCGACTTAGGGCCAACGAGCAAACATGGCGTCGCCTGACTTGGATTGTCCAACGCGATTCAAGCTAAGATATCTTGAGCGACACGGAAACCATGACTTGGGACACAGCAACTCGAAACGACGGGAATAATGATATTTTGCTATAGTTTTCATCCGAGGCGGAAACTTTCAGCTTCCCGAACGCGTGTGGCCTCAAGAACGAAACCCTCCCGATGTCATCGCATCCTTTGGTGAGGGCCATATCCTGAACACCCTGACGTGGGAGAATCCCACCAGACGACCTTCTTTTTCCATCTCAGCTCCCTTCGGTGACGCATCGAAACGCTACCGATGTGCCGTGTACCAGGCCATGACATTGCCATCCAGATAACTTTGCGGCCCAATGAGACAGGGATGGGCCTCGTTGGAGAAACGGTGCACGGCAGAAAAAGGGCAACTTTGTGTGGCCTCTACGCTGCCTTCGCCCGACTACTTTGTACGAGCTACCACCACGTACACACAGCCTGCTGATTTCCCTTTCTTCCTCACATCTATTATGCCATTTTCTCCCTCCTATCGCATGGGTGAGGGGAACACCACATTCTTATCCCTCGCATTTTGAAAATGCACTTTTCCGCATCACTCATGCCGCTCGTGGTGTTGCCTCCGTGATCGACCCTTTCATACCTTCGTGCTGCACCTTATCAACCCACCTGACGCGAGGGGAAATAGATGTCAACATCTCATTGGGGAGCGCTCTCAAGTGTCCCATCGGCGTCCGAAGAGGGCATGGGCCTATAACTATTCCCGCCTTTTCTGCTGTTCATCTCAGCTCCATTTCGGTCTGCCCCTTTTCGTCGTCCATTTGCTCGGTATATACGGCTACTCTTCCTTTCGCGCCAACAGCCCAATCGCTTTGGTTCCCTCCCAATCCTACGCCTACTGTCTCTTGTTTGCCATCGCACAAACGATCTGGTCTGAGCTTTCTCGGAAGTTCGCATGCTGCGGCAGACGGCATATCCAATACCAACAACATCGGCAACCCGCCATGACTACCACCCCAGCTGGCAAGACCGTGCGGCCAAGGCTGAATACCACGACGAACTGGTCCCTGCCGAGAGATCAAGCGGGCCGCCCGGAGCCGGAAGAGCTTTCCCCGCTGTCACCAGGACGGGCTACTGAGGAGTACGGCTGGGGACAACAAAAGGGGAGCCATGGTCACGGAAACCGAGTGGATGAGCAGCAGCAGCAGCAGCAGCAGCAGCAGCAGCAGGGTCCAGAGAGTTTGATTATGGAGACTCTCACTTCGAGACCTCGCGATAGTCTTGGTAGCGTGCCGTCTGATATGTTGGAGGAGTTGAGGAAGATTATCAAAGAAGAAGGTCAGTTTTGTTCCAAGGTGTCTTTGAAAGGCTGGAGTTTACTAATGATGTTGTCCAGTTGCCCAAGTTGCTCAAGTCGTTCAACTAAAGACCAATGAGACCGGCAACCCCGTCGACGCAGCTCGGTTGTCCCCCTTATCCAGCCAGAACTCCGTCTTCCCTCCGGCGTACCCCAGCCCGCCGCCTTCCATCATCGACGCACACGGCGCCTCCAAGACCTCCTCGCCTAGGGATTACAGTCCGGAACTCGCCCACGTGAAGGCTGCGTCGGCGCCTCCTCCGCAGCAGTATCAGCCGTCGCCGCCAACTTCGTTTCCCGTACCAGCACCTCAGTCCACCCCGCCCATCAGTCCTCAGCAAAGAGGGGTTCACTTTCGAAAGAGGGCACCGCCGGTCATTCATTGCCAACCGCGTGTTGAGACGGATAACGAAGATGATGTCTCGCCGACTGCTCCTGCATCGCCGCGAGTTGAGTTGAGTAGTGTTGACAAGGCGTGGGGTGTGTTGTTTGATTCGGAGGGATATCCTACCAATCGACTGAATAGCGTGCTCAGAGGTCTCGCTGACTTTATGGTATTATCGTCTGCCGTCCTCTCCATCACTTTGTATTTGGCTGACATGAACCTCAGATTGCGGAGTTTGGGCCACCAGAGACACTCGTCGTCACCCCTGAGAAGATGCTGACGTTGTACACCAAATACAAAGTTGAGCCTGAGAGGTTCCAATATGAAGGTAAGGTGAATTTCCATTGATGGTCCAGAAATACATGCTGACGTATTATCAGACATCTTCAAGTCTCGGTCTAAAGATGCTTTGGAGCGAATCGAGTTCTTATATCAAGACCTTGACTGCCAATACCACCTCGTCCAGGCCGCACCCAGATCTCACCCCAACATCCCCGGTTTAACCCCCGCAGGCTTCGCCAAATGGATGATCAGCAATATCCTCGCCTACCCAGACTCAGAAGCCAGGCGTCTGCACGCCATCATGACCGCCCTCCCCATCAACGCCGACGGACCCCTCCTCAACGGCAAACCCGAAAGACTCCCCAGACAGCTGTCCCGGCACCTCTTCCCAGAGACCCATGATAAGAAGGTCCGCAAAATCACCGACGAGGCAATATGGGATTGTCTAGAGGACGTTGCGCCGCCCCTGCCGTCCATCCCGAAGTCTCGACCGGGCCCACCGCCCCAGGACGCGGCTAGGCTCCCCGAGGCTAACACGCATACCCGCCGGTCCGGAAGCGACCTCCTCAAGCGTCCTGCGTCCCTCCCTCACCGTTCGAGGACGTATGATCGCGGTAATCACCGCGCCGAGCCGCATCCGGCCCGTCTCCCGCGAGCCAACTCGGACGCGGGCGGGTCCCTACCTAGACATCGTGACTTGCCTCCCCCTCCGGTTGGTCGGCACTCGACTTCGTCTCAGAGACAGCGGAGCCCGCCGCCTACGAATCGGTATACCGCGTCTCTGCCGTCCATCTCGCAGCACCATGTCAGCAGTGGTGGCGGTGCTGCGTCGCCTTCGCCTTCTTCGTATGATATCCGTGGTGGTGATGCTAATTACGGGGTGTATTCTGGTCGAGACCGGGATGGGCATCGGGGCTCGGATTCGAGGGATGAGTCGCCGCGGTCGCCGGGGAGTGGAAGGCGCGGTGGCGGTGGTGGTGATAGGGGTCCGACGTGGGAGGATGTGTATAGCCGCAAGGGGTCTGCTGGTGGAAGGGGGTCGAGCGTTGATGGGGGGTCGCATCGGTCGTTCCGGTGATTTGGAACCTTGATGTTGTGTGTTGAAAGATCTGTTCGAAGCCACTGACGATAAAGAGAAAGGATTTGGAGGGGGGTGAATGAAGATATGACAGTAACGACTTATGCCATTCTCTTTTGTCATGGGATGGTTGGGTCCCGTTCAGTTTGCTTACAAGTTGATCAAGCGAGGGCTGTACGATCTGAAGATATCTGTATTTAGTAACGTAGCGCTGGATAGGTTTCTTGCCAAAAATAGTCTGTTTACTGACATCTTGTTCTAACGTGTTCCCATTATAACTCATAAAGCGCTGGGTCCAAGGTCTTCAATGTAGAAGACGAAGTTGACAGCGTGCGACCCAGGATTGAGTACACTCATACAACCATGACCATCTTTCGAGAAAAGCAAAGATCCATCTTCAACTCTGTCTCATATAAGGGTTGATTCTGCTACTCTGCGTCATAAGACTGGAAGCTTGGGGGGGGGAGGGCTTTTGTATCTTCACTATAGACGAATTTCATTCTTGCAAGTCCTTAAGGCGGTAGAAGTCCCCCCTTAGCTAATGCCAGATTTATGTTGGAGAGAACCGGTTCGGGGAGGCGGAGACTTTTCTCTTGATGATGGCATCACATTCCCTCTGTCCATACCAAACCCGTCAATTCCTACCCCCAATATACAGATTTGTTCGAGCAGAAAACAGGCCTGGATATAATCATGCTACATTCACTGCTTATCATGAACAAAAAGAAAAAAAAGGAAGAGAGAGAGGGGAGGGGGAACACTGACCTTATAATTCACGCCCCTGTCCGGACTCGAACAGCGCGCCCCTCGGTCCAGCACGGAAGTCATTGGGGCATTTATTTTTATTCGGTATATCCGAAACCACTAAGCCAAGTAGCCGTGAATCATGGATTCTTATGAGTGAGTGCTGGTGACGGGAAGCACTTTGGGATGGAATATATATCTTTTGGTGCCTGCCTCGGGGAAGGAAGGGAGGTCGGGTGACTGCACTGGGACTCATTTACCTATTTGGGGAGAGAAACGATATATGATTCTACAATACCAGTCTTGCCATGACGCTATCCCGGTCATGCTGCTTCCGAGTCCAGCCTGAATTTCTCGTTATCTTTCATTTTCTTCTTTCGTTGAAGATACGGACAGGAATCGTAACACCAAGGAGGTGCGTTTGACCAAGCGAAGAAAATATTGCATTTCCTCCCTTAAAATTCATTTAAGGCATAGTATGTTGACCGACTCCATGAACTCCTTGGGCCTGCCTGGCAGCGGCCACTGCCTCTTGTTGCCAGCATCTCTTGAGCTGGATTGGTGTCATGATAATTGGGTTCATACATCTTCTCCCCAGGGATAAGAAACAGTATCCGTTCTACAATTCAGAAGTTTCTTTGACTATTCATACCATAGTGCCGTATATGTTGAACCCCACTTGGCGATGGGAAAAAGCAATTTGAAAAGCAGTATCATTCCCAATCTCTTCGGTCACTAGACACTCTCACAAGGGACGTCTTTCCACCAGCTTCACAACGTAGACGGCCTTGAACCTTTAGATTCCGAAAGCTTCAGCCTCAAACTTTCCCGCAAGTATGAAAAGTTCCCTATCTCCGATATGGTGGTGTCTGCTACTTGTTTTGGGTATATTAGAGAGGTGTCAAGACGACTAGAACCACAACACATCGTTTCAGGGGTATGGAGCGTATGTTGTTCTAGATACAGGCATTCCTTGACCGCTTGGTTGGCTCCGTCGATCGAAGTAAACCGTAATTAAACGTATATCATTGTCTCAAGAACAGAGACATGATCATCTTCATACAAATTTGCCCCGGTACTGGGGATCACTCATGAGGTGCCCAACCTCGAGCATGTTCATAGACGGCCTTAAACCGTTCCTTAAACACCAAACTTTCCACAACTACGGCCTCTCCCGCGATGTTACGAAACCTGCTCATCTCACGAACCTGTGTACACTGTGTTATCAACACCTCTCTGGACATTGTGATTTCGATCCATGGTATATAAACAGGTGTAAGCCCAGGGACTTCCAAGAATGCTATGCTGAATCCCACTCTCTACACATACAAATCACCCGGTTACTTCTCTTCATTGACCCAACCCAACCGTTCTTCATACCACACACTTAGCCTCTCCAAGTCTGACTTACTCTCATCTACAGAGTAATACTCCAATCCCACCAAATTCAACCATCCACAATGGCCATCAAACTCGCCATCCGTCTGCACAACCGCTACACAGCCCTCAAGGCCAAGGCCAAGGGACTCCGTGTCAGCAGCAGCACCACCACCAAAAATGGCGGCCAGAAACAGTGCCTCTGGTGCAGGATCCTCAGACGCAAAAGCCCCGAGCCCCTCATGAACAACGCAGACATCCACGCCTGGATGTCTTCGGATGGGACCCTCTTCGAGCCGGGGATGCAAGTAACCCAAGACTTCAACGGCAACTTGAACCCCGAAGGAAGATTTTCTTTCCGTGAAGGGGCTAATAGTCGCCTCTCGGTCAGGTCAAACGCACCACCACCCTCTAGCGTCTACTCGTTCAGAACTTCTTCGTCGCGTTACTCTTCAGATGAGGCCTGCGTCGATAGCGACCACGACAATATCAACGACGATGACGACAATGACTGGACCACGATCTGCTCCGTCGATGAGGAGGCCTCCAGAATCTACTTGTTCAGAACCTCTTCGTCGCATTACTCTTCAGACGAGGCCTGCGTCGATAGCAACTGCACCAACACCACCAACGATGACGACAATGACTGGACCACGATCTGCTCCTTCGGCGAGGAAGAGGAGGAAACCTTCTACGACGCCGAAGATGGTCTCCCAAGGTCAACCAGAGACATGGTCCCGCTGCCGTCAACCTACTCCCCCTTCGCATCAGACCTCGACACTCTCCCGTCTGCGTACAACCTATGGGCGTTCTAGAAGAACAGACCCAGGGTTTCTTCAGTCCTCAAAGTCGTGGAACCTCGCATGAGCGGCGAGTGCAAATGGCGGGATGGAGTGGCCGCACAATGGACACCGTGCCGTAACTTCATCGCCTTCCCATGATCCGTCGTCTTCACCAAACTCTTCCACCTCAATTTCCTCATCCTCGTCATCTGAGATCGACTGGCGTTGAGCATCACCACCACCACCGATACCATCATCATCGTCGTCTTCCACAATGGTCGTATCAATCTTCCACTGTCGGAGAACGTCATCCTGCTTGCGGAACATGACAGAGATATCTCGTCCGACACCTGGTCCGGCCTCACTACCACTAGCGGCCAAATTCGCAACGCAGACATTCAGAAGCTGCAGATTCCACTTATGACCAGCCAGAAAGAACTTCTTCATCGTGGGAAGCAAGATCTCCGTCGTCAGTCGCTCCGCCAAGGCATCGGGTGTCTCCTTCGTGTTAAAGATAAAGTTAGGAATAGGCTGGGATCGGGAAATACGTTGGAAATCCGGGTGTGAATACCATGGCGTCCCCGGTGGAGGATCAGAAGAAGGCCATTGCCGAATGGAAAGTCTCAATGTCTTGGGGTGCGCAATCCATCTCTGACTGCCCGGCTCGATCGAGTCGTTGCTGTTGTCGTCGGCTAGGAGATCCGTCCGCATACGCCGGATGAGAGAAGCAGATATCTTCCGTAGCTCGCCTTCAATCTGACTCATGCTCTCCAACCCTTTGTACGTGTCCTCGATACTAATCTGTGACGGCACATCGCTCGCGTCCTTTACATCAGTGTCGTCGACCCCATGTAGGAGACCCCACACCCTCTCGCCGACGCCCCGTTCGGAACCAGGGCCGCCGAGAAGCTTCTCCAGTGCGTCGGGCGAAGTCTGCTCGTGTGTACGCACATCGTAGACTTTGAGTGGTGATGTCTCCCTGTCAGCATCGTCGGGTCCCAGGGGCGTCGCGAGGTACTTTTCCTCCAGCGCGCGCGACGTCTTGGAGCCGATACCGGGAACTTTTCGAACGGAGTGCGCATCCATGAACTCGGTGACCACAGCATCGTCAAATGACATCAGCGTCGTTTGGTTACGCGGCTTATTCACGCTCCCCACGAGCTTGCTAAGGAGCTTATTTGTTGATATACCAACCGAAGCCGTGAAGCCAAAGTCCTCCTCAAGCTTCATACGGAGGTGAAAGGCAAGGTGGCTCGCCAGAAGCAGGCGCACGTAGGCGGAGTTGTTGATATCTCTTATGTCGGGGATGTTCCCATATACGCAGCCCGCAACTTTGGTCAAATCACATGGAAACCCCTTTTCGGGATCCTTCTTCGAAAGGTGGAAGAATGACTCTGACAGCGAGGCCCGGTTGAGGCAGAACATGTTGTAGTCGATGATGTCTGTGACGTCTGCTCATAGTCAGCCAATGTTATCCCTCTTCAACATCTCATACTTGCAGCAGAAGCACACACACCCATGAAAATCTCATCGAACCCCAACCTCTCCGCCTTGCGATTCCACGAGTAGCCCCTCATGAACGCAAAGAGCTTTTTACTCGCATCTCGAAACGGCGTCAGATCCTCTCCCTCGATGATGACGAGATTCGGGCAGAGCCGTTTAGCTTCCGTGATGAGCATGAGCTTCTTGACCCCTTGCTTGCGAGCGACGTAATTGCACGTGGCCAAGATGTTCTTCTGCTTCACGCCCAAAGGCAGCGCCTTTAGCCGGGGGTCTCGGTTCTCACAAACTGAGGCGTAGAAGCAGTCATAGTCCTGTAAAGGGGTTCAGTTAGTTGGATTGTCACAATTTCGACGTTGAGAGCTTGAACATTGGATGTAAAGAAGGGGGCATTCCTGGACATCGTGAATTTCGGGGGTTCGACATACAAAGTGGAGTATAACACGGTCATCTCTTCGCCTGGGCGCCCGTTTTCTGGGCAACTCCATGGCTTTCTGACTCTAGCTATCACCCGCCAAAGAGCAGTCACCTTTCAGACGTGACGCACTTTTAGGGGGTGTGAGAACTCGGTGTGTGGCCCCCACCGCCTCCGGTCCTATCGGGGGTTGTTTGGTCGTCTGGGCTGGAACGGGATCAGGATCCGGGGATTGGGGGGCGTGTGGTGTCAACTGTGAACGGTGAACGGTGCGGCCTGGGCAGAAAAGCACGGGGGCGCGCGGGAGAAACGGTCGCTTATCTCACGCTCCGAGTCACCCGACCGACCCGACAGGTACGGAAAGTCCACACGACACCGGTGGCCGCTGCCGACAGGCAAGTAATTAACACCGGTAGCACCTGGCCCAGTGAGGTATGAAAAACCAAGTACGAAGTAACTACTGACTTTCCGTCGGACTTTCCACGTGTGACTCGCTGCCCATCTCACCTTCTACCTTGAACTACAACGTCCCAGAAACTGCATCGTTCCGGGCAGGCAGAGACCAAAACGACTTCCATCGCTGCAGAAGTACGAGAAGTGCATCTAGTTTCCCGCATGCGCTTCTCGGTGCTGCAGATATCTTTGAAAACACCCAGTCACATGGCCCTTGTGATGCACGTCGACTCTTACAGAAACTCTCTGAAACGGCCCTTGTCGACACCCGATCAACATGCATAGCTGATGCCAACAACTTTGCCTTGCCTACCTCGGCGCATCAAATGTCGCCCTACTTTCGGATGCCCAGATGGGCGTTTCCGAACCACTGTCACCAAAATCATTGGACGCCTTCGAACATCCCAAGCCCAAAGATACGCTCTGTCGTCCGAAATGTTCCAACCACCCGATCTCTTTCGCACTTCTTTCCAGTCTACCTACCTAAACCTTGACGCTATACACGCATCGCGCGCCCGCCGCCGAAGACGCCGCCCACACTCTCCGCCAACCACCTCACCTATTACCGCACACCTACACCCAAGTACACAACGACAAATCGCTCCAAGGCCCATCCCGAACCTATGACAACTAACCAAGACCGCCCCAAAGAAGGGAAAGGGTCCCTCTTCTACTGCACGACACCCAGTCCGCCAGCCCACCGCTTCACAAAGCGACCCTCTCCCCGATAGGGTAGCTTCTCAGAGTAAAGTGCAGTGCCCCATCCCCATCCCTCTTCCTCTTAGCCAACGAGAAGCCGTCCATCTCGCATGACAACCCGTCCGTAAGCTCACATAGCCCACACCACCTCCACTACCCTTCCCACTTCCGAACTACAGACTCCCAGCTCGTAGGTAGGGGACCTTTTCACAGGCCCCGATAGCTGGACAGACAAAGAGGGTCACGAGCAAAAAAAGTGTGGTATCTCAGGGTAGCTTCTGCGTTGGTCACTGGTAAAACTAGAAGGAGGGGGAATAGGCAGACTTGACTACCACGCCGCCGCCGCCTCGCGCGCGGATTGAAGAAGTTGAAGAATAATAAGAACCCCGCTTTCCACCATCGTCTGCTCCCTCTCTCTCGACTCCCCCCTCCTCCCTTCGTCTCATCTTCACAACCACCACAAACTTGCTACTCACAAGAACAAAAACACCAACAACATTTCACCACCAAATACCTACCGCAAACATGCAGCCCATGACCAACGCCCACACCAACGCCTGCCCCAAGTGCGGCGCCGCCACTGCCTCTACCGCAAAGACCTGCTCTTCTTGCGGCGCTGTAAGCCTCACCCTTCTAGACTTCTCATACTCGAACCCCCTCCTCATACACAATACCAATCACATCAGCTCAGCTCACGTCACCTCATCTGAACTTTCTAGCCCTTCGACCCCTCATTTTCTAGTTAATAAACATACACTGACATATGCTGCTCTACTATAGACCTGCCCTGCGTAAATCAGTCACGAAAGTCACGGTTTACTTGCCAAAATGTCACCTGACATGGGCCTGAGACTGAGAGCTGGACAAGACTTGATAGACGGAATGGGAATGAGAATAGGAACACCCTCACACTCCTTCACACGCAATGCTTGCGTTTTTGTCATTGCGCTTCAGCCAACAAACGCATGGAGTCCGGACGGGGGAGTCAAACTGAGGGATTGGTTGCAGAGAACGCTCACTCTCCTTCCGCCCAGCTTATCTCGAGATACTTACTCACCTTGGACCTCCACGGCTTCAATAAGCCCCCATCATGGACTAAATCCCGTCCACCATAGGCATGAGAACAAATCAAATGAAATAAAATACCCCCTTATGACCCTCAACCAAGCCGTAATGGTTCAATTCTACATACCCCCATTATACGCGTTCCCGTAGCATCGCCTAGTCCCTCCGCCCAAACGTTAAACAGGGCCATCCCCTTCACCAGAGGCGGGGCAGTGTAATCAACGTGACACCACTACCCAAATTTGAAAGCCACGGCTACCCTGGATCATTCACCTATACGTCTTAAAGTCGCCCATATTTAGAAGTCATTACCGTCATGTGCCGTCCTGTTGGTAAAGACAAACTAGGCAAAAGCCAGGAACTGCATACTAAGACTCCTTCCCAATCACATCACCGATATAACCCGCGTTACCTGGGCTACCTGGGCTACCTGGGCTACCTTACCTTTTCCATGGTGCGATCTCTCTTTTGGAGGTTCAGTGCCTTGCCTCTGTACAGTTTTCATCTCATCTTTTATAGCCCCTGGCACGTGAGAATGACGGCTATGACGATGTTGTCAAGAAGTTGTGACTGATGTCAGTGTGGATCAATTATGCACTGGGCACGAGGCGACAAAGACAATCGAGGCGAATGGCAAATGGACGGTTAGAGGCGGTTTGAGTTATCAAAGACCTGGATTGAGAGAATCGACAAGAGAGAAGAAAACGCAGCCAGGAAACACATGTCCATCTCCGCCATCTAAAGCTGCGAGGCGTCAAAAGAGAAAAAAACACGACAAGATTTATGATGTAGCCGGATTCATCGCAATACTACGGCCAGACGAGCCGATTCCACAGCTGAAGACCGTTGCCATACCGCCGTTCCCGAGGTTAACAAACAACTCACTGTCCATCGTCACCCAGCAGCTGCCGGCCGCGCCAGCCAACAACCGCTTTCCTCCCCAGAGACCGTGAGACATCCGTAGTAGAAATCGTTTCCCTCGCAGCTTCTCTCGTGAGGATTGCGGCTAGCTGTTGCTTCTCCCAGTCACCGTTCGGCAGGGAATGACATGGATTCAGTAAAAGACGCCCCGCAGAACCAGATACGGTAACACGCCGATCGATGTGGTGCCAGGTGGGTTATGAGACACAATGTTGAGCAAAACTCCAAATTCCGAGAACCTATGCAGGCAAATATTGCCCCCGCCTTCCAAACCGCCACCAAAAACCCTTTCTCATCCGAAAAGTTGGGAAAAGACAATGGAGGCTGGGACCTTGATGATTACAAATGGGGGTTGTGGTCGAAGAGGGAGAAAGGGTTTGGGAAGTTCGCCCATTGGGTATTTAGAGCATCAAGCACTTGTGCTTCTTGCCGCTGCTCCGGCTGCGGGAGAGCAGAGCAGCGCGCGTGGCGTGCTCGAAGACCTCGCGGACACCCTCGTTCGTCTTGGCGGAGCACTCGAGGTACTTGTAGGCGCCAATCTTCTTGCGGACCTCCTCACCCTACGAACAGAATTAGCATGCAATCGTAACGACCAGGGACACCTGAGGCCGCCGAGCATCTTGTAATGCCCGAAGCGACCCCTATCTCAGTGGGAAGATAAGCTTACCTCTTCAGGGGAGACGGGCTTTTGGCTGGTCTTACGCAGCTCTTCAATCGTCTTGGCGTCGTAGCGGAGATCCTTCTTGCAACCGACAAGAATGATGGGCAGACCCTGGCAGAAATGCAGGACCTCGGAGATCCACTATGGAAAGAAGTGCACGTGTTAGCGAAAGTTGCTTATCGAGTGCAATCATTCGACCCGAAAGGGGAGCAAAGAAAAAAAAAGTAAGCGTACCTTCTCCTGAACGTTGTCGAGGGAGTCGGGGGAGTCGACGGCGAAGCAGATCAGGATGACGTGGGAGTCGGGGTAAGAAAGGGGACGGAGACGGTCGTAATCTTCCTGGCCAGCCGTATCCCAAAGGGCCAGCTCGACGTGCTTGCCATCAACCTCGACATCGGCGACGTAGTTCTCGAAAACGGTGGGAACGTAGACCTGGATTAGTTGTCAGAATATTGCGGGATCGAAAACGGATTCTTGAATGGCGGGTGGAGCATCTCAGCCTGGCTTCGTGATGGGGGAAAACAGGAGGCGGGAGGCCGCGTCGGCGTGGGGGAAGAGGGTAATCTTACCTCAGGGAAGGTACCCTTGGAGAAGACACTATTAAACTGGTCAGCATGATGGAGTCTTTGATGATGAGAGGTTGCCGGTCTATGATTTTGTTTTTTTTCGGCGATGCGATGATGCAGGATTGGTTGTCGCTGGGGCCCAGGCGACAGCGGAGAGGAAGGCAGACAGACGACAGAGAGCGGGAGGGAGAGACGGGTCAATACTCACATCAACAAGCAGGTTTTACCGCAGGCACCGTCGCCGACGATGACGAGCTTACGGCGGATCTCGGCCATGATGTCTGTATTGGATGTGGAAGTAAGAAAGTGAGCGAGCGATGGAGATCGGATTGAGTTGCGGTCGGTTGAGGAGGTTGAGCTTGTTGGCGGAGACGAGGAAGATGGAGAAGGAAGAGCTGCGTCGGAAGGGGGAATCTGAAGGTGGAAGAGAATGGGATGGGTAGAAGTAAGGTAAGGTCACAGTAGTACCTTACGGGTGGAGTTCACTTGACGACGACGCGGGTGCAAAGCAATGGAACAGCAGGGCAGGTTTGTGTTGGGGGGTGTGTGTCTGGTGTGGTGGTGGTGGTGGTGGTGGTGGTGGTGGTAGTAGTGCTGGGTGGACGGGTGGTGGACGAGTGTGGTGTCAGAAGAGGCGGGAGTGAAGGTGAAAAAAAAAAGAAGGGAGCCAGCCGGGCCAGCAAGAGCGAGCGGGAAGACCTGGCAATGGCTGCTGCAGTGGGAAATGGGGGGGAGGGGAAAGGGAGACAAAGATTTGGGTGGAGGACAGGCCAGTGGACAGGGTGCAGGCGCAGACGCAGGCGCAGACGCAGGCGCAGACAAGCCTAGTTGACTGCGTAAAACAGAGGCGACTAGGGGGAACGAGGTTCTCCGTACGGCCCAGGTACCTTAGCCTTTAGGCAGGGTAAGGTACCTCGTAGGGAGGTGCAGGTGCAGACAGATGGATGCAGGACAGGACGGGACGGGGTGAGATGGTCTGGGCTTGTTTATGGCCGTGACTTTGTGGACTTTTGTTTCCCGTGTCATCTGGAGACACACATACACACACAATCACTAGATGCTGTAGAAGATGACGGGGATAGAGAGACAGGAAGAGAACAGCACGGAATAGGGGTGCCAGATACATTAGGCAAGTGAGGCAGTGATGGAGTGAGCACAGGCAGAGAGCATGATAGAAGCAAGCATATTGCAGTAACAGGCGTTATTGACGTATCTCGGATAGCAACTTGGGTCGTCGGTACCTGTTGATAGTGAGATGAGGCGGGAGTATCTTCACCTCAAGGTAAGAAGAGATGCGGAGTATCAAGTGTTGTTGTGCTGATAGCGTGTCTCCCGATACCCAAGGTAAGGTATCTAACAGAGCAGGTAGAGCAGGTACTTGTCTCTCTGCCAGGCGCATGTATATATCTGGTGTGTGTGTCGTAATTCGGTCACTGGTGGTGTGTGTTTCCCAGCTGAATATTTGAATTGAGGATACGGTAACGGTGACGGTGGATGGGGCCGGGGAACTGGATGGATCTCTCTGCTCCTCTCTACTCCGTACCTCTCTCTCTCACTCTGACAGTCTGACCTCTGTGTCTCTCACTCTGCTGATTGTTGACCTCAGTCCTCAGTCTGACTGGTTTGTTTGACCGATGACTGGGCTGGCATTCTGGCACTCTGGCTGCTGGCACTGGCAAAGGGGCGAGACTGCAACGGGGCTGTCCGACCAGTGAATCCAATGTGATGAGAGGGAGCCGGGACTGTTGCCGCGTCCTTGTTTTTTCCTTACCTGCCTACCCTGTAAGTTTTGACGAAGCAGGTATCTTTTGGCTGTGGTCTCCATATAACCAGTACTTGTTTTTCGCTGGTTGGCAGGTGAGTGCGCGTGTGTCCTTATTATTAAGGTACAGAATCAAGTCCTGAGGCAGCGACATAAGGCGAATTGAATTGCAGGTTGGAAGGAAGGGGCCGTTACGGATACAGGGGGCGGGGTGGCTTTTGGGGGGCTCCCTCACCTCGGTGTCTTTCAATTGGGTGGCGACTTTTACTACTGCGCCGTCGTCGGGCCCCCTGTCTTGCTGGCCTTGTGGGAATCTCGTGCGCTGAACCACACCTGCCAACTGCCTTACAGCAAGGTACCTCACTGTCTCTGGCACCTGTACTGCTTCAATGACGTGACGTATGGAAGGAGGATTCATCAAAACTCCTGACGATGCTGACCGATCCGCCAAATGACAGGAAATGGTACTGCATATATCGGCAGGCAGGAGAGACAGCTACTATGCTTGCGTGCCTCTGTCAGATCTGCTGCGTTGGCAGGCAGGTACTTGAGGTAGGCAGGAGGACCAGTTGCGGAGAGCGGTGGGTGACAGATGTGGAAGCCGAGAGTGATGCGATAAGGATAAGGCAGGGTAGCTGCGTCGATAGTGGTTGATCTGCAACGTCAATGTTTGGTAGCCCAGGTGTTCCAGGTTGCCAGACAACAACAAGACCATTCGCGATCAAGGGAATCGGTGACGAACAAAGCCTTCTCATTAAGTGCCGAGCTGACTGGCCTTGCCTATCCATCGTGCCATCCTCCAATCCGCGAATGGCCCCCGGTTTCTCCTCCGTCTGTTGTCGTCCTTGCCTGAGAGCAAAACCAGGTCTCATCCTCTCGTAAGGTACGGGTAGGCATCGTCGGCTTGCAGCCCCGTCGGTCCTATTCCTTACAATATCAAGGACTCTTCATCCCTTCAGGCACGGGTCCAGGCACAGGTCCAAAGACACACCAAGCAGCAGCCATCGATACACCAGCGACGTCTGGTCCTGCAAGTGTCAGCCTCGCCCGTGGCATCCCGCCGGTAGGTTCTTTGTCGTCCTATACCTTTGACATAAACCCCTTTTGCGCTGATGTACTACTTAGACCCAAGTATGAACACCTCGACCAAATCCATCTCGGGGAATCGGCCAAAATCGCTATCCCCAGGGTCCAAGCTTGGGCTGAAACCCGTTGTGCAGTGGCCAAGTCAGATTATCATTCACATATCCGCCGTCATAAGAAGAGTTGACCACGGACAAGCCAACAGTTGCCAGTCTCGTCGACGAGAAGCAGTTGGACGAGCAGGCTAAGACTTGCCAGCATCCGCCGCCTCAGCCAGGGAACTGCTCTTTTGCTGACTCCTGATGGAGCCAAACTAACGGACTAGGTACCTCTTAGTCTGACCTTCCCATCCGCGGTGAGGTGAGGCGAAGCCACATGCACTCGACACCAAGACGCCCTAGGTACAGTCATGCTTCTATTCCACTGATTCAGGACTCTTGCGGTCAAGATTACCGGGACCAGCACAGCCGACACAACCTCTTGATAACGATACGTTGCCCTGCGCAATCCTCTGGTGCGTGCTGGATCTGGCAAGTCTTAGCCTGCACAAGCTCCAAGCTATCCCTCCACACTCTGCGACCATTCGTGCATATGCGCCCACAAGGACAGGTACGTGGCGGAGAAGATGATTGTTGATCGGAACCATATCTCTGTCCGTCGTGTTGCGGTACCGAGATTCTTAACGCCGACCGCACATTGAGCATGACCCATGTGACCGAGGAGACCGTCTTCTTGCCCAAACCAGTCACTCTGTCAGTTGTTCTCTCAGCATTCTCGGCATTGCTGTCTTTTTCGGGTATTTCTCATTCTTCCAGAAAGCCTTCAATAGAAGGAATACGAAGGAGGCACGGAGGCTAGAGAGAGCCGGTGTCCGGCTTTTGTTGTCACCCGCGTGCGTATCCGTAGGTACCTCGGGATGACGCCTTGGTGGATGCTGCTTGCGCCGCAGCTCGAGGCGGTACAAACTTCATAGTCCTGGATCTAGGACTCAATCCCTGCCACTACTCCGTACACCTCAAAATTCACAGTGCCTTGCTGCCAGGGACTGTGCGTCGGGGTTGGACGCTCGGCTCCTGAGCCGCTGCGCGCCTGTGAGTTCACTAACTGACCGCGACTCTGAATCCTAACCAACGGCACTAATAACAGCTTCCGCCAGCTGACGACCAAAAATATGGAATACGGGGAGGGAGCAGCCGCACCATCTTCAGGAAGGAAACAGAGCAAGACATTTGAAAGGGTGTGCATATGTCTCGGTCACCAACCACCTTGAAACTCTTGTCCAGCCTTGAACCCCAAGATCTGGGAAATAAGGGGTCTAGCGATCAACCAACCTTCGGCACCGTTGTTGTACGTTCTGGTAGCCATGTCCCCCAACAGTGTTGGTTTGAATGTTGAGCGACCAAGATTGTACCGACAGAGACCGAGGTGAACGATTTTCTTAGTCAAGTCAAAAGCAACCATCTACTGGCTCAACCGGCAGCTTTGGATAACGATTTAACAAGCCACTCTGATTCGTCATCCGCATCTTCCCTTTCCCATGGCTATTCTGGGACATGGCGCATGAGGGATCATCGTAGGTGCTGCATGATGGCATCGTTAGCCTTGGGTGGGGCTCGGACGACGGTCATCGTCGCAGCGCAGTGCTGCCGCTTGGTGCAGGGAGATTGCAATAATTGATATTTGCAAATCGTCCTCGTTCTCTCTTTCGTCAACACCCGAGAAGCCGTGTGGTTTATACTTTGTTGCCGGAGCAAGCGCCGGCAATGAGCATGCGCATCAGAACTATCTCACCTTGTTAATGTCACCCAGCCAAGTCACACTGGATAGCGGATACTTACCGCCATCTCCCCTGGGACCGGGGGATGTGAGGTTTGTTCATTCATCCGTCCATTGCAAGCTTGGCACCGACACAATGGGATGGTCTTTCGCTTCCAAGTTCCAGGGCAGCTGTCATGTGGCCCCTGCGCTGCATCGTGGTCCGGCATATCTGATTATCCGTACCGCTCCAGCGACCCACCCAGACCCCGGTCCGTAGGTAGCTGCAGGGGCCGTTGAAGCTCCCGACCCGTCTGAAATTTCCAAATCGCCAATTCAAGGACGTCGACGACAGACCACCGCGGCTCCAGCTTCGCCGACGCCTCACACCCACCCCCGAACCCGCTACCGAACCGGCCGCTATTCCGACGACGGATTCGACAGGTCGATCGAAAGATTACCAAACCCCCCGAAACCCCTTCCCAATTGGCCGGGAGCCATATCCGCCAACGATGCAGAGACTCGTCAAGCGCACGGTGCAGGCTGAGAAGCAGGTCGCCCGGCGCATGAAGAAGCGCGCCCGCAGCGAGGGTGGTGCCGAAAAAGCCCAGCGCTTCAGGGACCAGAAGAACCAGCTCACGGAGCTCAACAAGGACATCAAGACGGCCCGCCTCGCCCGTCAAGAGAAATGGGACCTCGGCCCCCTGGCCCCGCGTCGTGATATGTTTGAGAGCTACGGAGCTCTTCAGACAAATCGCCAGGGCCGTTCGACGCCCCTCAAGCCTGACGAGATCGAGGCACGGTGCGAATGGGCCGGCGGAAGTCAGTACCTCAATCTCGCCGTCAAGGACCGCGTTGTGCTTCTCGAGGGCCCCGAAAAGGGCAAGATTGACCGTATTGCGAGCATCAACCTCGAGTACGGCACCGTCCAATTGGAGGAGGTTGGAAAGGTGAGCCTTCAAACTGATTTCTGCTCGAGCAGGGCAACAAGAAATGCTATAGAGAGAGAAGTTCGAAGCTAACCAACTGCCTATCAGGTCACCGTCCACGTCCCCGAATCCTTCCAGAACCTCCTCGACGCCCCCACAACACAAAACACATCAATGAACATCCCCATCTCCGCGGTCCGCCTCGTCCACCCCATCGTCGATCCCGCAACCGGCGTAGCCCGCGACGTCGTCATCCGCCAGCTCGCCCGTGGCCCCGTAAAGTGGTCCCGCACCACCGGCTGGCGCGCCTGGACCCGCTACATCCCCGGCGCCAACATCGCCATCCCCTGGCCCGAACGCGAGGCCGAGGTCCGCGAGGACCAGCCCGGCGACACCCTCCGCCTCGACGCCGAGACCGCCACCTTTGTGCCCACTCTCCTCTCCCCGCCCATGCCGGCCTCCGTCATCGACGAGCTCCGCAACAAGTACTCCCGCTTCCGTACCCGCCACGAGGACGAATACATCCTGCGCAAGGAGGCCGAGGAGGCCGAGAAGAAGGCCCTCAAGAAGGCGTCGGCTGATGCGCTTGCTTCCATGCGCACGCCGCTGCAGGAGCTCAACCGCGAGCTGCGCGATGCCCGTCGCGCGCGCGGCAAGCCCGAGTTGTCTACGGACATGCTCGAGAGGATTGGCGAGATTATGGCGAGGAACAAGGCTACTGTTCAAGGGGACAAGTCCGCGTGGAACGTGCCTACGCCCAAGTTGTTTGAGTCCAAGACGGCAGCGGCGGAGGCGGCGGCGGCGACAGAAGCACCAAAGGAGACTGAGAGTCATCCTCCACCTCAATAAAGGGGTAATCGACCTTCACGAGAAGAGGGGGGGATAAAATCAGGCGAGAGGCCAGGGAGATTATAACATGTATGAATAGCCATAAGAGTTGTATTTATAACAAAGTTGCGGCATGATACGTTCGGTCTAGGGCGATGGTCAAGTGAGGCAAACATGTCAGTCCCGTGGGAGTTCCAATTCAACTGTCGTCTTGACTCTCGGATACCAAGCTTGGCCAAGGTGTTCATGATTATGTCTCGCGGTCTAAATTTCTTCTACAGCATATTCCAAGCCTGTATCACCAGACCTTTCTGTCTTTCTTCCTGTCCTGTCCTTCCTATCCTTCCTGTCCTGTACCTTCTTGTCCTTCATCCTGTCCTGCTACTTACTCTCAATGCCTAATTCCCTCGCTGTTGCGAGCTGGGATGATCTGAACCGCCACCCGCCTGCCCCCCGCGGGCTACAATCTCAACCCAAATTCAATGTCGACTGGGCTGCTTCCGAGCCAAAGCCATAATCTCTTGGCACGGTCAAGAGACCACTGAAAAAAGGTCTAGGAATGTTAACAGAGAACATCTTGAAAGGGGAATGTACTAACCGAGCCATAAGCGGACAACAGCGCAGCCATACAAGCCTGTGCCGCCTACTCAAGGATCCGGCGTAGCCACGTCCGCTTATTGATCTCCTTGACAATCCGCTGCTCAGTACCTGCGGCGTCGGTGCGGAGCCCATTGAATCCAATGCGCAGTTCGGTTTGGATGATGCTGGCAAGGCCAGTAAGATTGGGGTCAGGGGTCGGATCACTCTCATCCGATGAGGTTCAGATTCCCAGGATCGGGTCGAGTGGAGGATATGGAGAAGGGATGCCTGGTGTCGAGAGGAAGAAGTGAGGGAGGCGGCCGGTTCATCGCTCCCGGGCCCCGGAGTTGTGAAGATCTGGTTCTGGTCAGCTATTGGTAAAGCGAGAAGAAAAAGGAAGACAAACTCTAGTAAATGATTTCATAATGATATTGAGTAAATGTATTGTTAACCTGGAAGTGAAGTACGTATTCGGTAGTTGTGGGGGATTGGGCTCAGGTCGGTCGTGGTCGTGGTCGTGGAGGAAGTTTGGAGTTAAGACTTAAGGTTAGGGAGTAGTGATAGGTGTTTATATAGATATCAGACCGGTGGCAGGATAGGATAAAGGACAGGAAGAAACAGAGGAAGGTAGCAGACACAGCGATGGAATTAATCATCGAGAGTAGCGTCACAATACCATTAGCCAGTACAATGACATGAAGAATGCTATGAATACATTTGCACCTGACCTGACAAGCAAGGCTCTCGTGCTCATGACCCCAGCAACGTCAACTTCTGAAAGACACTTAGCGCAGGCGGCTCCAGCTTCTTCGTCCTCGCTTCAAGGTGCTCCTGGAACACGGCATCCCCGCCAGAAGCAAGGTACGTCTCCCCATCAAGCCCGACAACGACACCGCCTTCTTGCTCAGTCTCCTTGACGGCAAACACCTCGCGCACAGCAGCCTTGCAGCCCTCAACAACCTCGGCCACGAGAACCTCCACAGCCCTCGCGCGCTCCGTCATACCCCTTCTCACAAGCGCAAACACAAGCCTTCCAACCTCGTCCTTCGCACCGCCCTCGACGCGCTCCACCAGCCGCCGGACGCTGTTGACGAGGTACTCCTCCTCATAGACCGTTCCCTTCCTACCCCTTGCGCGCTTCTTCTCCTCGCGCTTGCGGTTCTTGGACGTTGCGCGCGAGACGCCTGTCCCGGCCGTCCCGATACTGCCCTCTTTACCAGTGTACCGCGTGAACAGACTCGCAGAGGTACTCACACGCGAGGTAGCGACGGAGACATCATCAGGGATATCGACACCCGTGCCGCCGGGCCGCTCCCCCTCGTAGAACGCGAGCGGATCCTCTGCTGCCTTTCGACGGAGTTCCGCGATGCGGGGAACCTGCGCCAGAAGCTGGGCTTTACAGTCCGCGAGGAACTCCGTGCTGCTACTCAGGGCCTCGACGAGGCCGGTGTCGAAGACGGTTGGCAGCAAGTCTGCGCGGCGATCGCGTGCGATGAGGCGGAGGGCCTCGGCGAAGTGGTAGCCCTTGCAGAGGCATTTCACGGCCGTCTCGAGGGAGGCGAGGTAGTCTGCGTGGATCGTCGCCGCGGCGGCGTAATCTTTGCCTTCCCAGAGGGCGTCGGCGAGGGACGAGGCTAGCTCTGTGAGGGCGTCGTCCGACGGCGGCGGGGATTGTTGTTGTGATGCGAAGAGGGATTCGCGCCAGCATGTTACGCCGGCTGCGCGGTAGCAGCTGGTGGCTTTGGCAAAGTTTTGCAGTGTCTCGTAGGCGAGGCCGGCGTCGCGGTATTTGGAGTTGGATTCGAGGTAGCTCGCATACAGCCCCGTGAGGGCCTGGTGGCGCGCCTGGTCGTAACGGTAGAGGCCGAGGGCGTCCTGGTAGAGCGCGTGCTTGGTGGTGTAACCGCACAACTCGTCAAAGGCGTCGAGGGCCTTGAGGTGCAGCAGGGCTTTGGCCCTGCGGTCGAGGTGGTCGTCAATCTCGAACTTGCGGCGTAGGTCGGGGAGGTTGTGCAGGTTCTGGATGAAGGTGAGGTACTCCCTCGGATCGCGCTGGGACTGCTGGGCGACGAGGAGGGCGAGGTCGAGGTTGTAGAGGCCGAGGGCGTTGTCGTAGAGGCGGTTGACGTCGACGAGGAAGCAGATGTGCTCGACGGCCTTTTCGGCGAGTTTCTCGTCCTCCTGCATGAGTTCCGCGACGAGGGTGAGGCCGTCTTCGAGGGCGGGCGGGACCTTGCAGACGTGGGCGGTGATGATGTTTTGCAAGTTTGTGCTCTTCTTGGTCTGGAGGCTCTTGAGGATGGCGTCGCAGATCTTGTTGACTTTGGACTTGGGGGAGGCGTCGGCTGGCGCTGGCGTCTCTGTTGAGGGCTCGAATGATCTCGCGGAGCGCTTTGTGTCCTTGTACATTGTCTGTGTGACGTCCTCGTCCCTGGATCGAGTTAGATTTGTTTCCAAAAGTTAGAAGAGAAGAGTGACCTACCGGAGAGACGACAGGAACAGGTCAATGTAGGAAATATCCTTAAGCTGGTCGAGGAACAGACCGACATTGGACAGGAACTGGCTCGGCTGGTGATCGTAGAGGATGTTCATGTCCACCCTCTGCGTACGGCCAAAGGCGAAAGCCCTGCCGTAGTTCTTCTCGTCTACGAGCTGCCTGATGCCCGCAACGACCATGGCGCGGGGGAAGATGGTTTCGAGGTTACCTCTCGGCATCTGGAGGACCAAGTTCATGTTGGTCGGAGTGGCCGTCACGAGGCGGGCGCCGCGCTCGATGCTGCGGCATCTCTCGTCGATCTCTGGATCATCTCCAGGGACTTCCATCTCTGTGGAAAGGGGGTTAATGTCTCTGAACCTGACGTCTTCGGTATGGAATAGGGGTACACTAACCTTCAGGGTCTACCAGATGAACGAACTTGACAAAGTGGTTGTTGGTCGTGAAAATGATATGCGCAGGGGTGACGACAAAAGAGGTACAGTTCTTCGCCAGTTGTTTCGAGTTGACGTAGAGGTGGCCGTTCCTCGTCATCCCAATCCTGACACTGCGCCCGTTGATATTGTGCAGCTCGCACCACGGCAGCTGCATCGACAGCTGAGTTTCCAACAGCAGCTCGGGGGCTTGGGTACCAGTAACCGAATACAGCTTTCCAGAGCGGTCTTGGGCACAGGCCTCAACCCCGGAGTCGCCCTCACGGCTGAACAGCGACGAGATGGTCTCCGTCGGTCTAAGCTGAGTGACCCCTGAAGCGCTGATGGAGCTTGCCTCGATCGTGTAGCTCTCGAGCTTCAGGCCTCCGTCAGAGACGAGGACGCGGCACTCGGCGGCACCAGAGAAGGCAACCTGCAAAGGCACCCGGGTTTGGGCGTCCGCCTCGAACGCGATCTTGGCCCGGAGCGTGGGCTTGACTGACCGCTCCCCCTTTGTCTGCCATTCGTACACGTCCAGCCCCTTTCGGTGCAACACAGCCATGAGCTTGTTGCTTGGGTCAAAGACGACTTCCAGGACGCTGCTAGGGAACTCGACTTCGAAGAGGGCCATGGGTGGAGGCACCTGAGCCGTTCGGAAGGGCGTGAGCTTGAGAGTTTGTCCGTCGATAACTGCGACGGCTCCGTGGTCATGGGGAGGGCTGAGGGATCCGCGGGAGACGGTGAAGATGTACTCGGCTACGTTCACGATAGCTATAACCTAGTCAGTAAAACATCGTCTGGGTGTTAAAAACCGGCCAGGGAACTTACATGTGGTGGCAGCGACGAAACGCAGCGGCTTCTCAGGATGCCACGCCAACCCAGCAAACGCTGATGCCAGCGGGATCTCTTGTTTGAGATACCAGTGATAGTTGCCCGTCGTCCACAGCTGTATCCGATCACTCAGAATCACAGCCAAGACAGTCGAATCCGAGTTCCACTCTAACCGGATCTTCTCGTGTGCGCTCAGGGGCCCATCGGCAGACCGCAGCGTAAACTGCCCGTGCCGCAGCCCATTTCGCTCAAAGAAGACGACGTCGGTACGGTCCTCGAACCTCTGGATACCCGCAATCAGGTTTCCAGACGGCCTCCAGCTCAACCCGCCCTCGAGGTGGTCCACAGGCTCACTGACGCTGTCGAGCACGCCCTCGCGAGAGTACACCCTCACAACCCGCCTCGCGCCGCCAGCAATAGAGTTGACGGCAACGTACGCGCCATCTCCTCGCCAGCTGACAGCCGCGGTGCCGTCCTCGTTGATACTCGGCAGGCCCTCGTCGACCTTTTCAGGGATTGTCGGGTCGCGCATCGCCTTGGCGCCTTTGCCCTGGAACTGGGTCTCCTTCTTTCCCCAGCCGACGGATACGTGCTTGGAGAGCTTCAGGTCGTCGGCCGTCATGACCACGTCGGCGATAGGGTCGAACGTGCGGCCCATGAAGACGGCGTTGCCTTCCTTGGTCACGACGACGAGGAGCTCCTCGTCCGGGGACCACCGCGCGGCGGCGATGCCGGCGTCGATGGACCCCACGATCTCGATCTGAACGTCGACACCGTCATCGTCCTCTTGGATGGTCACGATGTCACCTCCCTCGAGGATCACGCAGGTGGTGAGGGTGTCGCTGAAGTGGTGGAGGCTGACGACCCTGTCCGCGGGTAGGTCTGGGCTGGGACTCGGTGCATCCCAGCTTGTGACTGTGTGTGATTTACTATGAGAACAATGTCAGACAGAGTCACTTCAGACTGTTTGAGTTTCTTCGGTATGTGAGAGCTTATAGCGCGTTCAAGCCACACCACGAGAAAGAGAGATATGTACCCCGTCCCAGGGTCAGAATAACCTCACAACTAGGACGTGATATCAGACCGAGCCAAAATCCAGGAAACGACCAGATGACATGGGGGCAACAAGTATTACAAAACAAGTAACATGAAAAGAGCAACAGCGAAACAGGGTATACAACAACACCAGTAGTGAACAAATTCAAGGGGTAAATAAAAAATGGCGCCACACATTTGTTGCTGGTGGTGGTGGTGGTCCGACAGCCTCACCAGCTCAATAGTGGCTTTCGCCTCCGTCGGCCCAGTCGTGCAGAGAAGCTCGTCTTTGGCGGGGTCCCAGCAGCAGGCGGTCACCGCCGAGGGGTCGACCTCTTGCTGCTGCTGCTGCTGCTGCTGCTGCTGCTGCTGCTCCCAAGCGCTGAATCGGATGTTGCGCAAGTTGCGCATCTTGGCTCTCTTTCTCTGGAGCGCTGCAAGCTCCTTAACGCATGAAAAAAGGTAACCTTGGTCGGGAGGAGCGGTTTGCGTTTGCCCGGGTTCGAGTTCGGGGTGTTACGCTCTACTTCGGTCGCGAGGAAGCTGTGAGTCGTAATGCAAGCCGTCCTGTTCGTCACTGCAACTTTTTTTTTTCTCCTTCTCTCACTCTTGGGCTCAGGTTCCCGCTTGGAAAAATCTCAATGCGACCAAAGCCCAGCCAGCCAGTCCGCCCTACGAAAGGCGGGACGAGGCGGCGGCGGCGGCGGAGGGGTAACTTGGACCCCGCCAAGGTACCGATGTACCTGACGGCGCCGGGTAAGGTACATCCATCCATCCACCTCATCCCGTCACAGCCCACCCTCCAGTCAGTCATTCAACCTGGAAGTTCAGGAGCAATCCCGCGCAAGCCACAACCTCCCACCTTTGCTCCTCAATCTACCTTTTGCTAGTGGAATGATCTCAGAGAGCGACATTAAGTGACTAACAGACGGGCCTACAGCTTCAGCTACCTCTAGGTGCTTTAGCCACTTGCCCTTAACTCATGTCTATCTAAAGCACAATTTCACCTACTAACACAATTGACGCTCATCATCCATCATCAGACGGAATTTCACGTAACGGCCATTTCCGAACACGCATAGTCCAGCACTCATGCCAATTTCAACAAGCATGAACCTCACAACTGGAAATTGGATAGATATGTGACATAAGACAGAAAACATGCCATTGAACCCAAAGCAAAAAACTCACAGGCCTCTTGACGGCGAAGGCCTTTTGCATGAAGCAAAGTGGAAGCAAAAACAATGGTCTCGCAACTTGCAAGCCTCGTACTAGAGTCAGCTCATTCCACCACCATCTCAGCACACCTCTCTCGCTCCCTCCCGCCGGAACGTCACAGTGAGAAGGGGCCTAGAAGAGGCTTCAGCACCTCACCCCCTCCTCCTTGAACCGATAACCGTGACGGGATGAGAAAGATTGCATGATCCGGGTACGGGTACCTACCCGCCGCATAGTAATACCCGATCATAAACCCATGTACCGAGGTACCTACGTAATCATGCAATGGGAAAGCCAAGCAGCCCCGGAGGACTCCGCCCAATCACCATACGATTGCCCGTCCCCGCAAGACCCGCTTCAGCAAATCACAAGTCAAAGATCCAATCATCCCCGGTCAACCTCCAGACTGTCACGGTACGGTTGTCCTCGGTATCCTTTTTCTGGACTTCCCTCTCCTCCTGAAATGCTTGCTCCCCGGATTTTGCCATTAGCGCATATGCTTTTTTTTTTCTTTTTGCGCATTCCACACTCCCAATTTCTTGCGAGTCTCTCTTTTTGCCCGTCCGTCCGTGTCACTGGCTACTTAGCTTAGCAGAAAACCATTTCCTCCTGCTGCTGCCGACGCCTCCTCAACAAGCTTTTGCTGCAGTTGCTTTCCCCCCAACCCTTTTCCTTCTTAAAGACTTGAAGCGAAACCACCCGAACTCCCACCCCCTTCCCCGTGTGCATGCCTGCCAGCTCTACCATCTACTTACCTGTCGAACCAAACTCACTATAATTCTTAACCCTTGCTCTACATTTGCTTCCCTCGCTTATCAATTGTCGTCCTTATCCCCCTGCCGTCTAGACCTACCTTACCATATAATAACAAGTCTCGAGAGGGAAAAGCGAAAAAAAAAAGTTAGCAATGGAGGAGGCATATAAGCAATACGCGAACCAAGCGCGTCGCAAGAACCGCTCCAGCACAAACCTCAACCACCTCTCCCTCGCCCCCTTCACCTCCCGCCTGCCCCTCCAAGACGACGACGCCCTCCCCGACCACCTCACCTCGCCGCACCACAACACCTCCTACCTCGAGGGCAAATCCGCCCCGACGACGCCCGGCCTGCTCACCCGCTCGCCCGCCTCTCACGCCCGCCGCGCTTCCGTGCCGCACGCCGACCTCCCCAAGAGCAAATCAGCCACCCACCTGACGCCCTCCGCCGCCGACAGGAAATCTCGCAGCCGAAAGGCCGTCTCAGGCACTACCTCGCCGACGGTACGCCGCCGGAAAGATGACTTCTCGATCCGGGACCGGAACGACAGCGATTGGCTCCTCCGCACCGGCGCCCTCATCAGCAACGAGAACCGCGAATCAAAGGGCCAGGCGTGGCTCGTCTCGAGACAGAGCTCCACGAGCCTGACGGGCATGCGGGACGCCGACGAGGAGGCTTTCGAAAGGGAATTGGCTCGCGAGCGGGAGCTCACCAGCAGACGCAGCAGCCGGCGCGGCAGTCTCGCCGACCTGGAGGGCGCAGCCTCCTACACCCATTCCGCTCGGCCCAGTCGTCCTGGGAGTCGGTCGGCGAGCAGAGTCGGCACCCGGAGCCAGATGCTGACGCCGATGGAGCGCGAACAACGTGAACGGCATTCTCTCGAGGAGGGATACTTCCCCCGCCACCACGACGGCGAAGACTACATCCCCGGCCCGGATTTCGTCAACCTCGACGAGCAGCTCGAGTCATTCGACTTTGACACCACGCAAGACGACGAGGCCGCCGTCAGGAGGCTGGTCAAGGGCGAGAGGGCCGGTGGCGCCTCTTGGGTCGGGAATATCTTGGGATGGCCGCTCTTCGCCGTCGAGGAGAACGAGGAAGAGTCCGACGACGAAGATGACGACGTTGACGGGGACGAATTCGAGGGTGAGGCCGACGAGGATGGCGGGGCGCATGGGCTCCACCGGTCGTGGTCAGCCCGGCATTTCGAGGGTGTTATCAGCGCCCCGGAAGAGCGGATTCCGCCCCCAAAAGCAAACGAGGGTGGCTGGCAGGACGCGGCGTGGCTGCTCAGTGTGGCTACCAAGGTTTTGCTGTGAATGGGGGCAGAAAAGAAGGAGATTCGGCGAGAAAGAAGAAAGACGTATTGTCACCCCCGTGAGAAGAAGAAAGAAAAAAAGATTGCACCACCACCGCGAAAGCCCCGTCGTCGGACCGCTCGAGAACGGTGAAGTGGATATCGCCAACCGGCCCTAGCAAGACTGAAGCTTCACCGTTAGACTGTTTGAGAACCCCGGCAGCCGAAAATCTGCAGGGTATATTTATTTGCTCCAACTGGGCCCCACGTTGCTTTCCTGCAGAATCCTTCGAAAACTTCGATATGCTGCGAGGAAGGAGGCGGCTCCTGTCTCCGCGTCTCGGCCTCAGCAGGGTGGCTTCTCGTACCCGTCACAGGCCAGTCACCTGTCAAATAGTATTGTCTCGCTACCTACTGTTTCCCCCCAACCCCCGTATTTCGGCATCTGAATTTGTCGCGAAGCATTCTCCAATCATGGGGAATCGGCACTGCAAGATAAACCTCGGGATGCTGGCTCCCAGGGTTATATGAAGCACTTCCCTCGTTTTAATAGCGTTATTGCTGCAAAGTACCTTACCATGTCTATACATAATCAAAATCAAAATGATTTCCTTGATGGCCGTAGGTCGGATTGATACTTGCCGTCCGTTCACGTACAACCCGCACACCACGTGACATGTACCTATCCATACACCGGTGACCGATGCGGGACCGGGCTATCGCCCCCGGTTCCGGCCATATTGACTGGAGCTCCGCAACCTCTCTTTTCATCGACACCAAAAGTATTGGCTGTTGTGTCGAAGGGGGGTGGGCGTCTAGAAAAACTAGAGAAAAAGCCTAAAACCAGCACAACGGCGCCCCATCCGGTCGGAATAGACCACCGCAAAGAGTGAGAGCGATCCGTCTGAACTATCGTCGCGAAAGGAACGCCCGCCCCTCTCTCCGCGGACAATGGCGGCCGGCCAAGCCGGCGCGAGAGGGACCACTGGCCGCATAGTAGGACCAAAAAAACCGGTTTTGGGAGTATCACCTCGCGCTTGCATGCAGCAAGCTGGCGGGAACCTCGTGTTGTCTCTTGCAGATTGGCTTGAGGCGCGAGACGGTGTGAAAAGGGCTATTGAACTGGGGTTTATGAGCTCTCGCACTTACCACACCGCAAGCTGTGGTTGCAAACCGCACCCCTGGACCATTGTTTGCAGCGTACTCTGGACAGCGATGGCGATGCCCTTTCCTTCACGATTGTCTGTGCTTTCGTGCGACTGTTGAAAGCATGGCGCGGAAGTCTCAGATCTCACTCAGACGAATGACAAGTATTCGTGTGGAGTTCACTCCCGGGTGTATTACGGAGGGTTCAAAGACCAAAAGTCATTGGTTCCTCAAACGCGACCGAGTTTTTGGTGTGGTGCTCCTTTCTAGACATTCTCCTCGACATGTCGTCTGATGAGAGACTGTTGCTCGTCTGAGTTGGAGTCTGAGATGTCTTTGCAAAGATTCCAACGTGAATATGCGAATATCGTATGGAATGGCTCGTCATTCTGTCGATACCCTACGAGCTCAAGTACCGGGTATTAGCAGGCGGTGTCACTGTTGTGGTGGTGATCAAGCTTGCCAACCGTGATCGAGTCTACAGCGGGGAAGGCGGATATACCGGCTATGAGTATGAGGCTATGATCACCTCGGTCCTCAGCACAGTAGCTAGCTCCAAGATGATTTGACTGACGATGTGAAAGATGTCACCGTATATTGACCATTGGCCGTGCGATAGTCGGCTTCCCTCCACTCATGCGACGATCGAAGTTTTGATGGGAGGAGTCAGAGACTCAGAGATTCTTACCAGTTCGGCCTTGTCCCCCGCCTCGAGGCCTGCCGTTTTGCCTGGCTTGGCGCATGCGTGACATCAAAGTTCAACCGATCCAATGATCAGATGGCTAGCCGAGTAATAGCGGCTTGATGATCTCTTCCTTCCTGCAATTAATTGTCCAAGGGGTCTAGAAGGCGGAATGAGGGTGAAATATCTTGGCCAGCAGCTGTCTCTGAGTGAAAGTGCTCCGAAAAAGGTTGGACCAAGTAGTGGTGGAGACGGGCGTGAACGGAGGTCGTGGAGATGAAGTGGTATGCCGATTTGCGCTCACTTGCACCGACCGTCGAGGAAAGTGGATCTTCCGTAAAACACGGGATATTTCACTGGCGTTACGGTTCCGTACTGCCGGAGTCCAAAGTCTTCTGACACCTGCAACTCTTTTGTCTCTAGCAGAGCCTCAAAGCCGTATAATCAGCCCTAGTACGTCGTGAGGCTTACTTTCCCACAAAGAGTAGACACGAATCCACTGTCTCTGCACTAAAGCACAAATGCCGATATTTGGACTGCTGTAGTGCCTCGAAGGGGTGGTCATGAAGAGAGAGTTGTTGTCGGCGTTGGGCTGGTGATAGAGCGAGTGTCGTTGGCATAGACCCTGAACGGAGGGCGACGGACCAAAACGGAAACGTCGTCCACTCATTACACCCTGGTCCATGCAGGCTTTGCAGTGTAACCCACCGATGACGTTCAAGCGCGGTATGACGTCTGGCAGAAACCCAGCTCCAGCCCCCAGACCTGAGTGCATATGCAGATGCTCCACCCTACCATTCCACCCTACCATTTAACCACATAAATGGATCCTGGTAACACTGAGTTGTGGTGGACGGGACCTTCTAAACCGGCCAAACAGAGTAGGAAAATCCTTTTTCTCCCGCTGGAAAAAAGTATGCCAAAGTGGAGCGTCAACTGTCGGCCGAGAGAGTCTAGCCTCTGTCGACCTGGCTGTGTCCGAGATGATTCTGCAGCGGTGTGGGACCGTTGCTCACCGGGCTCCATGCCACCTTGTTGGCGGCGGGAGTGGTACTGACTGGATTGTCAGCATAGCTTTAGACTTGAATCAGGTACAGATTGTCAAAGTAGTTAGACGGGTATGGACCCTGCATTCCAACCTTCTCCCCACCTCTCGGCGCTCCTCTTAACGTGACCATTTTTATCAGTATTCGACGGTCGACCTGGCATATGCCTTCAACCCTCCTGCCTTATTTGGGTCCTCCCATCGGTGTGGAGCGGTGAAAGTCTTCGTCGTGAAATCTGATGGTCGTGTTGAAAGTGTGTTATCATCGATTTTTGCCACACCATCCATGATTTGGGGTCTTCTCGGCCGGCGTAACAGGAATTGTAAATTAGCCAAGGATCGTCACACCAGCTCACTTCGCACAGCGGAAACATGACTGGATCCTCGTCAGCCTTGAGGTACGCAGTGGACCGTGGGCAAGTCGGATCGTCCGCTCAGAAGGAGAGAGTTGTGTGTTCGGGCGGTCAAAAACATGCCTTACCGACGAGGGCTTGGATTGCCGAATGATACAAAGCTTTGCTTCTATGGTTGGTTTGCTGAAAAAGAGTGCTATAGTACCTGGCCTACAGTCGTAAGGACGTCGCTGGCAAAGGAATGTTAGTAGAGAACCGGCCCTGGCCAAAGGTGTCCAACCCAGAATAACGACGCTGGGATGAAGGCACATCCGAGAATCCAAGTCATAAGCTACTGTTCAAACAGTCCGGCATGGCGGATGTCGAATGAAGCCAGCGGGAGGTGCCGATCTCTACTTCTCCACGAAAATTAGAGGGTCGGGAGAGACCGCCTTAAACTTGCAAATGCAGGGCAGCGGTCTTGCATCGTCAAGGTGAAATAGCAACCGGCGGTGGTGTGCAAGGAATGGACTCGAGGAGGGGTAATCCGTGTTGATACTCGAGAGTCTTGTACTGTGGCACAGCGATTGGTAGACCCACAACCCATGACCGGTGGCTCTTGGTCTAGAAGCTTGTCGAGGGAAAGGGATGAGAGCTGCTAGCACGAGAAGTGCGTGTCCGTCAGGTCATGGCGCAGGAGATTGTACGATAAAGCAGTGGCTCAAGGCTGAATATCGCGGTTGTCTGACACCCATGGAACCGAAGCAGGGCTGTCTCGTGACGTGTAGATGGAGGATATTCCCTTGTGTGGGAACGAACTCGAGGCATGGGTTGTAAAAAAGGTATTCGAGATCCATGACAAGAAAACCAGTGGTTTCAAGGAAGATAGAGCGGAGGTCTTGCTAGAGGAACAATATTCCAAACCATGGTCAAATGGAGGAAAAATGGTCGTGTATGTATGGGGACCGAGCTTGACCAGATGTCTTCCAGGGCAAGCCTTTAGTCGCGAGACGGGTTGGTATGAAAATCGTGGAAAAGCTAACCATGGAAGCTGCTCGGAACTGGACATACAACGAAGCTCTTTTCACTGTGCGGTCCTCAAGAACGACTCAAGCAAAGTTCGGTAGAGAAGTTGGCTATTTCCTCGGTCTGACAATGCTCAGAGTGCTCTTTGTTCCTTTGGGGAAGGAGCGCCCCGTACGTAAGGGGATGCTTGCCGGGTGCCCGTTGGCTTGGAGGTTCTTCCCGGCAGGAGGAGGTCGCCCTGCAGATGTACCGCCTTCTAACCTTAGCTACCCGCCCTGCATGAGACTTCAACTCAGGCTTCTTCTACCTGGGGAGGTAAGTTGCTTGACTTGCTCCCAGGTCTTGTCTGGAAGCAGTAAGCATGGTAAGGTAGGTAGCAGGAAGGGCGAAGAGAGAGAAAGTAAGGTACTGTGTAAAGTAAGGCAAGGTACCTTATGTCAGGGTTGGCTCTGATGATGCAACTCTGGCGACGCTCCAATTAGTTTATCAGGTATGAGGTCAGGTAGACACGTCTAGACCGCGATTAGTGGGTATTACAGCCGCCTGTCTCCCGGTTGTCATTGCCCGAGCCTCCAGTTTTATTTCCTTCTTTTCCCCCTCTGCATCCTTTGCATCCGCCAAACCTCAGCTGTCCGTGTGTGACTGACAAGAAGATCCCATCCATACCTACCTACACAGTGAGAACCAATCCAAGCCATCCCAGTGCATCAGGTCGTTGCGACTGTTCATGTCAAAGGCAGGCAGCATATCTCCCTCCATCCTGCCATCCCCTCCCCTCTTACCTTACGGATAAGATACTTCCTTCATCCTGTTTCTTGTTCGTTACCGGTCCGAACAGTCGCAGTCAAAAAGTACCAATCTGCTACACCCCGCCGCCCGCCGCCGTCGCCGCCTCCGTCCGTATCCTCGCTTGACCCTGTCTTTTTAGAAACCCTGGCTCCTGGCTCCCCTCCCCCTCCATCGTCACCCCTCCATCGACCCTCCCGCGCTTCTTCTGCTGCTGCTTGGGCAATAACGGACGGCAACCGCTCGCATCCTGAACCGCGCTGCCAGGTACCTTTGGGTGTAGGTAGCCCTCCACAACAGCGACAGCTCCCGCAACTTGCAAGATTCCAGGGCAGCAGCGGCATTCGCTTCGCTGGTTCAAGGCTCCAAGGCCTGCTCTTCGCTTGTCTCGCCTGCTTATCCGTACCTTACCTAAAGGTACCTCAGTATTCTCCTGTCCTATCCTGTCCTGTCCTGTCCGCTGTCGTCAAGGCCCGACTCTGGCAAAGGGTTCGCACCAAGGGGCCCCCCCCAAAGTCCCCATCTTCCCAACCAAAATTGCACTAGAGATCAGTTCCAGATTCGCCCTTTCCCTCTTTGAGATACCAAGAAGGGACCATCTCCTCTACCACCACCACCATCACCCCTCCTGCTCCTTCTCTCTTTCTCTTTTTTGGTCCTGCCGCCCTGGTACACGCCCTGCCTGCCCCCAGCCGTCACGCCTTCCGCTTTTAATCGCTGTCCTTAGGCCATCATCACCTTCCCTGTCTTGCCCTGCTTTACTACCTTACTACTTACTTAGCTCACCTTACCTTGCCTTGCCGCATCTCTTGGAGCTCAGGTACCTTGACTGTACTTTACCTCAACTCACCTCACCTCATCTCACCTTACTTCCCCCAACTTCCGATTACATATCATCCGTTTCTGACCTTTTATACATCAGCAAGTACTCGACGGGTCTTGCTCCGGTCCGTCTTCACCTTTGGTCGCTTCACCTCGACTTGTCAGAGCAACCTCCGTCCCGCCGGCGTGTACCTTATTGCCGCCGGCTTCACCTCACGGCATCCTGCAATTCGCCGGGTCTCATCCTCCGTTGTCTCATCCAACCAAACCCGCGGCTTCGACTTTGAATACTTCGCAACTTCATTTCAACTTTTCTCTTCCTTTTCCCGGCCTTATTCCACGCCGGTGTAAAGGAAAGACAAGACGGAGGAATTATTCTTCGATTTTTCTCTCCGTCTTTCGTCGTGAGGTGACTGTCTCCTCTGACGCTTGACTCTGTCACCGGTATGTACGATTCGTCTCCTTTCCTTACCTAAGGCAAGGTACCTACCTATTTTACCTTGAAGGTCGAGGTACCTGAAGCCGGGTACTTTGCAGTCAGCAGCACCGCAGCGCAACCCCACCACGCGCGGTCTTCCCCTCCAAAAAAAAAAAAAAAAGCCCACCTACCCACATCCACTTACTGCATCCCCCGCCGAAAAATTATTAGACACATCGGAAGCCCTACCTGCTTCGTTGCCTGCATCTTTTACACCACCAACCAGCTCTTCCCGACGTCTTATTATATGCGCGCCCATAATCGGACCCGATAGCTTACCCTTTCTCATTCTAGTCCGGAAAACACTTCGTCGTCCCCTCAGACCGCAGTCTCCATACCTCTTTGTAAGTTATTTGTCTTGTGTGTGTCCGGATCTGCTGCCCACGAACACCAACCCCTTCCTACCTCCTCTATCCCGAATATCCACCCTGAGCTGCATACTCCCTGCGGTTGCGGTATATCTCCCCTTCACCATCATCACACCTGCAGCACCGCACTGCTGGCGCTGGCAGCGGAAGCACCAACGGCGGCAACGGTACGCACTGGCAGCTTGGCCACTCTCCTCATCCTTACACAGGGCATCCAGATTCTAGCCTATCCCCAAGAACCGGGCGCAAAGAATCCGAAGCCTTTGTTCCACAGTCCACACACACTCCATCATACACATCGTGGGATCCACCGCCGCCTGACTGAACATTTGCTTTGCTGTCTTGTGTTGGCTCGTTGTCTTCTAACCAAAATCTTCGCTTCAGTAGCCTCTCTCTCCTCTCTTCCTGTGCCTACCTGCTGTCGCCAATCACACAGCCCTCTCATCTCGAGCGCCCTTGGCCAATACCACTTCAAACTTTATCCGCCCTGCTTTCACGCCCACTTACGCTACATAAACACAACAACTCTTAACGAACCGCATACTCAACCGCCAAAATGCCTGCTTCAGAAGACAAGGTATGTCATTGAGTTTTACCCCCGTGTGATGCTTTCGTGGTGATGTGTTTTGGGCCACAAGGGCTGGGCTAACGTGGGGTGTTTGCACACAGAGCGACGATGGTCCCCTCAGTACCCCCGACTTTGGCGATGCGATTGACTCAGTCACCTTCGGTCAGATCCTGGAGATGGATGAGGACGAGAATGATCGCGACTTCAGCCAGTCAATCGTTTTTGGCTTCTTCGAGCAAGCAGAAGAGACCTTTGAGCAGATGGACGACGCCTTGTGAGTCGCATCATCATCATTGCCCCCACTCCTCCACGCTGGCGCCCCTCTCCGCCATCCTCTCCTGCCCTCTTTCCCCCCCCTCACCCCTGAAGTACCCTCAACAGCAGATATGAACTCTTTTCGCTGGTTGTCCTGCACAGATTCCGATTGCACTGGCTCTGGACAAGGCTGACTTTGGTTTCTTACTCAAATCTACAGAAAGGAAGAGGACCTCGAGACGCTGTCGTCGCTCGGTCACTTCCTCAAAGGCTCTTCGGCCACGTTGGGACTCGTCAAGGTTAGAGACAGCTGCGAAAAGATCCAACGTTACGGCAAGAAGGAGAATGAGGATGGAACCCCTGAGCTTGACGAGACGCTGTGCTTGAAGCGAATTGAGACGACGCTCAAGGACCTCAAGACGGAGTACGAGGACGCCGAGAAGCTTCTGAAGAAGTTCTTCGGCACCGAAGAAGAAGAAGAAGAAGAAGACTAAAAGCCGCCACAGATGACTTCTGGTCAACGCCGCCGCTCCGTGTCTTAGCACCAGTCGTTCTGTCGCCCAGCATTAGAAACGATGGCTGTGACGACAAGAAGGAAGTGGACCACGACGGAGGATGCTCTACACCCATCGAGGGCTGCGCGGCTCTCCCAATACCTTGGCCCTTTGACACTTCGCTTACGAACCCATTTCTCCTCATACCCCCTTCTCTACACTTACGAATTTGATTCACGAAGAAAAACTGGCATTTTGGCATGGTGACCTGGATTGGCTTTGCATGGGAGACCCTTTTTTTGATTGCAAAGGGGAAAGCCGAGTTGAATAGCTGGATGGCCGAGGCAGCCAACCGACTCAGACGACGGAAAGATTCTGAAGGCTCGTGCCATGGGCTCCCCCATTTACGCCTGCCATAGTCCTAAATCAACAGCATGCTCTCACGGTCTTTACCACCTACACTGGGTAGACGGACAATAGCATTATCTGCGTTCGTTTATAAAGAGGCACTACCGAAACGTCTTGGCGGGACAAAGCCATCGATCCCACGCGAGTAATGGCAACGAAAGCCGCTCTGTGAATTAAATCTTCTAGTTCCTTGGAGACGATATTCCTCCCATCAATTCGAGCAAAACCTTCTTGCGCACTCTTGACGGATGGACGGTGTCAAATTTGTAGCACTTCTTTCCAATCCCCGGGGCGGTAGTTTGTGTTCCGGGGATAGCAGACGGGCTGACAAGCAGGATTCCATCCTCGGTGCGGGCAGCGGGGAACCCATCAAAATTCTACCCGAGCGTACCCTTTCAGCCTTGATCGACTGACATCATTGCGAGGAGTGACGAAGCCCAGGCCTAGAGATCGACAAATTGACGCCATAGCTCGAATCTGGTACGTCTGCATCTTCTTCTTGTGGCACTGGGGAGCATCCTGACCCGCGAGTCCTGTGGCGGTGCGGTATCTGCTGGAAATGCATCCCACGTGCTGCGCTCCAAATCTTCCCGCTATCATGCCCATCTCACCAATATCGCGATATCACATCGACGATGGATCGCATTTGCTCTACCGCCACGCGAGTAATGGATATTTGACAGGGCTTTATTCTTGCACCGGTTCTCGGGCCGGCGCGACAGGACCACGTTGTTTGAATGCTTGTTGACTCCGTTCGCGGCACCGTCCAGGAACTAGGCTCTGACGTGCTTCGTAGATTCAACCGGCTCACCGGAACGCCTACAAGCTTCCTGAACACAATTCTCGCTGCCAGTCTGCCTGGTCTTCGCAAGTGACGAAGTCTGCCGGATCTGGAAGACAACATTGGAACACACGCAACGCAGCATCAAGACTTCATCGACTTGCCCCCCTTTCTTCGAACCAGCCACCATGCCCCCTCGTCCCAACGCCAGGCCTTCGCCTACACACTTCTTGTGCATACCTTTGGTCACCCCGGCCTCAAGACCTCAGCTATCGAAGAGCCTGGCTTCCTTCAAAGCAGATGTCACCAGCCCAGACAGCTTTGCGGTTCAACCAGATGCCGTGCGGCCGCTCGGCACTCTGCACCTCACCCTTGGGATCATGAGTCTGGCCAAGGGCGAGGGCATCAGCAAAGCAACCGAGGTCCTCAAGAACCTGAAACCGCGGGAGATCTTGGCCGGCATCACACCTCTGTCGTCCACTACCCCGTTGGCCGGTAAAGCGCAGTCGTCCACTAGCGCTCCCGGAACCGACTCGCCGCTCCGAATCACGCTCCGTGGCTTACACTGCATGAAGTCGGGCCCTCGAGCGGATCCCAGCAAGGCATCGGTTCTATACGCGCCACCCGCACAAGGCGAAGGTGTTTTCCAGACATTCTGCGAGAGGATCAGGGCTACGTTCGAAGAGGCCGGAGTCATGGAAAAGGATGAACGGGGCTTGTTGTTGCACGCCACCATTGTCAACACGATCTATGTCAAGGGCGGTTGGAGCAAGAAGGGCCCCAAGCTGACCATCGACGCGAGGGATATACTTGACCGATATGATGACTACGTCTGGATGGAGGATGTGCCCCTGGAAAAGATTACCATCTGTCGCATGGGGGCCAGGAAAATTGAGGGGACGGATGACGAAGCATACGAAGTCGAGGCTGAGATCGACTTTTAGTCATCTCGCAGCCTGGATCTGTTGAACAACTTGTTCAGAAGTCTACGAGTTTCAACGGTCCCTAAAGCATAGGATGTCCCTCCTAAGGCCAAATCTATGCGGATATGTTTGTGGACGTTTGTGACAGGAATCTTAAGTAAACGATGTTGAAGGTATCAATAGTGACAAGTGATCCATAGCCAAAGACCATTAGGCATGGAGACTTGGTAGTATAGATAGGTCAGAGAGAGAGTTACATGATGTTAGTTGTTTGTATGTTAGAAGGCGTACATGAGCCAGGCATTCAAGTAACCATATCCAACAAACGCCCCAGAACCAAGCCTATGTTCTGATGTAAAAGCGCACACGACGCCTCAGGACTCCCTGGCAGCCGAAGAAGCACCGTAAAGCATTGCACCACACCACACAGCCCCCACGGTTCTGCCCCGAGCGCGGCCACAAGCGCCGGGCCGCTAAAAATACCGCTCCGGCGGGAAACTATGGGACCCCCCTCTCCCCAATGACAGAAGGGACCCTCGCCGGCCCCCAATGTCGACCTAACATCCTGGGCGGACCGACTTGCGACGACGTCCCCGACCCAGCTCGCACGGGAAGGCTACCTTAATTGCCTCGCCTCACCTTACCTCAAGCTACCTCTGTTTGACGGCACCCGATCAAACAGCTCCCCGAAGCTTCGATTTCCGCGCATGTGTTTGCCTCCCGCCTAGAGGCCAAGGACTCGGGACCAGGCAGCCAACGAACGCCACTTCGTACTTCTCTCGCCAACCCACCCCCCTTCCGAAGCTGCGTAGGCACACCAAGACCTGTCATCAACGAGGGGAAAGGTCAGCTTTGGCGGGAAAAACAAGGGGAGAGGAGTAGGTCGGAACATAAAGACAGCCCGACAGATCTCCCCTTCATCGCGAGCGGGTTAGAAGAATAAGCGAAAACCCGCCACGCCCCAAACTCATCGTCTTACCTCCCCATCATGCAGTACCAAGCCAGCCGCATGCTCCTCCCCCGCCGTCCCCATGACGAAAGATAAAAAGCTCGGCCGGATGTCCACGACACCGGCGGAGAAGCGCCGCTCCTTCATCCCAGGCGGCAGCAGCAGTAGCAACAGCAAGGAACATACCAGCAGCGGCAGCGCCTCGAATAGCAACGCTGCCGGCGGGCCCTCCTCGTCCTCGTCCAAGCCGCCGTCCTCATCGTCGTCACAGCACGTTGGCGGGTCGTCAAACGCCCATCACGTCCTGCACACCTCGAACCCGCGCACCAGCACCGCGAACATCATTGCCCCGCCTCCCCGCGCCCACCACGCTCCCGCGAACTCCTCCTCTGCGAGTCCGAACCCCGAGGACGGTGTCGCGGCGGCGGCCACGGCGTCGAGTAGCAGCAAAGATGCCAAGGACAAGGAATCAAGACACAAGGAGGCCGTTGGTGGCAACAGCAACAGCAACGCTGCCAACTCCGTAACCTCCACCGGGCACGGCCACGGCGGGGCCACCTCCTCCTCGGTCCAAATCAAAGACAAGGACGCGCGCATAGCGCACCTGGAGCGCGAGCTCGAGATCATGGAACGCGAGTTTACCCGCGAGCTCGACAAACTCTCCGCAAACGAGAGCGAGACGGCCGTCTTCTGGCAGGCGAAGCACAGCGACGTCAACCAGCAGTTCCTCCGTGCCGATGCCGACCTGCGGCTCCTCCGACAAGAGTCCGAGGCCCGGGACGCCGACCGTGATGCTTTACGGCGCGAGGTCGGCGAGCTGAGGGTGCAGGTGCGCGGGCTCAAGGAGTTTGTGAGCACGAGCACGCGGACGAGCGGGCAGACTTCTGACGAAGTGTTCTGTGACGGGATGGCGAGGTTGAGTAATGGGTTGCAGAATTGGGTTATTGTCAACTTTCGGAGGGCAAAGTTGGGTACGTTTCTCCTTACATCTCCCCTACGAATACACTTTGGACGAACCCCTGGAATACGCCCTAGAGGAGACACAGTATGATGTAAACTAACAAAACATGCCAGACTTTGCTGCAGCAAACGACGACGTGCTCGAGGAGCTCGGCCAGCTGGTACCAATGTACGCCGACCTCAAGCCCTCGGCAAAAGTCCACATGCTGCAGTCCGTCGTCTCGCGCGTGCTTGTCGAGACAATCTTCGACTCGTACTTCTTCGGCCTCCCCAAGGAGCAGGCTGAGCAGCTCAAGGCTGTGGAGCAGACCCTCTCAGGCTATGGTGAGCAATACTCTTCCCATCTAATTTTTCTCCCTTACCCCTTACCCCCTTATTCCTGGGAGCAAAAGAGAAAAGAAACGGAAAACGTTCAGATGCTAACACCCCAAAACAGTCGACTCCCCAGAAGCAATCAACAACTGGCGCTCCACAACCCTCGCCCTCCTCCACCGCGAGGCGGACTCCGAAATGCAAGCCGAGACGTCAGCAGCAACAGACCGCGTCATCGCCCGCGTAAATCGCATCCTCGACGCCGTCACGGACGCAGCTCCGGCCCCACCAGCCACGGGAGAGACCACCAACCCCCGCGACGCGGGTCTCCGCGCCCTAGTCGGCAGCGCGGCGGACCTCGCGCGGCAGCTCGCCGTGCAAAAGGCCGTCTTCCGGGTCCACATGCCCGACATTGTCCCGCACCAGCAGACGAAATTCGACGCCGCCACCATGGAGGATATCGGTGGCGAGGACGAGGAGGCATTATCGCAGCGCGATATCGCGTGCGTCACGTTCCCCGGCATCATCAAGCGCGGGGACGAGAACGGGGGCCACATGCAGTATCAGAATGTCATTGCCAAGGCTAGGGTACTATGTAGTCCCGAATGAGACACATTCTGGTGCTTTTACCGATTCAACTCCTCTTGATTTCTTCCCAATACATTAACATCTGATACCCCCCATATTCAACCCATAACATATGGTTTCTTGATGACGCAGAACCTCTCATCAACCGTAGACGCAAGTGAGATTTGCACATTACCTCTTTCGCAGCATCACTTTTCATTGCTTATCCCCTTCGTCAGCCACCGCCGGCGGCCCGTCCACATGATGAGTCTGCAGACGGCAACAGAGGCGGGAAGACGAACCAACCCTTTCCCATCCTCTTCCCGCGCGGCGCGGACGGGAGGGCTCAACCGAGCCTTGCTAAGGTATGACCGCTCTGGAAGCTGGTTCCATCACGGACGTCATGAAAGCTTAACAGCAGCTCTCGTGAAGAACTACCGGCAAAGAGGATTCGATATTGAACTCGGCGACGCCGTGAAAGTCGCGACGCCGGCCAATCGCAGAGACAGCGTACACTGCAATCCCCCATGCCTACTTGGTACTTACCACCCCTTGAGACATGCAGCCCTCTGCAGCTTGTTCGGCCGGGGTGTGTGAGAAGAGCGGGGTTCGGTCTCTCTCTCTCTCTCTTTCCCTTCTTTCCCCCATCCCTTCCTCCTACGGATACGGAATCCGTCAGGCCAACCTGCGGAGCCAACTTGATCCTCCCGAACAGAAATGACAAAGTTTTGGGCGGGCAGAATGGCAGGAGATGAGGCTCTGCGAGCTATTGGGGCAAGATCCTCTCCGGGTCAAGTGGATTCCCCTCTTCCTCTAGCACGATTCGACACTCGACGCATTCGTGCTGTACTGCAAATCCTCGCCCTTGATTACCATGTGTCGTGCCGCAACCAATGCATTATCGAGATTCCGCCCCCAATGGAAGGTTGACTACATATCGATGCCGGCCCGCGGGAATGGCTGTAGCACGGTTCTCAACGCAACAGCGTAGTTTGCAACTCGAGGAGAGCTGCTTCGGCGCTGTTGTATCTGCAAAAAAAAAAAAAGTCAACTTGCCCCTTTTTCGAGTAGTTTGCTAGAGCTCCTGGTGAGGGACAGGACCCATTCGCAGTGCAGGCAACTCCCGGTAATTCCGCCGTGTCACTGCAGCACGCTGTACAGCACTCGCTTGCTCTGGCAACCTTGTCTGCGAAAGCCCCCCCCCCGCTCCCCTCTCGATTCCTAATGCCGCGGACGTACACGTGGACAGCTCATAGTGGGTGGTCATCGTCATTGTATCCTTTGAGAAAAGAAATGAAGAGACCGGATATTCGAGCTGTAGACGAAATCGACGTGAATCGATCCCGTGCGACATTGCGCTGCAAGCCCAAGGGTCATTGCAGTCAAAGATATTGGTAGCCCTACGGAGCTGGAGCTGCCACAGGCGCATATGATCGGGCACCACCACCGGTCCAATGTTTCCGTTGAAACGATCGTCGATCTCCTGCACAGCGGAACACGACGTCGGAAACAGACTCCTTTTAGGATGAACCTCCTTGCGAGGGAAGGATGTCTACATCAATGCCACTCAGGAGTGAGGACATATGCTGACATGTTTCTTCTCGTGTCCGCCCGCCGCCGGTTGGCGAAATGGGACCGGTTGGAGGGGCTGATACTGGTATTGGTGTGGAGAGCTGCTGTATCTATCCGTCCCTGACGCGTGTGGGCTCGTGCCGCCGCCGGCCGTGGTTCGCATGGAGTCGTTGAGAGGGTGCCAGCCATACCCGGGCAACCGTGTGCATGTAAGAGCACTATGATCGTATAAGATCTGACGCGTCCCCAATGCGCAGGGAATAAAGCAAAGAAGGTTAGCTCTCTTCATCCCATTGCTCACAGCTTCAACATACCTTCCCTACCTGAAGTGCCCGACTGTCCTTGCGCGGACACTGTATCTTTCCACGCTTGCATTCTCGTCCTTGTTGGGTAGTACTGTCTATCCTTGAACAGTCGAAGTGCAGGTCACTGAGCTGCAGACTCACCTACGACAACCAACCGCCCACTCAGTCGCCTCTGCTGTTGGCAGCACATCGTCTCCACCTACCCAGGTCGTCCGTCAGCTTTCTGCCCCTCTGCAGCGTCTATCGCTTTTCAACTTCGACTCCTCGATCTTGCTTTGCGATTCTTGCATTTGCTGGGAACGACCGGCATATTCCCTTTTGCGACTTGCTGTCACTATTTTAATTCGTCCAAACATCAAGTCGTTCCCCAGAGTCTTGTTGCAGGTGCTCCGCATCTCTTTTGGGTTATCGGTACCCTTTGCGCAATATGTCGTCCAACGGCCAAGGGTTTGATGATCCATATCATTCTTCTTCGTGGTCTGGGTACCCCCAGCCCGGTTCTTGGAACGAAACTCCTCGATATACCCCTAGCGTGTCTTCCTATGCGAGTTCTTCGTCAGCCTCACATGTATCTGGGAGCAGTTATGGCAGCCAAAGCCGCTACACTCATTCGGCAGGCGGACTGACTCCATACGACGAATTCGGGATGCCTCAAGCCTACTCCGAGACGCCAGCTCCATCCCAGTACTCCGCATTGAGCACCTTCCATCAAGGCATCATGCAGCAGCAAAACGCTTCTCCGCCCAGCAGTCACATGCTCTACTGCGAATTCCAACCCTGGACTGGGTGCCGGGAGCAGTTCAGACTCGATGACGTCGACTCGTGGATTAGGCATACCGAGGAAATTCACCTGCAAGGCGAGTATCCTGCAGTATGCGTTTGCTGGTTCTGCGACGACTTTAATTTCAATGTTGGCCCACGTTGTCCTGATCCTGGCCAGAATTTCAGTCACCGGATGCGGCACATTGCACACCATATGCTTCATGACGCATATCGCTTCGAACAAAGACGACCTGACTTCAGTTTCGTCGACCATTTGTATCGTTCCGGCAGGATCACCCTTCAAAACTTCCAACAGGCCACCAGTGCAAGCGAAGGTCCTCGTATTGGGAATGTGTATCCGGCGGGATGGAGGCCGGCCAGAGAAGAGCCAGACGTTGTCGTGGCAGGAAGTGGGAGAAGAAGACGACAACAGGGGAGACATCGCTGATGACGATTGAACACAGTCATGGCAACACTGATGGCTGATGTAGTTGTCGTTACTGCAAGCCGTTGAAGATTCCGGAGATGTGGGTAACTGGCGCTTTGATCCGGAGCGGGCCGAGGCGACGGCGTCGATCATGGGCCGGGGATAGCGGCAGGTTTTCCGATTAGCCTTTGCCACCATCGGTTATGGTTACGCCTGTTCATCTGATTTCTCATATGTTTGTAAGGTTTCCTCATAACCGGTTAGTCGGGAATTCTGCACAGAGGTTTTCATCTTGTTGAAGGCTGTGTACTGCAGGAACCCGCAGATGGGGCTGCGACCCCGAGGAAACCACCCCTGTCTTGTATACCCGAGTCCGAGGACGTGTGCGAGGCGGACGCAAGGCATATTCCAAGGTCACCTGGTCACCAGCTTGGACTGGCGAGCAAGATGGCGGCCCAAGTGGACGGCAGACCAAGTCGGGCAGGGCCAATGTCTCTCGGTGTTCTGGGAGGATCGACCCCTCTTTCAGTGTCTCGCGGGCCTCTGGTGGCTCGACTTCTGCTGCTCTCTTGAGTATTGTTGTTGAGGGTTTCCACTGAGATTGTTTGTCGATTTTGCATGGTTTCATGATGTCTCTGTCGTTGAGGTGTGCGAAGGAAGAAGTCATCCGATGAGGAGCTGGTGAGCGGAGGAGAGAAACATGTTCTCTCGCCTTTCCCTCAGGCAGCTACGACCCGTAAGACTGTAAGGTCGGCGGCGAGGGCACTCCTCGTTCTGACCCGACTTGACTGCAGGGGCTGCTCTTTTAGGACTCGTTTCATGCTTTTCGTTTCGAATAGGGAAGGAACAGAACGCTCCCCCACTCCCAGGGCAGTCAGCAATAACAATGGCTGTAAGAGCGGACGAACTACAAATGGAAATTAGGCACACGATGTTACATAATCTGCACTTGGCTTACATAGCTCGCCATCGCTGTTTCGTTTCTAAATGAAATCCTCCATTTCCATGATCTGTGAATAGAGATAGATGGTGAGAAAATGGAAAGATCTGAACCTTTATCAATCCTGTAAGTGAGCGGGCCTCCCACATCCCGCTTTATATCAAAGAGTGAAAACCCGCCTCGGACACGAGGCAGCCACTCGAGGGGTTCGGCCAGCCCTTCGCCTCACAATTTTTACCAAATTCGGCGCGCTGAGCCAATAGCAAACCAGGTAAACCAAGTTGTGCAGATAAATCCAAGGCATTCGCAGTCACTTTTGAAAGCAGGGTTGTGTGGCGTGGCGAAAACAACATAATTGGAAAAGTCTCGGAGACTCTTTTTGAACCACTTAAACGCGCCGTTGCACAGCCTCACTCGGCTCGTACGGCGCGACACTTGGGACAGGACATGCCGGCGTCCCCGTCTTTCTTGTAGGGAAACAGAGTCGATGGGGAATCTTCACAGGGTCACATATCTTCGTGTTGCGATGGATGGGCCCGGAAATGCAGGCTTAGACATGCAGAACAAGAAAGTTGAACGGCGAGATTTTGTCATATATACCTTGGCCAAGCTTGGTACGGATATTCGAGACGACCGTTGAACTGTAACTCCCACCTGAATATGCGGGGCTGACCATGGTGCGCCTCACTTGACCATCGCCCCAGACCGATTGTATCAACGTCGCAACTTTGTTATAAATCTAACCCCCAATTGGGAACGCTTGTCACCGGCGCCTTAGAGAACCCCTGCCTCATCGTGCACTCATTGGACGCGTCAACCTTGTGGCGAAAAATGCTGTCTTGCTTGGCGGGATACAAATAGTGAGGTGTGTTCTCGGGACTGGATCCTCGCGAACTATGTATATATGTGACGAGACACCGAGGACGACCGCGAAAATGAGTTGTCTTCCTGAACTCACTTCATGGCCCGAAACTCCTATTTGAGCTCCATTGCCTCTTCCGTTGCCTGAGTATCCTTCCGTTCACGCTCCGTCCTTTCGTCGCCGTCCGTAGAGACCTTTCCATGGGTCGTCCATTGCTAATGGAACTCGGCATCGACACGTCCGTACCTGACGCCGTCCACCTTCAACTCGAAACCTAGACCGGCGCTATCGACAATCATTTCGAGTGTAAAGTCTAGGTTGTCAAACTCCACGCCACGCGTTGTCGTCAATCGTGTGAATAGACTCCTCGGCACGGCATTAAGGTCGGTCGTCAGCGTGCACACGTGGATCAGATCACGGGTGTAGGCAGCAGGCGGCTCATCTGCCTCGCACGCGATCAGGTCATCCGTCACCAGCAGCGACTGCCCGGGCCTGAAGTTTCGAGTATAATGGAATGCGATTGGTGACAAAGGGGATATTGCTTCTCCCTGTTTTCAGAAGGACCGGGTCAGCATTGTCTCCTGAAGCCAAACAAAGGACAGGAGTTCCAACTCACCTTTGCAATGTGCCACTGCATGCGGTCCGACACCATCCACCGTTCCCACAGCGGCGACCAGTATCGCTCGCTGACCGAGTGCTTCTCCTCGTCGTACACGGTGGCGTACGATGTGCCGTAGTGGTACCGCGCCTTGCGCGAAATCACCATGTTGCCCTCGAGTCCTCGCAGCACCGCTCCTCGCACGACGGCGGTCCAGGCGTACACTGGTTGCATGACCTCGATCGAGCTCGTCTCTTGTAGTGCAGTCACGCTGCCGTGTGTTGGCCTTTCGGTGTACGGAGGCGGTGCGGCACTGGTGAAGTGTGTCTTGAGTTTTCGGTAAAGATAGTCGCTCTGCCCGAACCCACCAACTAGCACGATGCCTGACACAACACCACCCTTGGAACGAATGCCGGTGACCTGGCCCTGGACTAAGTCGCAAACTTCTTTCACGACAGGGGCGAATATTTCTTTGATTTCGTCGGACGACATAACCATGAAACCGCAGTCCAAACCAGCCTCTTCGTCGTCAGGTAAACCTGGGAATCTGTACCGAGTTAGCCGATTACCTGATGATGTTTGAACAGCCAAGTGGTAGACCTACGGCACATTCACTTCCTGGTGCTCCTCCTCATTGAAGTTACGTTTTACAAACTCCTCGAAGTACCTCAGGCCCATTTGCCATGATTTGTTCTTCTTGACCTTCATCTCGTCGAAACGACTGTGGCCCAGTTTGTTGCGGACATGTTCTTCAAATCTGTAGTTGAGGAACGCGCTGCCGCAAAGACCACCGGTACCGACGGCGGACTCTTCTACCTTTAGCGGTTTTAATGATATGATTTTGTACGCGATGAGACTAGGTCAACCATTAGCCATGCTGCTGGGAGGAACCGCCCGGTCCGGTCACGGCTTAACTTACTCGACAGTTCCACCACCAGCATCACACACGATAAAGTTATCACCGGCGTTGAGGTGGTTGGGTTGGATGGCTTTTAATGTGTACACCGCCGCAGCTTCGGGCTCGCTGATCATCTGGATTTCTGATTTCAACCCCATGCCGGCTCGTTCAGCCGCCTGAAGTGTTGTGTTCTTTGCTGCATCGGACCACACGGCCGGACAGGTCAAGACGAAGTCGACTTTGGTAGACTGCATAAAGGACTCGCCGTATCTCCGAGTAAGGGTGTCCATGGTATGCTTATACACCTGTGTTAGATAGTCGCTTACGGCATCCAAGACGTTCTTGTTGTAGCGCTTCAGTTGGGCCGCCGTGTCGAGCGGGCTAACATAGAAGGGTAGCTTTTGCGAACGGTCAAGAAATAGTTTGATGCAGCGAAGGCGTGCCTCCTCGGGCTTGAATTGGAATCCCCATTTCACTGTGGGATCGGTGCCAGCGGCAGCATTCGCAGGAAAGTCATAGCTGATCTCGGTAGGCACCTTGTCAGAGGTGATGCCGTTGCCGCCCGGCCATGTCTTGATGATTTCGACATCGTCTGGCGTTGAAGTATAAACCGCAGCGACGCTACGGTGAGTGTCAGCATGTCATCTCATGTGGACGGGGCTCGGGCGAGGTCGTCCATGCTTTGACAGGTGCGCATGGAGCATCAAAGAGTGAGGGGTTGATGAATAAGTGCAACAGTTGGCGGTGGCCCCGGCAGGCAAGGGGTCGCCCTTGGGATGCTCGAGAAGTAAAGTGAGGCTGCATAGGGATACGACTCACCCTGAGAATGTGGTTCCGAAATCGACGCCGACAATCAGCCGATCGGTGGTGCCGAAGAGTTCCCTCGCAGGTTCCCTGAGGGGGCCGTTGATAGCCTCGGTGGAGGAACTGGGCGTGTAGTTATTGAAGTAGGTACTTCTGCTCGCCTGGTTCCGTATGCTGCTGGAGCTCGGCCGAAGAGGGAGGTTGAAGCTCATGGTGGCAATATCCGGCTGGGATATGCGCTCAACCCCATACTATGCGGACGCAGTCCCGATGGCAAAAGAAACGAAGCGAACGGGACAAGCCCTCGCTGGTGACCTAGGGGAGGGGGCGAGACCGAATAGCAGAAAAGTCGATTAGGGAGAGCAATGGCAAAGTCGTCGGGAGTTGTGCGCAAAAAGAGAAGAATCGGGCGTTGATCGTCTCTTCAGGACAGCAAAGCAAGGCTACAGGAACATGATCGTGGGGGTTTGTGGAATGGCGGAGGAGGGGTTCAGTCCTGAGGTGGGCAGGTGCGCGCGCTGGTGGGAAAAAAAGGAGGGAGGTGACAGCAAGGTCTGGAGTCTGGACAGCCCAGTGCAATGCGACGGGAGTTGGCGAGGTCCAGAGGTCCAGTAGCTCCAGGAGCAGAGGATGACACCCCGCCAGTAATGACGACGGAGCAGGAGGGACAAAAGTTTTGAATTCTTGGTCGATACGAGAAAGTCCACCTGGGCCACGTTTGAAGAAAACTGAAAGGGGGCCCTGCGTGAGTAGATCTCAAGCCTCCCGTCGAGTATTCTGCTGCCTAATCGAGTTTCCTGGTTTCCTTTGATGAAGGATGGAATGAGATGAAGAAGACAGCGCTGGCTGGTCGAGTGCTGATGGACAAGGTTCCGTAGCTGAGGTTCAAGCACCAGCCTAAGGTAAGGTAACGTAGGTC